CTATGGCTGCAAAGGAGGGTGGTAGGCAAAGCAACTGTATCATAACCAAAATGCTGAGTTCTATTATCTGCTGCACCACACGTACACACATACTGCATCAATGGCCTCAATTCACAACAGCAATCACAATGATGATACATAAAATCTATAGAAAAAGCATGCATTACTCACTGGGTTTTATTCTTTAGCTTCTTCAGCATGTAATTCTTTACGCTTTACAATGTAGTAGGTATGAAATGAAACATTTTCTCTTTATTCCACTGATGCCGCTGTTTGAATACCATTAGATACCAAGGACAATAGGCAGGATCAGCTCGAACATTAAGAGCAAATATTTAATGGAAGACTGGTTACCCCCGTCTCTCCCTTTCACATCTCTGCCTCATGTATCCAGGCACGGGTGGTACTGGCTCCCTTGAGAGGCTGTAGCTAGCAGCTGAGGCACAAACTAAAACATGGCATGGATGTCAAGGAGCTGATGTCACAAAAACAAGTATTTCTCTGATAAAACCAGCAATGCCATTAGGGAAGTCCTACAAATCGATAGAAATTGTTCAGCTGAACATGCTTTGCTTTACAATGCACTGCAGCACCAAGAGTGATAAATCAGATCAAGATCTGTCAGTGCAAATAAGCTGAGACTACAATAACGAAGTTATAAAACTGCCAATCAGATGCCATCCCCTGTATCAGGAAGGCTATCGCTTACGAGCACAGAAGAGAAACACACACCTAAACATTTCAAAAACAACCTTGTTTAATATCAATTCCAAAAGAACAGCTGATCAACTAAAAAAGTAAAAATATTTTTAAATACAAAAGACTGGCCGAAAAGTCTGCCATCTTTATCAGGAAACATTGTGATAAAGTATGCAAGGCTCCAGTCCAGCAGATGCTAGAAACGCTGAGGAGAGGTCACATTCAGTATCTGGGAAGAGATGCTAGATGATTTAGAAATCCTGCCCCTTCACTCACATCCAGCACTGCCAGTCCTGTCTGTGGGCATGGGTTAACTGTCTCTGAAGGTAAAAGGTATCATTGCTACAACAGCAGCTGTACATTTATAGGGGGAGCTGGGTCTGGCACCAGCAAAAAAATTAAAAAGGGGAGAAACAAATGCAAAAATTCAGGAGCAAAGAAAACACAGAGAGACAATACAAATTCAGATGCTGGAGACTGCAAATTCTATCTTGCAGACAGCATCACATCAATATAAGGAGGTAGCTTCTTCAAGCACAAAACGAACTTCTCATAAGGCATGCAAACAATTGTATTATTAGTTACATGGTTGATTCCACTAATAGAGATTAATAGAGTTTTCATGCATTTATTTCAAGCTTTGCTGGCTGGTACAACCTGAAAACGACATCAATTTCAAAAAGGTCCAGGACAGCTAGCAACAATATTATTAGATTTCAACATAAATGGAAAACATTCAGTATGTATTTCTGCACTCTTCTTCCAAAGCATTGTTGTGCTGAAGGAAGTGGAAGGAAAAACCTACAATTCTACAGAAATTCACTGCAAAATATTTGCAATTCAGAAGATCACATACTATTAGAAATAGTCACTCCGTGACCTAATATGAACAAGTCTGAGCAACGTATTGCAAATTAAATTATTTAGCAATTGAATACTTTTGTTTGAAAATTCTATTTCAAACTGTCTGCAGTTCTGTAACAAACTACAAGTCCACACTTAAGAGACCGCTAATTTAAGTAGAAGCCCATTTTGGACAGAACAACTGTGTATTTGCCTCTGGAAACAACTGGAGGCAAACTCATAAGTACTTTTACAGTGTAAACATGATGCTCTAGAAACATTCTCATTTTTAAAAGTTATTTCCTATGAACATAAATACAGTGATAAAGCCACCTAAAATAAAGAATAAGAAACATACCAAATATTTCCTGAACAAAGGACAATATTTTAGTCCTGTCAAAACAAATAGTCCTTTAAATAAACTGTATCATCAATATCAGTAACATTTCCATACAGTCTAAGTACAATGCAGATGTTTGTTGTATGCCTTTGGCTAACAAGCAATAACGCCGAATGCATCAGTCTCTGCTAAATTGGCAACAATACAATTTAATAGGTCTGTTGTAAAACAATTTAAAAATAGTTACAACTAGGCCACAATACCAGATTTCCGCGCAGGCCCCATGGATGCAAAGAGGCAATATGTACTGAATTAACTCATTAAATGATGAGAAACCCAACCACAAATCACTCGCCGAGCACATCCTACTGAACAGGCTTTTTAAACAATCAAAGTATGATTCAACGTGACCTGTAAAACCATCTAGGGAGAAATACCCTACAGACAAAATAACCAGGTCATCTGAGCCACTCTAATCTACATGCTTCTGTAGTTCATCTCATGGCTTCAGATAACTAAAACATCTAACAAATTAACACAAAAAAGTTTTGTACTAAAATATCTATACTTTTAATGAGATCATTAAATTGCATCAAACTTTATTGTGCCACGTTACTTGCACAGATACCTCTTTAAGCAACAGCCTTTGCTCTCCTCTAGTCAGCTTACTTTTCTTGACAGTATTTCACATTAGTTGGCTTTATGTTTCCACAAATAAGGGCAAATAACTCTATTTGGGACAAGCACCAGTCTAGGTTGGTACAACACCAGCTATTTCCTCCTTCCCTTTTTAAACAGCTATGGGAATGGAAGCAGAGCTAGAGTCTGCTGGTTCCTTCAGTTCTCCCATTGGGAAAGCAGGGTGGCATGGATGCCACTATGGGCTCACCCCTAATTTTCATCCAACAAGTTCGAAGCAAGTTAGAAAAAGAAAACAAAATAGGTTTCTGCATGTCATGAAATAGCTTGGAATACTGTAGTGATGCCAGATTTGGTTGTTTCATTCTTAGTTCCAAAATTAAGGAGGGAGGCACCCCAAAGTTAGTAATTTAAATAAAATCAATCTTCCTGTCTTCACTGAAAGGCAGCTGTTTCATAGCACATCATCTGAAGATTTATGATGGAGTATTATATTAACACTTATATTTATCTTTGGCATCAAAATGTGCCCTGGTAGAACTTTACAAGCATTCTAAGGCTAGCTAATCCCCAAATTCATCACCTTCTCTTCTACTGTAATTCTCACAAAACTCAAAGGCACATGAGACATTGAATTACCCAAACACCCTAAAATATCATTTCCAAAACACAATTTGAGAAAGTAACAAGATGCAGGTAAAAATAAAACTTTTACTGCTGCTAACAATATTTTCTGTAGATACAGAGATTCAATTTTTGCCTGCCAATGTAAACCTGACACCTTCCCACGGAAGAGATTCGGTTTAGGTCCTAACAACTTCTAGAACTCACGTCCCAGAGTAAAGCAGTGTTCCTTGTATACAATTCACATCAAGAACACATTTAAACCTACAGAGCTAAGACTGCTCTTTCCAGAACAATCACAGAACTTGAGCCCGAAAATATTTCCCCATAGATATTTTCAACCTGTTAAGCTAAACTAGGAAGCGACAGCATAGTAAAACCTACACATTTTCAACATACAGTAAAATATAAATACACAGTCCTCACTTGAATTTTAACTCATGGACAAACAAGCATTGAAAGTCAGTCTTGTTTGTTTGCACATGCAGTATAAGTACATTATGTGATACAGCAAGATGGACTGTTTGCTTATTTCCTTGTTAAAACTGGAGCAAAATTACTAAGAAACCCACTGAGTTACTATTCTGATACAAGAAAGTACACAAACAAGAACATTAAACAAGGCATGAACAAACTCCGATATATGGAAAATAGTATACTGGAAACAGTTACACAAATGCTTGCTTGGCTCACCCTAAAAATAAACTGGGAAGATCACATAGATATCTTCTGTTTTCCTTCTGGAAAAGAAATGAAGTGTCTCAAGGAAAATAATTTGTTTAACACTTCTAACCAGCATAGAAAAGAGTCTTTATATTCTCTAATTGGCTGAACAAGGACAGCAGACAGTGTTGCAAATTTACTCTTTTTTTTCTTTATTACGACAACTTGAATAACCTAGTCACAACATGACAACTTGTCTGCTTTTTACATTTAACCTTTTATCTACTATAGTTTAAATATAAAAATATAGAAACTGTAATATTTTGGTATTTATTCCATCGTACCCCATCTTCTAAATTTTAGTAAAAATTCTCAATAGACCAATTACTAGTATATTAGTATTTTCTCTAAATACTATTTACAACTATTGACCACTGTACTACACATTTTTAGCAAGTCTGTCAGCAGATCCTGATCAATCAAGTAGTCTTTCATCAGCAATTCATTTTACCTGCTCTTGTATCTTCCAAAGAGAAGAGCAAAGGTCCTTCAATTCTACAGTTAGCTTTTACACGTGCTACTGTGACTAGTCAGGCATCATCTGGCAGTTCTGTCACCCTCCTATTCACACTCCTTGCCTTAACATTTATAAAGATATGAACTAATGTACCAATGACATCCCTCCATAATGAAAAGTGACTATCCAGCTATTTAATCCTTTTATCCCTGTGCACTTTAAGTTAGTGAAATACAGGTAAACCATATCAATCATGTATCCTTCGTCTGGAAGTTTATCTACCTTTCACTGGACTTCTTTTAGAAATTAATAACCTTTTTATAAAAAAGGGTCTCCCTCCCTCTTCAGTACATCACTTCTTTTCCCTGCAAGTTAAGAAACCAAAAGAACCACAAAAGCAAAGTATCATGTTCAAATATGCATCTAAAATCCTGACCTCTTTTCCTCCTGATATATCAAGTACTGAAAACCATCCTCTGAGCATTAAAACAGTACTACAATGTTGATTTATGTAACTTCTGTGTTGATAAAATATCAAACATTTTGCGTTCTACTAAGAAACAACAGAGAAGATATACACGTAGTTAGCACTTGACTATGGAAATTTTTCAATATATTTCTTTACTGGGTAACTGAAAAAATAAAGCTAAAATTTGATAACATTTGAGTACTCACTATCTTCTCCTGGACAAGGCATGCCGGGTTTCTCTGGAATACTTGCGAAAACTAAAACAAAAACATTAGATTTCTAAGTGAACAGATTCTCAGTAGTATGTTTTCCTTGATTCTTTAATATATTTATATAAAGACAGTTTCTGGAAGTCTTTAAATAATTCTGTGTGAGAAATGACACAATCAGAATTTGGTTCCATACTGGCAAGATGTTATACTTGACTACAGCATTAACAAATAGGTGCAGTTTAGAACACGAAGCCCCCTCAAAGCCTACTGCATAGTTTCAGCTTCGGGCTCCACATCCAAAAGAACAGTTCCTTCTTACAAGACCCAACTCTAAGGCACCAGCTACATAAAGAAGAATGTTATCTGACAGACAAAGAAGTTTCAGTCTCACATTTAAGAAGCTGTTAGGATTATCAACAAATGCACACAGTTTTTTTAACTGTATAATACTTGCCATGAATTATCAGCCCTTCATCTCTGTTTTGACAATACAAACGGAAGGCTTCTTCCAGTTCCATCTGAGAAGAGATGGTACATGGGTCACCTAACAAAAAAGCAATACATAGGCAAATTTATGACCAAAGAATAAAGTGGACAATTTCAATTAGTCAGTAAGAAATGTATCAGCCTCCAGGATCGCTTTTCTTTCAATCATTTGATATTAAGCTGGCATTTTGATCAAAGCCAAAATATATCAACAATTCCTTTTCCCTTCAATTTTATCAAAGCTGAGTAAACAGAAATAAACTGTGTTGGCTTTCAAGAAGACAACAAAATACAAAAGTGAGCAGGTATGTTTCAAGACCTTTAATACACGGCAGAAAAAAAGCAAGATCACTTCCTAGAAACCAAAAAATTTAAGTTTAATTCAAAATTAATCTACCTTTTGTTAAAAGGCCCATTATCTTACTACCTTAATTTCACTGACTGCAGAACCATAACTTGAAAGTTATGAAGGTACACAGACTCTAGTTGAGTCTCTCTTGCTAGACTGACAGAAAAACTGATTAAAAAGTGTAAATATTAAGACACACACAAATGAGTTACGAATGGCATAAAAATGCCAACACTGACGTAGAGACATAATGTAGAATTAATTTCTCCCTAGAAGTCCCTAAAACTTTCAGGGTTTGCTTGTATGTTTCGCAAAAAAATAGGCTCTTTTTTTTTCTTTTAACTTAGAAGAAAAGCAAAACAGAAGGAAAAAAAATCATGAAACCTGCCTAGTGACAAACCACCCTCTTTCAGAAAAAGATATATTAAGTCTCAGCTTCTACTTTTGTCTTCTGTACCCACATTCTGCAGTATCAGATTTAAAAAACAGAGCTTTTAAAAGTTCTTAAAAAGGCAACATGCCAGCCGTAGCTCAAAGCATAAAGAGACTATTAAAATAGGTAAAACAGAAAAACCCACACACCTCAAAACACAAGCTATCATTCAGGATGAAATTCACAAGGAAAATAATAAAATAAATGGAAACACGAATATTACCACATGCTGAGGCCTAGGCTCAAGAACCAAGGCTTATCCACACTTTTACCATTTATCTCTGACATACACAATTAGTTTTGCATTACAAAAATATGCAGGAATGCAAGTATCCAATCAGACATGAGTACCCCAAACCCACTATTAATGGGTAATATTCAGAAAACTAAAAACTACTTGTGGTATAGATAGTAGCCTTTAAACAGTGAAAATAAAGAACTCCATTTCTCTGAAGGAGAGACAGCCCCAAGATAGCTCTTCTCAGGTAACAGAATGGGCTCCAACATGATTTGAAAGTAACCATGTGACACACTGGTGATGTTCCATAAAAAACCCCACTGAAATAATTTTTGGTGCCAGAGAAACAAAACCCTGGAAAAGCTTCTTGGGAGAACTGGAAGCTAAGACAGGACCCATGTATTACGGAGACCTGTATTTCAGAAGATGACCTTTCCCAGGCCTAAATTCTAAGCAGTTTAAGTGAGGCCATTTTTACTTGTTAAACATCTGGATTGGAAAATAATACAGGTATATATCTCTCTGCCAGGCTGAAATACTGCGCTAACAGCCCATGATAATCTCTAAATCAGTGGTCCCCAACCTTTTTTGACAGCACACCCCACCATTAAAATTTTTTGATCACAACCCCCTCCATATGTATATTCAGAAATTATGTATATCATAAAAACATACACAAATATACAAATTTTTAAAGTATGAAATAAATATTAACAAAATACTTTTCTTAACAGCATAAAACATTACCTCTCAACGTACTAAAAACTTAAAATATATTTAAAGAGGGCTGGGTGATTGAACATGCTTCACGACTTGAAAATCTTGGTTTAACATTTTATGATATGACCCAAAGCTCTCATTTTAACGGTGTCTTAACGAAAAAAGTTACCCCAAAGATACACGGATCCAAAGTAAAGAAATGCCTTGTTGGCTGCACTTACTAAATCATAATACCCATTCTTGAATTCCAACCACCATTTATGCAAAGGTTTTGTGGACAGTTAGAAAATTTTCATTGACCCTGATGTGAATTAGCTATTCTTGGTAACTAATCTGAAAGCGTTGCATTTTTAACTAATGGATTCAAAACCCACTGAAACTGTTCAGCAGTTTTTCAGAGATTAGGAAACTCCCATTTCCGCATTTATGTACACCAAGGGAACAACAAAAATATCTCCAAAAAGCCATTTTCAAACCCCTGTCTCCATACAGTATAAGTACCTTTTGAAAAGCAGTTGCTTGCTCAGTCATTGGGATTAAGTGTTTACTTGTTTGAAAGGTAGCATACTACTGACAGCCACTTGTCATCACAGGTAGTGTCCATGCATTTGGAATATTTATCTTTTTATAAAAGAAAAATGCATAACTCATCTATAAGTTGCACAATTCTTTTAAGCACTTTACTGCAAGATAACCAGCCAAACTCTGTGAGGGGTAAGAGAATGAAGCTTTTATACAACTTAAGTATTGTAAACACTGTGCTAATCTGAAGTTCTTGGGTTTATAAAATTAACAACATCGATGACATCCTGTAGCACTCTGCACCCTTATGGCTCCAACTCCTTTGCTGCAGGGGATGAATATCCTGCATGGTGCTCTCTTCAACCTTACTCCAGAAACTTTTTTTTTTTTTTTCAGTCAAAGCAGCCTCTCCATCAGTAGAGACTTACACAGTTCTTCCATAACACATTGTTTTTATTAAAGACTTCTACTGTTAAGTTTGTGTCTTCTCCAATATATCTTTCTCTCCTTCAGTGACTCTCAAAAAACAACATCTCCATGTATCTCATTACAGTACTTGCTAGATTCAGTTACAATAAACTGAGACATGATAGAAACATCTGTACTTTCACCCATTCATACAGCAAACTTCCACACCGCATAGTTTGGTTTTAATATCTGTTTATTCAAACCTTCAGCAATATCTTCTATGCATCTTCCAGCAGTATTTTCTGACAAAGTAATACATTTCAGTTTGTCCTCATTTTGTTTTCTGTATATTATTCCAGCCCTTTTTACCATGACAGAAAGAACAAGTGTTTCCCCAATGGAATGTGGCATTTTGTCTTCTGCTACTAAGAAGCCTCAAACCTGGCTTCTAAGAATTTAACAGGAAGTTTAATGAAGTTTTGTGAAGTACGAAACTGAGTATCACAAGACTTAAAACATCAGTGAAAGAAGAGGTTTATCTTGTTCTGGATAGTTAGTTCTTAAATGTCTTGCTACTCATGATGGCCTCATACTATCTTTATTATCTCAAAACACAACATACACTTAGGGTGAGGTCTATCATTAAAAATATTTGATGTAAATATGTATTTCAAATACTGTTCTCAATTTTGAAACCTTGCCTGACTTCTTGTCAGATCTGATTACATAATCATTGTTTTTACCCCGTAGTGTGGCTGACAGAGTTCATGCTTAGGAGAAACGTCAGCTCCACCATTTTCTTGTTGTCTGCTTGTGCTCACATTATTAGCATTACCTTGTGAAGGTTATTTTCGTTAGAACTAGTTAGTTAATCCATAAATCCACTTAACCAGACACATGTAAACTGCAATACATCACAACACACTGAAAGCGAGCAAATGAGCCAGGGTGTCACTCTCAACCCCTGCAGCTCTGTAAGCACCCACTCCTCCTGCAGCACACCATGCCCACCCTCTGACACCTGACCATAGGATACACGGGCCACTTGATGACACCAGTGTCAATCCACATATTAAAACAAAACAAAGCTTAATTTCTTTTTAAAAAAATATTCTTATTTTTCGAAGAGATGAATTCCAGGGTGCATCTACCCCTCTTGAAGAACACTGGTCTTGATGATCTAAAAATACTTCCGTAATACCACATGAAAGACAAAGGAATTAATTGTACTGCAAATCAACAATCCATATTCCTTATGTATTTATGGAATTTTACTACGAGCAAGTTATTCATAGTTCAAACGTCTTGGATCGTGTCAAAACCAGAGAAATACTAAACAAGCCCAACAGAAAATTCATTTTCTTCAGCTCTTCCATAGGTTTTCTTTATTCATTAAACTATCAGCAATTGCTTGCTGTAAGCTAGTTCAAAGAGAACATCTGTTTGTGCAATCAGTCAAATGAACTTAAACTAGATGTGGCAGTAAGTGGAAACAGTCACTCATACACAGAAATAGGTTAACTCATAAAACCTGTGAGGATTGAGAAAAGCCACAACAGCAGAATGGTTGAAATTTAACAACTTAGAATCAGGAATTAGAAAAAGGGTTGTACAGGTATATATTTAACCAAGACTAGAAGAAAATATTTATTTGAACTAACAAGCAAACTTCATTGTTTTAAGTAAACCTTCAAAAAGCCAAGACATCCAAACCAAGACATAGTTAACAGAAATCAGGTCTTAAAATCTTTCAATCCAAAACTCATGAGGTTTTCTTCTTTCCTACGATAATCTTCCTTTTATTAGAAGTCATGCAGTTCAAATAGCTAAGCATATGCAATGCAATTATTCTCGATGCACTTCTGATCAGGTTACTTTTTATTAGCTTGCCATGAAACTGAGGGTTAAGTAACTGCAATGAGTACAGTTGCCTCTGCCTTTCTTGGTAATCAGAAGATAAAAAGTAAAATTTTAAAATACTTGATACTACTCCTTGGTATCTTAAAAGGACTGGATATTCCTTGACTACAGGCTACCTCCTTCCTCAAACATTATTTTGGAATTTCTTCCATCCACCAAATGACACCATTTGGAGAGCACTATAGGCTATTCAAAAACCCCACATAATTACAAACGTTAGACAAATTAATATAGTATTTTTTCACCTTTCTGCATTCAGTTCTAGGAGTTCTGCTGTAGATCATGGCTTTGGCAAGGTGCCACAGGAAAATAAGCAAGCACCCACCCAGTTAGGTAACTGCATGGTAGCAGTTCTCAACCTGCTAGGTCAAGAGTTGGGCCCGTTATGAGTTAGAGATGCACTACACTCCTGTTAAATCATAAGCAGACACGTACATTCCAAAAGGAAGCAAAAGAAGTAGCCAAGGCACTCAGTGTCAAGTATCCCCATTTCACTACTACTCACAACCACCAGAAGGCTCTAACTTAAGGCTGCAGCGAACTGCCACCTTTTATATCAGAAATAAATATGCCAACCCATCTCACATCCTGATGATACTTCAGAGCCTGTAAGAAGGGTAAAGAAAAAGTCAGTTTCTCTCATAAAACTATTTGGGAGAGTATAATGATTAACTGCTTTACGTCTGAAGAGAATTTAGAACAATGAGATCTGGCAACATCAACCTCTCCTGAAGGGACAGCCTAAGAAATAGACTTTCACAATAAGTCATTTTTACATGATTTTATGACCACGTCATGAAAATAAGTTTTCACTATTTTTCCCACATATGAACCCCTCTCCCATTTCATTTTTCTGGACATGACTGACTTCACATATATTTGGGCAATTTTCCCCACCATAATAGGGAAAAAACTTATTACTGTTAAGTTTTTATTTAATGCATATGATCTTTGAAAAATGGTGCTCTGAAGTATCAAGTCAAGGGGAAAAAAACACCACGACTAATTCAAGTCAGCTTTATTTCATGTTTGATCATTACATTTTATATCAACAGGATATTAACAACAAATTTAGTGGAATGTCCCTTTAAATATAGGCAACATCTACCCTCTAATTCTTGAATAAGTTATGTTAGACCATGAATATTATCAACACTACAATCAGTGACAGTCGTGCAGTTGCCAGAGACAACCACCATAAAATGAGAAAATCAATTATCAATACTGGAATTTTTAGCACCTACCTTGCATAAAATAACAAAATCCTAGAAGAGTTAAAAACAGTCTTCTGATATTACTACTGCACTGCTTCTCAGCAACACACATTCAAGAGATAAAAAACACAAATCAGAAGACACAAATGCCTGTCATTCTGGAAGATGACAGGGTTAAAGACATCAAAAGGTAATCTTGCAGAGAATTTGAAATTGAAAACTTTGTGGGATACAGCATTAGGCCTATGAAAGTCTGAAATTAAAGCAAACTTGCATTCAGCATAAAGTATGTAATAGTAAAATACTCGAGTTCTACAAAGCCTTCACTTCTGCAGAAGTGAATTCAAGTGCTACTACAATCAACCTTGACATTTTGAGGCTCTTTTCTACAAGCTCCCTGATTTGTAAAACAGGGTCACATACCCTGGTATTTAGAAACAAAAAGTAACTCCACAACATGGAACTTGTTTATATGGGTTTTCTTCAGTGCTGCTTCTTTGTACCACAACGAACAATACGCCAAAGAATGCCTAAGTAGTATTTCAGTACAATACCTTCATCATCAATCCACTTGAGAGTAATTGGCTGTTCCTGCTGTAAATTACACATCTCATGTACTTCATCACAAAGTTCATCATAGCTCATTGATGCATCCAAGTTTGTTATCAGGATGTCCCTGCATGAGATGAAAACAAGCTTTTATCAGAAAATATCTGCATTAGCCTGCATATTCCAACAATTCCATCTATGAACTCTAAGCTGCAAAATCATACTTACAGAATCAGCATTCCTCATATAAAATGCTCCCACTAATGTAAATTAGTTGTCAAAAGTCAATAGGATTACATCTTAGCATTTAACTTCTTAAAAATACTTCGGTACGGATGAATTGTGTTAATGATCTATCTTTAATGCATGTTTACTTGGCCAAGCCAAGCTCCCTTATAACTATCAGTGTTTGAAGTGTTGTAAAAAACTAAGTTTTTATACGAATTACATTGTATCCAGGTACTTCCCCCATCAGGGGATAAGCAAAATATCAATTATTGTAAAATCCCTTTAGCATGTAGGTTTTTCGACACATCCACTATGTTGTTAGAGAGAAAGCTCTGATGAGATGAATTTTCAAAAGACAAAAAAGAATTCAGATAAAATCTTACTCCAATTCTGCATCTTGTGCTATATCTTTATAGTGTTTGGAGAACAGGAACCCAATACTGAACTCTGCTAATGTAAACCATACAGCATGCTCAGGCATTTGTGAGAGTAACTCTTCATATAATGAAAGCCTACACAGTACCATCAAAGCAGGACAAATATAAAAAAAAAAAAAAAAAATTCAAAACAAACCCAAAAGACTACGCAACACAAAATCTGAAGATACAAATTAGATTTTCTCCCATTTCCTAAATATTTGTCAAGTGACAGACTCAACAAAATCATGTGATTGAACAAGTGCAGGAAGAAAGAGGAAATGTACTTATGTCATCTCAGTGTTTTCAAAACTTTCTAGAGGATAATTAGGAAAAAGTTTTGTAGTTAATGGCTACAGACATATGTAATTCCTTCCCCTCTGAGTTTAATACAGTAAATATATCAGAAGTTTCCCAACATGGCTCAGGTAATTTTCCTGTTTTCATACTGTGTGACAAATAATTTCAGAAAACATGCTATATTACATATTTTGCCTACTTATGCCTTTCAACCAGAAGCCAAAAGGTACTACACTAAGGATCTTAAATTCTATGACTTACATTAAGTGACATGCACTAATACCTTTGGATTTTGTCTTTGCTGACAAAGATTACAATAAACAATGCTCTAAAACAACAATTTTGAAGAACTGTACTAAATTTCAAATTCAGATTAAAAGCACTGCTACCTTTTCAAGTGTACCTTTAATCTACACTTTCTAAAGTTCTCAAAGAACAGCAACTTAATTCATCATAACAACAACGAAAAAAATATATACACTAACTGTCCACTGGTAAATCCATATTATTTTACAATACTGACAGCTGTCAGGTGATGTTGAGTTTAAGAATATCTCTCTGCCAAAAAAAGTCATCTTTTATACACTTAATAAAGTAAGAGACCAAACCAGTTCTCAAAGTAGTGTGTGAGGTCTGGTGTAATGCCAAGAAACAGCAACGTCAAGAAAGGTCGCTAACAAATGCAGCTCATTACTTAGTGCACTGCCACCACAAGCTACTCATGAAATCAAGCAGCTGTAGGTCTGTGGTAACTCTGGACAATCACGCTTCCACAAGTACCTAAATAATATTCAAAAACTGAATTTATGCGGTAAGACAACACTCTATTATGCACACTACAGATTCCAACTAAAGCTGACATACTCATCAGCTTTAAATTGTTAAAATTATTGTAACAGATGGCACTTCCATTCTACAGGTAAATTAATAAACTTCTTTTTGGGCAAAACACAGCTGAAATACGCAAAGTAGCACTTATTGCAGATGCAAACATTAACGATACTTATTCTAATTATTATTATCTCAATGGTGTCCATGTTCCTTTAAGCTCTACTGTGCTTAATCTTAGTGTCTGTATAGCCACACTAGGTAATCAGGGAACAAATAAATGGAAATTGTACATTGTTTAACACTAAAGAATCCAGCAAGACACTGTTTTGTCAGGTATCTGAAACTGAAGTTACGTATGAGAGATTACAGCAAGAGAACCACTCACACTGATTAAATGTGTCACCATTCAGAACCAAGGTAACATACATCAAATAATACTGCATCACTGCTCTATTTAAATGAAGTGACTTCAAATAATCAGGTATAAAGTAGATAAACTAAGTAACTGAAATAACGAAATGAGAATTACACAAGTTGACTTTCTTTTGCAATCTACTTACGCAGTTACTTGTACTATGCTATGTTAGGAACTCTGTCACACCCAGAAACATGAATACCTAAGATACTAGGACTCCACAGAGATAGACTCAACATTCACAAGTTTTAGAACTTCCTCATACTCAGAATTTTAACTGGAATTTCAAAATTACATATTGTACTACTATTTTATTTTTTTTAGCAGCTACCCGAATGAGCTTGTCCTTAATTCTGAAGTTGTTCCGCATCAATGCTTTCCGGCACTTTGTCAAATTTGTTCAGAAGATGAGCATAGTGCTTTAATGGAGATACTAAGATAGCAAGTTATACAGTCTATAATGCCAAAAATAGTCAGGAGAACTAACTTAGAGAACCAACACTGAGTTTGGAACTCTTTGTTTTGTAAATTGGCATCTTATAGACTTCACAGCTAATGGAAATTACTGAATACGGAGTTGCAGGAGAAACTACAGTAGCAGTTTACTGTAAAACATTACAATAATTACATGTTAATTCTATTAGTGATGCGAGTATTATCACCTCCTCCATTTCTCCACAGACGAGTTCTACAGACAGGCTCCTTTCACTTTCTATAAACACTATGTGCCAGCAAACTACCCCAAATTGTTTACACGAAGTTCTGTTTGTGTTTATAGTGCCTTCTAAGGCAGCTCTCCTGGTGCTGGTTCAGAGAAGCATGCATATCTACATATCTCAGAAGTGCATCACACAAGTATTTAAAGTTTAGATGTTCTTTTCAATTTACGCTGATGTATTACATGATTCAGCGCTGTAGGATAAAAAGCTGGAGCAGAAAATAATTATTTGTAACAGCAAATGTATGGTACAAATCTTTCACTGAGAGTTCATAAAACAGTTTACATGCATCTATTAAGTAACCAAAACCATAGTGCAGATTATTAACAGCAAAACCCAACTGATCTGCATTAACTATTACGAACACATTTCAGAAATTACTCAGCAGCAGTAACAATGAACCACAGCATTTTCTTTCTCACATGGATTTCTTGTCAAGTGAATTTTACTTCAAGTAGCAATCTCTGTATTTTGATAAGACAAGTTTTCCCATGAATTCTCACCACTAAAACCTTATATATGTTTTTACTAAGCAAATTTTCATATGAAAACTTATCATTATTTTATTATCATTAGGTCAGACCATGAAATCCTGCTCAATATGCTTCAAAATTAAGACAGGACACAATATAAAGGAGAGAACATGCTGACTTACCCACTATAGTGTGTTTTTACTCTGATGAAGTCTTTGTTCAAACCAGTTTTTGAGCCCATTCTGCTAGGCATGGTCTGTATTTAGCAGTCTAAACGAAATTATAAATATATAGAAATAAGTTCATTCAGGACAGATAACTCATTTATTTCTGAAGTGCTTCATATGGGAAATATGCGTTTCTCCTCCAGATGATTTTCAACCCAGCTGCATAGAAAGAAAAGCAGAAACAAATAAGTGTACACACACTCTACTAGACAAATGTGTCAAATTTTATAAACAGACAGCTTTACCTAGAACAGCAAGAAATCCAAAAGAAAATATACAAGACTGTTGACCTGCACAAAAATTAAATGCAATCAGTTTAACATACTCCTGCACTGTTTAGTTTTACAAAAGTATCCCAAGCATTTAAGGATGTTTTTTAATATAACATCCAACAGTTTCCTCTTGGCCAAAAATACTCCAAAGAAATAGTTACTTATTCCTCAACACAGCTTCTGGTTCTTTTCTTGCAAGTAGTATTTTAGCTCAAAATAGTTTGAATGCACATGGCAGACTGCTGTCAATTAACGCCAGTTACAGATTTACCCAGGAAAAGCAGAAAAGAAACTCCAAGGGGCAATTTAAGTCACCTTTACAGAAACTAACACCCTGTTTATCCCAAATCACCACCACCTTCCTTATGTACGTATAGGTGCAGTCCCTAACCCCGCAGGCTGGGGAAGCAGGGCCAGAGGTGCCAGGGAGGGACCCCAGAATTCGTCCTCCCGCGGGGCCCCCCTCAGCGCCGGCCGGGGGGGGCGACATCGTCACTCGGGACGAGGTCGCGCCCCGTGACGGGACAGGGAGCGGGGGTGGAGCGGGGTCTCCCCCATCCAACGCCTTCGGGGCCGCCCCTCCCTCCTACCTGCTCCGACCGAGGAAGATCCCACCCCAGAGGCCGGAGCCCCCCCGGGTCCCCCTTCCCTCCTGCTCCGCCGAGCGCGGGGGGGGGGGGGGGCGCTCCCCGAAACGTCCTCCACAGCCGGAAAGTTGCTCAAAGTCCCTCCAGGAAGTTCAGGACGGCAGTTCGGCTCCCTGCCACCCTCCCTGCCGGCGGGTCCCCGGAGGAGGGCGACAGCAACGAACAAAGACAGGAGCGCGACCCCTCTAATCCCCCTCAGCCCCCCGCTCCCGCTCGCTCTAGTAGCAACGGCGCCACCGCGCCGAACATGGCGGACTAAGAAGGTTAGAGCCCCCAGCCAATAGCACACCTCCTACCCTACCTGTCAGCCAATAGCAAGCTCCGACTCACCTGGAGCCAATCCTTAAAAAGGATCCCGCCCACCCGCGACCAATCATGGGTCGAGAACCGTTACCTGTGAGGGGGGGAGTAGGAGCGGTTCAACCAATCCAAAGCTAGCGAGGGGGCGGTAGGGGAACACCTGCATCCAATGGGAGGAGCAAGCGCCGAGCGCGCCGGCTGAGGGGGCAGGTGCGGAGGGCAGGGACGGGCCGCCCCCCCCCTTTGCCCTCAAGGAGCCGCTGCCGTCCTTTGCCAGGGGCTTTCGGCGCTTTGTGGTACCGGCGCAGCGGGTAGAGGCCCCAAGCTTGAGAGGAGAGGAGGGGCAGGCGCGGCCGGTACCGCGCTGTGGGGGCAGCGAGCTGGCGCCTCCACCCTCCTCGGAGCGCGCTGGAGAGGCAGTGAGTCGTCCCGCTCGCCGCCGGCCTGTGGCCTCCCGCTGCGGGCTCGCCCTCGGCGGGAGGGGCGCGGTAGCTTGGGCTCCCCCCGGGCTTCTCGGCGGCGGGGGGTGCGGGGCCGCCTGAGGGCTGGGCCGGGGCGGTGCTGAGGCGAGGGGCGGAGCGGAGCCCGGGGAGTCCCGCGGGGCGAGGGGAGGCGGGGGTTGGGGGGTGTGGGTGGGGGTGTGTATTACCCGTGCTCGCCTGGGGGCGTAACTCTCGCTCGCTTTGCAAAATCAACAACCCACCTCCAAATAATAATAATTAAAAAAACCCACCCCTCCAAAACAAATATCCTGCCGGCACCCCCCCGCCCCCGGGCCAGAGGCCTGGCTGCCGCCCCCGGAGCTGTCAGCGTCGCTGCCTGGGAAAACCCTTCCACAGGAGGGTAATTCCCTAGAAGTGTAAATGTAGCGCTTAACTTGAAGAGGTTTCATTCAAAACTATGAAAGCAGGAAAACCGCGGCCGAAATGATAAAGAGGAAATAAAATAACAAACATAAACAGTAGTACATTTTTGAGTGGCCAGGCCAGAGAGGAGAAGGAAAAACACTGGAATACGCTGTATTGACCATATTGAATTAACCACAATATCACAAGAGCATGTCTGTGAAATGGTTAATGCCCTTAGCTTTGTAAAGTTGGTTTTGTGGGTTTGTTTTTTTTTTTTTTTCCCCTAATAATACTTTGATCTTTTGCTTTCAAACTGTGAACCAGCTGCGATTGAAGCAAAGCCACCTCCTGTATAAAGGAGATGAGGCTTTGCCTGTTCTTCGGATGAAAGCGTGGGATAGTTAACTCAGAGAGTCCTCTAGTGGAAACGCTGTTTATACTGGCCAAACAGCTATTTTCCTTGTATATCTTAAAACGATTTTCTAAGCAAGTAAACTATCCAAGCAAAAGGTTTGCTTTGGCGCTTTTGTTGATCTATTTACATCCACCATTGAGCAACAGTAACCCACTAAATTTAAAAAAATAAATTCAACATAAATAAAACAAAGGTGTCATAACTATTAGATTTTTTTTTTTTTTACTATCTGGAGTTGAGCAGTCATAATCTCTATTTAGCAAATGTAAAAAAAATAAACTGATCCTTAGTTTACTGCTGTCACCTTGTGTACATCTACACAAGTTATTTCTAGACAGCATTTAGCATTTTCACAGTATGTTTATGGGTGTTTGTGGGTGTGTATGTGTTGGTGAGTTTGCATCAGCGTAGCCTTAAGCCTTCTTTTGCGTGTTTCTACAGTCTTCCAAAATACAAATAGATGTTAACACCAGTTTAAGTAGCAGTAAAGTGGCAAATGTATTCCTATCAGTCTAGATATTTTCTCTGACACCAAGGAAATATACCAAATGGTTTCATTTATCAGTCTTTAATCTGAATTATTCGTGTATCATCTGTTAATTTTATTTTAGAGGGAACTGTCAATATGGTTTCAGAATGGGCCCTTAAATCTTCATATGTTCCAAATTTCCTCTGCTTAAAATGGAGAACATTATGTAAGATATGTCTGCAAGCATAATCAAAGCTAGACTTTGATCTCCCTGTCACATCAATTAGATGACATCAGCTCCTTGAGTTGTTGGACTGGGAGATAAAAGGTAGTGCACTTCTTCAGAACTGTGATTCAAGGTTTTGTCTGTTTTATTGTTGTTAGTTTTTCCTAGCACAGCTTACTGAGGACAAAAGATTAGGTATATTTTCAGTGCTTGAAAAAAATCTCAGCAATAATATTTTTACATCTTGCAGAGATCTTTTGTAGTTGATTACTTGGTACTAATGCTGTTACTTTAGAAGTCTTATTTTGAGTTGGCTTGTATTTTTTTATATTACAAGACTGCTTAAACACTTGAATTTCTTAATAGATGCTTCCCACTTCTGGGCAGATGGCATTTTTTGGAGAGGATGTCAGCTTTGCTCTGTATTAGCTAACAAGGTTGTAAATGCTTTGAAAACACAACATATTGTATAATCATTGTTTTTGGAATATTGTTTTTGAAACACAATCAACTTCTGCTGTCCTAGAGATGTAAATCCTGAGTGTATTCCTGAGCTTTTTTTTTTTTTGCTTTGCTTTTCTTTTTTTTTTCCAGATGGCAGGGCATTACACTTTTATCTTCTATTAAACCATCCTCTGCTTAATAAAAAGTTGTAATATTGCTGTCCAGTACACCAAGATTTGAAGAGCTGACAGGCTCCTACAGGTAATTCAATTTGATTTTATTCCAAGTGTAAAATGTGAGTTCTTTTTAAATTATTATTATCTCTTGATACCAGATCTTTTACACTGAAGAACAGACTATGAAGTGAACTGATCTGTTTGAGAAAGAGAAAGCTTAAAAAAAGGTTTTTTCAATATTTCAGTTGTTTTAAAAATAAGTCCTGCCATATCCAGCACAACAAAATGGGAGTTTCCCATTCTTGCATTTCTTTCTTTATATGATGAGCTTTGGCAAATCACAGATCTCTGTAACATGGCCTAAAAGATTTTTTTTTAAGAAGTGGGATAATAGTGATTTCCTTACCAGTATTGTTAATTAAAATCTGTAAGAAAGAAGAATTTCCTCCTGCTGGGAATAGTCATGCTGATTTGCTTTTCTATTTTGTTTGGTTGGTTTTTTCTTTTTATAGTCAGTGTGGCTTATTAGCAACCAGCATCAATAGCAGCCAGTACTTACCAGGAGCTGCTGAAGTCTAATGTATCTTACGGAGGACATACTAAATATACAGAGAGTTCTTAGTGAAATGTGTCGGGATCTGAGATTCTGTGTTACCCGTGTAACCTATGTTATTATCCCATCACCTCATCTACAGTGGAGCTACTGCTGTTTTATACAGATAGGGCCGAGGTGATCATCTGGATTCACACATGGAGTACTACATTTAAACTCAGCATCCAGTTGTGCCACAAATTCCTAGTGGCAGTGGAGAACATTGACTTGCTAAGGAATCCAGTGTTTGTATTTCAACTGCTGCAGCTGATGTTACCTCCTTATTGAATTGTCTTTTTGACTATTTCATTGTGCCACTGTCTCTGACAGTAACTTTGAAGCCTGTATTTATTTAAGTATGTGTATCTGCATATTTCCAGCAGATGGCAAGATATTCCTAGGCAACTGTCTGGGAAACACAGTTGTATATACAGTGCTTATAAGTGCTAGTTCTTTATTTTAATGTTACAGGCTGTTGAGAATTGTTCTTTAAAAATTAGTTTAAAGGGAAAAAAATAATTTGGGGTTAATGGTAGCATAAACCTAAAGTACTACTTCAGGCGTCAGATATTTGTATTAATGTCTATTAATCTCACTCTAGTACAAGGTTTTTCTAGCTGTATCTTCCTTTTTAAAATTCTAAAAAACATTTGCTACTTGATGGGTTTGGAAACTCTTAGACTATGCAGTACTACTATTTTACTGCCTCTAACAGGAATGGAGTAAGCTTCCTTACTTCCTAACTTCTCTTTTTTAAGTTGGTATCTTGAAAGAAACAGGCTGTGGTTGCATAGGAAGACTGTGTTGTAGGAATGTATATTCCTTGCTGTCCTGGGCCATTATTCAGACGATAGTTTGTCCTGCATGCATGAAAAAAATGAAGCACCAAAATACTCCACTGAATCCACAGAATGAAACCAAAATAATTTATTACGGGCTTCACATGAAGAAAGTAGTGTCTTACCTTTTTCAGTGAAAGGATTAATATTCTAAAATCAATCAGAGCATTTTTTCTACATGCATCTCTCAAAAGAATCAACTAATTGTCAAATAAAATTTTACACAGTACAGCCAGGAGGAAAATATAGTATTTCTGGATTTAAATGTTATCTGTCCTGGTGAAGACCATAAAAATAATTTGATATCACAGGTGTAGTACTTGTAACTAGTATTTTGGCACAAAAACTTACAAAACCGGGAGAAAAAACCCTAAAAATATACAATTTTTTTATTTTTTAGGTTAGGGGGAACCATTTTCACTTCAAGCTGAACTTCAGCATAACCAAGAGACAGAAACAAATTTCATCTTGTCATCTTCATTCATCCTGCTTAAAATCTGTAAGTAATGCATGTTTCTGGAAGGTAGCTACTACACCTGAAACTGATTGTGTGTATTTTAACTCTTGTACCTATTGTTTCCACTGTGCATTTGCCTCTTTCAGATCTACTGATAGATGTATTTGTCTAATGGAAAAGCATTTTAACTTTTCCAAATAGCTCCAAACTCCCTTTGCAAATAACCTCAGCAGTTCTTTTTTCACATTTTGATGTACAGATCTGTTTGAGTGCTTGTGCTTTATATTAACCTATTGTTATTCTGCCAGCGACAGCTGCTGCAGAAAGAAAAAGGAGTATCCTAATGCTTACCCATTCATACTCTGTGCTTCCACTTGTACAAGTTGGTATTGTAAAGATAAGTGCAGATCCAAAAAAAAGTGAGTCTGTGAATCCAGGCTACAAACAGAGGGAGAGAGATTGAAAGATGGTGCTGGGTGGTTTGATTGCATAAAAGAAAGCTTAGCCAATTTATAGCCATTAAAAAGTATCTTTTTGCTTAGTAGAATGCAGTAGGCCATGTTTTATATTTCAGCATATGAAGTTCATGCAGTTGGGTTAGTAAGCAAATATGGTGGCTTATTCTTGTGAACAGTACTTTTGGTTAAAAGAAGGTGAAGTCAGAAGTGGGGCAACTCTTTAGTTAGGAAGCACTTAGGCAACATCAGCATTGGGATATTTGCCATAATAAAACATTCCTTTAATGGAGAAGAGGTTATAAAATCAGATGAAGAATGGTCTGAAACAAGATATAACATAAAAATAATTGGGAATCATCACGGAAAAGATTTATTGACAAGCAAGGTTTATTTTTTCTGTAGCTCAAACCATTAAATTGTCTTTGACTGATACTCTTTAATCCCAAAGTTTGAGGAACCAAAGGATCCTGACTGAAAGGGATGCTCACACTCACGGAGGAACTGTTATGGCAATACAAGAGAATTTTTCAAGGAAACTTAATGATGCATGTAAAAATTTGCTAGATAGTTTCAAGTTTGCCAATGTACCATCAAATAATCCGTGTTTGACTAAAACAGGCTCACTCACAGATTGCTTATTGTTTTGTGATTTTCATGTTGAAGTGCTTTGTCTTCACCTTTAAGACTTAATTATGCATTAGTTTAGAATGTCTGGTAACTGTTCTCATGTGTCCCAGATCCTAAAGGGAAGAAGCTCTGCTCTTTTAACCCAGTGAGTTAAACTACTGAGTTCAATGTTTAACGTGCTATTGCTTAGTGCTCATTCCAGGAGTAGGAGAATTGCAGATTACTGAGAGAAACTCCATGTCTGCTAGTTAAGATGTGAGTGGGAGGCAAAGGCACTGCTGGACTGAAAGCAGAATGTGAATTATCAGTTGCAACTAGGAGGCTCTTAGCTTACCATCACTGCCAGTTGATCCATCTCTCCAGAGCGCTATCTCTGGTTGACAAAAGGCTTTCATTTGAAATAAATATATCTCTTTAGAAACAAAGATCAAAGGATACATATTTGTTATGGTTCGGGTTATTTCACAGGTGAGGAATTCAGCAGAGAGGAAGACTCTGCCCTTGTAGTTTGGGAGCTATTGTTGCTATATTGATGCTTACATCTCCCATTTCCACTAGTGTAAGAAACAGGGAGGAAAAGCTCTCTGTTTTAATTTTGGTAGTTCAATGAACACATAAAGTTCAGTAATTAATTAGCAAGTGGCTCAGCTAGGACCTTCATTGCTTAAAAGACTAAAACTATTGGGAATGTTCCTACAACTGAAGGTGGTTGAAGAATCATTGCACTTTATGGGCTCCTCACAGAATAGATTATATACAATTATTCTTTCAAATTTAGACAGATATAGAGTTGTAACTTTTTAAACTTGATGACTGGGTGGCAGGACTTGTAGTTTTTTCTTTGCTGAAATTACTTTTATTTTTTTCACTGCTCTATCCACAGAGTACTTACATGGTTTCTGACAAGGTTGACCAAAGAAAATCCTTCTCTTTTTCTCCCTCCTAAATGTTTCAATTGAGACATCATTATGACAACTAGTTCTTAAAGACAATTGTCAAAAAAAGGGTCAATTGGTACTAGTTTTACCTCAGTAGAAGGAGAAGACAGGTATCCTGTTATTACTTGAATTAGTGATTTAAGATTTTCAGCTATATTAGGACCTGTCAACTTCCCAAGGTTTTAAAGCTTTAGTAGGAATTAGAGTGCTGATATGAGACTATGAGCTAAACGACAGACGAATGGAGAGAGACAGCTACTGTCTTCAAGTATTTGTGAAATGTGAGTATTCTGTGTCACTCTAGAATGAAAATGCATCCCCATAGAACATCTTCTTTAGCAGATCAAACCAGCAGCAAGTGCACACATGCAGGCTGCTCTTCAGCTGACTTTTTTCTTGTCCAGCAAGAGACAAGCTACTATTTCGTTTGAAATCAATAGCAGTGAAATCATTGAATCCAGTGGGAATGAATTTGGGCCAAATGCCACTAAGTTTGGATAAAAATCATAAGGCAAAGCATTAATGTATTTGAATATAAACCGGGGTAAAGCATATATCCTACATAACATCAGAAATCACCATGGTAATGTTTTGCAGATTTTCTTGCTGAATTGAATATTAGTGTTTTTCTAGCCCATGTTAAAATAGCCAAAATGAATAATGTTTCAAGACTATTTTAAGTCAACACCTCCTTTACTTGTCTTTCTTATATAAGACAGAAGCACCCAGAAGCTAACTCACTTTTGTTGACACCACATTAGCCAGGAAGATAAAGAATTCTATTGGTAATCTGAGCTACATATGTTTATAAAGCCAAACTTCTATGCTTCTGTATTTATTTTTTCAGGATATTTAAAAAACCTATATGTGTAGAAACACAATTTTTGCCCGCTTTCCTCTTGTACGTGTTCACCAGCACATAATATGCTGTAAATTGTAGGGGCTTCTTTCTTCTTGCTGCATAACCTGGTCCTAATCCTTTAGAAAGCAACGATCCCTTTTCTGAAAGGTAACAGTGAAAGAAACTGTGGAAGAAAGAAAATGGATACTTCTACCACAGGAGACATGCAATTGTCATTTCAGAGGATGGAAGAAAATGGTGAAAATGTTAAACAAAGAAGACTTAACCCTGAGTATCAAGTTTTCGCCTTGGTTTCTCAAGAAGACTCTTTTGATTGCTTTCCCTGGACCAGACTTAATTGTGCTGTCCTAAATTCTCATTACTGTTCCAGCCAGTGTTCAGCTGGATCGAGAGACAGGCGTTCTTAGTTCAAAATATTCCAAATCCAAGAAGTGCCTTCAGTAAGCATGCATAGAAACACCACTGTAGGCAATCTGAAAATTATCACTGACATATTAAATGTTTCTTCTTTATGAAGTACAGGTTCAGTTTTAAAATACTATATGCACTATAGTTTAGAAACAGTATCTAGACTCCTCCTGTCTTTCATATATATACCCATATGAGCTAGTATATATAAAAGTTGCACACACAACTTAGAAAGATGAGGGTAAGATAATCTTAAATATATCTATAATTATGTGGTAAGTTTAAGACATACAGAAATAGATCCTTGGTGTTTGTCTGACTCTGAAAGAAATGGAGCAACAAAGGAAGAAGAGTGTGGATGGACTATTCCACCAGATGTTTTACAGATTACTCTGTATTTCATCACTCACTATTTAATCTTAAAACTGTAGTTATTGTAATACTGAAATAGCTCAATAGCCTATATATTACTTTGCTACTTCTAGCTATGCCTGTTCCACATACCTACCCCCTAAAGCTCGCCAGTTATTATTATGTAAAGAAAAATGTCTTCATTACCCCATCTGGTAACCCAGTGCATGAAAATTGAGAGCTCTGTGATATTTGTGCTAGCGAATATAATTCTCAATGCTGCTCTTGTTCAGATTACTTACCCAATAAGCAACTGATGTGGACCTGTATTTGTTAGTAATTTATGCTACTTAATGACTATGGTAGAGGTATTTGGGCCAAACTTCTGATCTTCTGAAGAGTCTGTTTAAGAATATGGAGAATTTGAGGAATGCCTTAAACTATCTTTTTCTCTCTGTTTCATATATGGGGTTAACAGTGTGTGGTGCAAGAGAATGAAACGGGAGAAAGTGTGTTTGTGTGGGAGTGTCCTGGTTAACATATGAAATGATCACAGGCCTGAGTTTCTTGCCTTTTATGTAATATTCATTGGAAGATACTAAGGTTTGTAAACTGAGACTTCTAGTCTCACTGTTACTCACACCTGTGTTATGAGATTGTATTAGCTTTGCCTAGTATGTTCTAGTGCCAAGGAGAAAGAAAATGTCCTCTGTTTTCCCAAGTGTGAAATACTTTTCAAGTGGAAAAAAGGGAAAGATAGCCATGTATCAAGTGGAATAGAAGTATTGCACAGGTTAAAGGGATACATTTCCAGAGGTTGGATTCCTTTCACAGCTGTTAAATTTCCAAAGCTACTCTGGATTCAACTCTATCTGACCACCCTGCTACAGTCTCCTTACTTACACACCAGGGATATGCAATTTATTTCTGCTACTCCTTTGCCAGTTGAGTTTTTAAAGTTATTGGGCTAGGTATTCTCTCTCAAACATATCTTTAAAATCCCAGTAAGCTAAGAACTGTAATATTACTTGGGACCTTTTGTAATAAATAATTTTATTATGTATTATTAGTTACATGGTAGGAGCCTGATCCCGTTGGCGCTTTAAGTGCCAGGTTTTCCACTGAAGTTGTTATGGATCCTGTGAACATGAACGTTGGAGCTTGAGTCTCTGGTCCTGAAAGACTGGTTTTCCTTACCTTTATTTATTACATCAAGCGGTTAAAAAAAAAAAACACAATCCCAACCCAGCCCCCCATCTATTTGCAATAAAGTAAACTGAGCCAACAAATTAAGGAATGTAAATGTAGAGTTAGATTTCTGTTCAGTAAAGTACTGCATCCTAATGCAAAGGAGGCACAGAAGACCATTTTTTGTTTATTGAAGTTTCCAAGGAGCACAAACTGTATGAGGAATCCTTTACCTTAACCACAATCTAATTGTTCTCTATAGGTTCATGTTGTATGGTCACTACAGGAATGTAAAAACTATTTAAAAGCAATCAGGAGGAAATAAAGAATGCACAGTCAGTTTACATCCCCTGTCCCTTAATGCATCTGTAGGACACTATCAGAAATCCTCCTATTGTCAGGTGAAATTTGGACTAGTAGTAGGGTTAATTATTGTTGAACAACTTAGTTTCATGGCCTGAAAACTATTTGCTACCTATTTCAAATATTCTTTACCTTTCTGAGCACCTTTCTCCTTACTATCTTAAAGTATTCCAATTAAGCATCTAAACAGTTCTCAAAAGCTAGGTTAAAATGTTTTTAGTAAATCCCCTCATGAAAATTTCACAGGCTTTGTCTACACAAGGAAGTTCTACCATTAGTTTTTTCTTTTCTGTGTGAACTGAAATGACAGTACTGACAAAAGGAGCTTATGAAACTGATTTGGTTAAATCAGTGCAACTTTTTGTGTAGCTGAGACCTAAAAGTATAAACACACTTTCCTTTGGTTTGTAATTCTCTGTCTTTGGTCCACTTGAGAACACAAAGAACAGCGCTTATAAGTGCTGAGCATTATTAAGTAAAAGATGCACATACTCAGCAGCTCCATGATGCACCTTAGAGCAAAAGGTGGAGATGAGACACTGGGCTAGAGGGATCTTTCGTTCTGTGGAATTAGTCCTATGTATTGGTTGGTCCTAAATCTAGAGTGATCTAGAGTGAATCTAGAGGTTTCAGATACCTTAGAAAAGAGGGGTATTTGATTTTCTTTTTTTGGACCAATCCTTTTGTGGAACAGTGAACTCCCAATAGTATCGGATTAGTTCTGTTGGTGCTGTATTTTCTGACAGCCTGGGCTTCCCTGTCTTTTCATATTCATTTCTACTCTGCAAGACTTAGTAAAAGGAATAGTTGTGACATAAAGCTGGTATAAGGAGAGAACATATCCCTAATAAATTATGTAACGATGGACTTAGATCCTCAAACTTATTTAAGTCACAAGCTATAAAGGCAGAAAGAGACACTGCCTTTCTAATTTCAGATACCAAATCCATCCAAATAGACATGTTCATTGCCAAATTTTTATTCAGTTTTCATGAAGAAGAAATAGCTGTATGTGTTTGTAACATATATTGCACGCAGTATTGTCATAACATCAAACAAGCTTTCAACCGTTGCACGTGTTTCAAGCTGCTGTAATAAAGAGGGCATGAGGGAGTTGCTTCAGATTGTTTTTTAAATTAAAATATTCTCAGAAGCTTTCAACAAGCATTTTGCTATCTATTCTGCTCCATAGACAAATATGCAGGGGTGCTGTTTTCCTTGTAATGTGAAGTGCTTTCTTAAGTTAATGATTCTGAGTATTTAAAATCAGAGCAATCGTTTTAAGTGTTTTGTTGTACCAACAGTGGAAGCCTCATTGAGTTAAATTGGTTTCGCTACATTACCTATTGGATTAGCAAACTGGTTAAGAACTGATGTGAGAGCTTTTACTTTAACTTGGATAAATGTTTTCATTTTTACCCAGAATCAGGACAGACACTGCTGTATATTAACCTCTTAATAATGCTGTCACTGCCAGCATTACTTTCAAACAAATCATGCCGTATCTTTTTCTTCATCTTGTGCTTTCTGATTCTTTTGAACCTCTTGAGGCAGCAACAGCTACTTTTTAACATAAATACAGTAGTCTGCATAAGTGCCCCACAGAAAGCACTCATGAATACAGAATGGTACTTCCTCTTCTGTTGTCAAGGCCAAAATAGAGTTTTACAAGCCCCTGGGCACGGAATAGGCAGGATTTCATTATGGGGTGAAATCTCTGAGGTTATTTTGATTTTCCTTCTAATGCATTTTATCTTCAATAGTTGGAATGTCTATTTTGTCCATTTATAGAAGCTCCGATTTCTGTGTATCTACATTTTATTAACACTTCACATTTAGAATGATTACATTAACACATATCCCACTCTTTTTCTCACAGACATGCCAGTCCATAGAGCAGTGCTCTAAATTGCTGAAAGGAACACAAATGCTTTCAGGTACAGCACAGAAATAGTGCCTTCTGATCTGTCACATACTTCCCCCCCTCCTTGACGCTAGTTCAATGTATCCAAAGTCAGTATTCAACTGACATAAAATTTAGTTTATTTCTGTTTATTAAGGGCATCATGAAATTACAGTTGCATAGGGCATTGTCTTTAGATGTTAATACATCTAAAGTACTAATGTCAGATTATTTTTGAGTATGATGGTTTTAAATTTAAAAAGAAAGTAAAGCACATGCAAAAGTACAGAAGATTTAAATTTATGCAAGACTCCAATCATTACACCATACTCCTGCACTGAAGTTTCTCCTTAAAAGAGTTTGAATGGCATCTGACTTTTCCATTTCTGGCTCTGGAAACAGATTTGAGAAAATCCCACTCTTCACGATGGAGGTGTTTTGCCTTGTGCTACTCCTGCGAGCGCAGCAGCAGTAGCTGAAACACCTGTTCTGCCGCTGAGTCACCTTGTGCCTGGGATGGGCACAACTGCCATATGTATGCTCACAGTGCACATTTCTGACTGCCTGCAGTGTTTTGAAATTATTTTTTTTTTAACTTTATTTATGCTTCTGTCTACAACACTGTGATAGTCTAGCATTCTGGCTTTGTTTCCTCATGGGTTTTTTTGAGGAAAAGCTTGCTGCCACGTTTTACTTTGATCAGTCACAAATGATCTGTGCACCTTGAAAATCTGCAGTCAAACTACAGAAAAAACTAATTGAATAAATCTCTGAAGAAGTCAGCAGGGCATGCAGCCAATGACTGACTCCCAGATGGAGAAGCAACTAATTTTGTCCAATAACCCCATGTGATTACTCAGTTGGCTTCAGTGTAAAGTTATGTCAGGTGCACAATTACAAACTATTACTCCTGAAGTAATTAGATTAGACATTACCTTTATAATATCTGCAGCCACCATCTTGCTAATTACTCTAAACAACCAGCCACTGCACATTAGAGGGACTAGGTCAATGCTTTGTTCTCTGTTCTTTAATAACTTTAATTCCCAAAACATGAATTATTTTCTTATGATTTACACTCTACAGGAACTTGCTGCGAATATTTCTTCAATTGAATTTAGTCAATAATTTCACTTAGTAGTAGATACTGAATCTGACAGGCAATGTAATAAATAGCTAGAGAAACCAGCAGGATACAAAGAGGTTAGATTCTGCTTTCACAGCAGTAGTTAATCTACTGATTTTAAACCAAAGATTATTTCTGATTTACTGAAGTGTAACAGAGAAGAATAAGGCACTATGGCCTTTCTAAAGGATGTAGTATTGTTGTGGTGATACTGTTCCAAGTGCTGAGCAGAGTATTTCAGACTTGCCTACCATCTTCCCTTGCCTATGAGGTGCATCATCCAAGAGTTATATTTAAATTTCTAATGCTTCTGAAGCCAGATAAGAATTAGATCAGGGGTAAATTGAAAACGGTCTGTTTTAAGCTGAAAGGAGAGGTAGAAGCGGGGCTTAAGATATGTCAAGGACCTGACCCAGGATCATGATTAAAACAACAATTTAGGATGGAAAAGGTAGAGTCATGCTTCTGCTGTTTTTATTCCACTCTGCACTTAATCATTATATAAAACAGTAAGATCAATTCAGAAGAGAATAGGAACGTTTGAACTTCCTTGGGGAGAAAGTGATTACGACCAAAAACAAGCTTAGAAAAAAAAAAAAAGGTGTATTTCTGTAATGTAGCATATCATCAACATCAGGAACAAACACCAAGAAAAATAAAATAGGAGAACCGGGAGGAAAAAAGACACCCCTGACTACCTGCATATATTGAAGGAGATGCAGAATTTCATTAGCTTTCTGGATAAGGTGAAGGTTGAGTGATACTTTGCTTTAATTCAGTACTTGAGTGTCTCAGAAGCTATGGTAAATAGCACTACATAAGTACTAGTTGGATGCACTTACCTAGTTGGAGGGTAAGTTTCTGTCTCTCCTGAAGGGTTTTTCTTCTGTAAAACTTAAAGATATAGGAAATAAATCAGCATCGTTATATCAGTTTTGCAGATGATGAAGTGATATGACTTAACTACGCTTCCCCAGCAAGTCAGTGGCAAGATCTTGGAGCAGAATCCAGGTGTCTCAGTCTAGCGCTAGACTGGTGAGACTGTGGAACAATCATAGCTTGATGTCAGTTTGTGCTTTCCAGCACTCTGTTGGCAGATAGGTTTTCCATTATAACAGAAACTAAAGATTGAGGTGAACCTAAGCCTGACTTTTGATGGGAGCATATTTTCTATTATAGCTCAGCTCAGGATCATTATTTTTTCTTCAAAGCATTCTCTTACTTCAGTGATACTGAACAAATCTTATTTCACATTGTAAATCTGTGTTAAAACGCTCTGTCTTTCAGTGCTGGTTCTATGAAATCAAACCATATGTCACAGATAAGGCAGGAGGAATGTGCGCACACTCCCCTGTGATCAAATGCTTGTTTCATCCTTATTGCAATCACAACTATTAATCAGCAGCCAGTATGTTCAAGATCCCCATCTTCAAAGCTCAGTGCAGCTCTTCCTCTTACCTACATCTTTTGACTTATCTCACACCTCCCCATGCTTACTTCCATCACAGCTTTCAGCCACTTGCTTTGCTTCCTTCTTTCTCTCCCTCTCACATTCCACATTTACTTTTGTGTTAGCCTCTATATTTAAAACAATCTCTCAATTTCAAGGTAACTAAATGCACAAAAAAAAAAATGTCCGTTTTGAAGTATCTTACATTGCTTTCCTACACCAACAGTATTTCAGTTGTTTCAATCCATATCCCAATACATTTACTGTGGTGATTTTTTAGAGATTGTGAAACTTGTGTTTGTTGTGAATACCGTGTTCATTTGCTGAGTTCACTGGAATTATTTGCAGAACAAAGTGTTATTTTGCATGAGTTGGGTGAGAGGATCTAGTCCTGACTTAAAGAGTGTGTATGACTACTCACAAATTTCATATTCAAAGAATGGAAGAGGCCCAACATAATAGGTCAACCTCTGAATGAAAATGGCAAAAATATCCAAAGCAGCTGAGTAACTTAAAGCCAGTTATGACATTTTTTTACTTTACTCAGCTATTTAGGGACAGATGCAAAAAGGGTATTTGCAGAGGCACACGTGGTAGACTCTCACTGAAAATTAACAGAATGAATTCTAAAGTCCTTCCTGAAAAAGGAGTCAGAGTTCCTTAATTATCAAGCACCTTTAAAATTTTTCCCAATCCAATGTAGGAAGCCTGAGCTTTTTCTTTTATCTATTTTTGGGCCTAGTAAACTAATAAACATTATTGTGTTTAAGTGTTTAAACTTTCACTAGCTTAGATCTGAAATTTAATACAGTCATTATTAACAATCCAGTAGAATTTTATGTAGTGTATTTTATTTCATGCTGTGACTAAGAGTATTGAAATATTTTCAATACTTTATCCGATAAAGACAAATAATAATTTAAGAAAAAGCCTCCACTCCCCTCTATTCCCTTTTACTTTGTTCATGAGATTCTTATGATTAAAAACTCCAACTTTACCACTACTGTTAAACCTAGACCATCCCACAGAAGGCCAGATGCAGAAAATCACTATGTGTAGAATTGAGGAATTAGCTCTTCCATTACAAAAAAGGAAATGATCTGAGTGTGAAAAGCCAAATCTTCATTACTGCTCAACCCTTAAAGTGGAGGAAAACCATGGTAATTTAAGATTTAAACTTTTGCTGCAAATATGTACATATGAAAAACTGTCTCATGGTAATACAGGAAATAAGGAGCTGGGCTTGTTTGGCAGAGTACAGTTATTACTGTGTCAAATCAGATCAGTAATAAATTGCTGCTTTTGGTAGGAATTGATAGCAGAACCTCCTTGATTTTAGAAGTGTCTCGAGCTCATTGGAAAATATTTTGAGAAGAGATGGATCGATACAGTTTCAGCAAGGGCTTTTTAGTCTGTAGGTACTGTTCAATTTGTAGCTCTTCACGTGATTTTTTTTAATTTTTTTTTTTTACATTGTGTATGCAACCCAGTATATAACATTGACTGCTGCAAAGGCTGCTGGGAACACGGCTCTGGCATATATATCAATGGTATCAGCATCAATGGGCTTAAAGAGGGACTTCAGGCCACTCTTTTTATCCAGTTTCATTATATGCCGCTGTTTTGTCTCTCCAGTTTCTATTTCTATTGTGCCATATGATCCAGGCAGGCTTCTGGGAATTCGGTGCTGCCTATTGGAAATTGCCAGTTCCTGGTTCACACCAGCTATGGAAAGGGAAAACAGAACAATGGCATTCTTCACGTTTATCTGCAAAAGAAAGAGGAGAACCTATAATAGCAATTTACAGGGCAAAGGCTTCATCCAAGCTAGCCATGACACTGACACAGTGAAGTACCTGTGAGATCCATAAGTGCTGAGAGGTATTTATCACTTGCTTTGGCAGAAAGACTGCTGAAAGACTGTGCCACCATGTCTAAATTCTGGTTATAATTTTACATGCTCTGAATTACCAAGGCACGGTTGAGACAGCATGCTTAGGCTCTCCTGACTGAAAATAATGGACTGCCTTTATGGAGACAGTTATCCCATTGTGTGGCCAAAACCAACAGGCAGTTCTCAGGCTCTTGTCAAAGTTGAGAGAATGTGGAGGTGGGACAGAAAATTAATACAGATCAGTTGTATCCACTACAGCTTAATAAAATGAAGTAATAATAATCATAAATAATATCAAAGGTGCCAGAGAGTTCAAAAATATGTAGGCCTGGACTACAAGTTGTGAACTGTCAAAAAAAAACATTCCTTAATCAGTTCAGTCCGCTTCATCACTAACATGCATGTACATACATGGAGAAAGCAGCAAAGCCAGCTGGAGCTCCTGGAAGAAATTTCATCCATGGACTCCTTCGTTGAGTTTCATTTGGCTTCATATTTATATAACTTAAATCCATGCTAATTATATCTGTATTTACCTTAGGCAGTTTAGGTGTAAAAAAATGTAAACTCCAGGGGACAACATTCAAGATGGCAGGCCTAGCTTTTGTTTTGCTGACAGCATTTTATCATGATGTAGCAGAGCTGGAAGAGTCTTAGCAGAAGCAGCTACTAAAGAATACCTTCTGAGAAAAGGCCTTTCTTCCTCATCTCATGTAATACTGTCATAAGGACTTTGCCCTGACCCTACAGGAGCAACTCAAAGTTACCATAACTTACACTTAGGACTGGACAAATATCAAGGGGTCTAAATATATTCTAAAAGTTTAAGACGTACAAATCCAGTTTAAGACATAGTTTGCCTCTCTTATTCATTCTCTCTTATTCTCCATTTCCTATCTTAAATATAGCAACAAACCATGTAAGAATATGTTGTCTTTAGTGCTAACCACGCTGCAAGGGGAAACTGGGAAACCAAGCAGTTGTATCTGGTTGCTTGTCATATTAATGTGACAAAAGAATTAATGAGGAAATTTTTATTTTTTTTATCGAAAGGGGTAGAAGAATTTGCTTCCATAGTTGAATAAGATCACAATGCAAGGTGATTGCTTTTGCAAAGTTATTCACAGTATTACACTTACTGACCTCTCCACTCTGCCTTCTCGCTTTTATCTTGTTCTTTTGCTTTTTCATGTAGTCAGCATTGAAATGTGCAAATGCATACTCTACCAGTGCAGCGAAGACAAACACATAGCAAATCCAGAAGTAAACATCAAGCGCCTTGATGGCAGATGCTCGTGGAAGCGAAGATCGGGCACTGACCATCAGTGTAGTCATAGTAAGAACAGTAGTTATGCCTGCAGTGTAGTGTGAGAAAGTTTACTTTAGGTTTCAAAGCATACACTGTAGTAAGTGTATTTACTAACCTGAAGCTGAGGAGTATTTTCACAGTAGAAGCCCCTTAGTAGTGTGGCTTCCAATTTGCGAAACGGGAGCTTGTAAAAAATGGTGCATTTGTATGACTAAGGCACCTTTGAATATGTTATCCTTGCTTTTGGTCTAGATCAGAACAAAACCAGGACTTAACCCTCAAAAACTTTTGTGTCTGGACTTGCAACCCTTACGCAGGGAAACAGATCCACAAGCTCTAGGAACATTTTTTGGTCACTGCCCCAGTTCCTTCAAATCAGTTCTTTCATGCACCTCCCTCACAATCACTTTTGCTTTTAACCATCTTCAGACTGTTCTTTACTGAGGCAGCTGCTCAGATAGCATGACAGAAATTAAAACATGGAGGAAGTCTTTTAGAAGACCCTCTCTTCTGCAAATGTAAACACAGTACTCATAAATACACCTTTATGGAAAATGAGGATTAATTATCAGAGAGCATAATTACAACTTCAGCGTACCCTTCCCTGTTAGTTCCCCAATCTGTCTTACCTAATGACACTCTGGCAGGCACAGCTGACTGACTGATCCAGAAGGATACCCACGACATGGCCACTAGTAAGATAGAAGGGACGTAAGACTGAATGATGTAAACTCCTCGGTTTCGCCGAAGGTGGAAGTGGAGACTGAGCCTGGGGAACTGACCTGCTGGAAAAAAGAGCAGACAAAGAAAGATTCTGACTGAGTGAATGACAGTTACACTGATACTCAAAATAACATTGCCTATAATGACACAGCTCTACATTCTTACGCATCTTTCAGATAAGGATCACAAAAAGCTTTTTGAAGTGTTGTTCAATTAGTCTTCATAAACCCTGCATAAGGTACTGCAGTTCTTATCAGCACTGTTAGCTGAGAATAGGTCAACTGATTTGTCTCAGGTCATATCAATGCCAGATCTGAAAATAAAATCATAAGCCTTCTCGAATAACAGTATTGCTTCAAAATGTGTACTGTCTTATCATCTGCTGTAGAAAGTCCTCCAGATACTAAATTTAGATTTTTTAAAAGGCCAAGTTAATTTCAAACTCAAAAAAGATCTTAGAGGAGATGTGCAGCATAAATGAGACTCTGAATACATGAAAGAGGATGAAAAATCAGCGGGAAATAAATTACTCCAATCTTTTACAAACATTGCAATAAACCCAGCGATACGCATACACACCACTGACTTCTACTGGATAGAACTAGAATGATCTGACTGTATGTCATAAGCCTCATAACACTGAGGCTAATGGAGATTTTTCTTTATCCAGAGTTGCAAATTAGGTCAAGAAAAGGTGAGCTATACCTCAAGTGTTTTTTATCAAGTGCTGTCTGGGTAGTCCATGCAGTATTTCGTCAAACACAGAGCGAAAGGACATAATATGCTACAGTGGCTACCCGAAGGCTCAGCAAAGGTTGGCTTTTTTTACAAGTGTAAGCTAAAGAAAATGTTTATCAGAAACCTGACAGGTCTTAAATTAATTACTTAAGAAGAAGGATTTTCTATTATAGATACAGGAGGTTTCCCTATGCAGGAAAAAGTCAGATACTGTCCCTGAGCTGAAGACAGATCCTGTTACCAGATTTGAAGTTCATCATTTCTGTTGTGAACTGGTAATTGGTAATTGTGAATTGAGCAAGCTGCAGCTTATCCAGCCCATGGATCTCCTCTTGGTTTTCTGACCAGTGGTAGACGATATCCTCTGAAGAGTAGCCATCTGCCAAAAAAAAGCCGAATAAACACTAAGTTTGAGGAAGAAATTAAGAACTTAGAGGGCTCATAGTGCAAGTCTTCCAATTCCTCTCCTATGCTGATTTTCATCGGTCCACTGCAAACATGCTGTGATTCAGTCTGGATAATCCACTATCCTGGCAACATCAGTGCTGCCAGTGTCACATTGGGGAAGCTTTCCTACAGGGAGAATAATCCAAGTTGATTCACACTGACTAGCAATATGTGCTGTGGCACAATGCACTTCAGTGTCATGAGAAATATTCAAATTATCTCTCAAAAAGCTCATTTGCATACTCACTTAAAGTAGAGTAACTGTTACTGTAGCACTCAAATTAGCCTACTTACCCTGCACTGTGCTGGGATCTGACAGTCAGAAATTTCTGATTGTAAAAGAAAATAACTGCCAAATCTAATCTACTGATGCCTATCTTCCTGAAGACAGATCAGAGTATAATTTTGTACTGCAAGTCTATCTCCAAGTTCATCCATTGATTTAATGAAATAAGTACTGTCAGGCAGTGTCAGGAAAACAGATTTCCTTTGTCAGGAATTCCCCCAGTCTTCTCAAAAAGTATGCAACCAGTTGGCTCTACAGCTCCCCTTGCAAGCCCTGGAGTGCTTTTACAAATGGACACTGCATGAAAGAAAAGTATACAGCCGAATTGTTTGTATGAATCCTCACTTTTGGAAATAACTGTTAGGGTCTTCCCCTGGCTTAAAGTATTTTAATAAGAAATCAGTACCTATGCAAACTGCCTATGCATTGTTTTTCTGTCAGTTCTCCTCCTAACAGTTTTTGAACTTCCTTAATATTTTCAAATCAAAATGACAAAAAGGTATAGGCTTCAAATTCTTGATTCCAGAAATTCTAGATTCTTGAAAGCTTTGTAAGAAAAGGTGTGTAGAGAACAGAAAATCAAATTCGTGCATCCAGTTAGAGAACAGCAGTATAACTCAGACCCATGTCCATTCTGAGATGTACCAGGTAGGCTGACAGTCACTATATCTCTCAGCGTATTAATGCCTGCAGCTTGGCACGGGTGGAAGCTGGAAGGTAACTGTGAGGGAGAGGTACAGAGCACCAGGGACATGAGAGAAGCAGGGGGATACGTATGAGGGGATTTATGTAATATGCAAATCCATAGGAAATCTATCTTTGCTAGTTTTGCTGTTAATGGACAATTTGCTACTAAACCACTCATTTGTTTAAAGAGGCTTTATTCCTACATGTTTGTTTCACTGAAATCAAAACCTTCAAATTCAATTAAAAAATTCAACCACCATCAAAACTGCCTGCAGGACTTGCTGGGAGAGAGAAATGATTGCTGGTTCACTGTCTGCTGCCTCTGCATTTGCTGATTACATAAGTAAAACTGTAGATTGCTATTTTTGACAGTATAAAATGGTATTGTGGTTAATTGCCCAGAAAACAAAGTCAGTACTAAAAAAGAAAAAGAGAAACTTGCATCAGTTGGCCACTGGATCTGCTCAGGAACTGGTATCAACAAATCTCTGAAACCCTGGGGACCTGTCGACTCCTTGATATAAAAACCACAAAAGGCCAGATTCATTGTCATTGATTGGGTGGCCTCTGCTTGCATCAGTGCTGAATTTCATTCAGAAGTATTAATGCTCGTGGGAATTATGTGCTGATCATAGATAAAATCGAGGTTGGACAAAATACAAATGCATTTTTTACCCTCCTTTGTGAGTACAAATGAATTGTAAGCCAATCCATGAAGTATTATGATTAATTTCTGTGTGATTTCTACAGGAATGCCTAGGCAAGCTGAACAGCTATGTAAGGGTTAGTCACAGTGGCATTCATTAAAAGCAGGGAATTCTTTCTTTTTCCTGTTTTTTCATAAAGAAAAAAAAACACATAAAATTTTGCCTGTGGGCTTCTCTACTTATTCTCACTGGATTTGATGCAAATCTCAGTAATGACAGTGACTGTCACAATTGCACTAGGTTTTACATCAAGCACAAGGTTCCAGACATTTTTCAGCAGGCTTGTAGGTCGTTCATCCTCACTAGATTAAATTCCATAGTTTTGAATTGGATCGGAGCTGAACTGGTATTGAAAAGTCCACAGTCTAATGCCCCACACAGAGAATGAAGGGATTCGTGTTTGACCCTTTATTTCTAAATCCTAAGTCACCCCTTACATTTCATTGACTAAAGCAGATTCATTCCAGCAAGCTAAGTACCATATATTCAGGCTTTAAACAAAAGACAGATTATATGAAACGCTGTACTCAGCCCTTACAGCTCTCCAAATCCAACATGCATTCTTGCTCATCCATTGGATACTTGGAAAGGTCCATGTCACAGGCCACTGTTGAGGTAATCCTGTTTCAAGCAATGTGAACACCAGTTAGTTGCATTCAGATAGAGCCTTTTCCTCAGAATTCAAAAGACTAAATGGAAAACTTTGAAACCTTAATACTAATACAGGAAATTATTTTCAAAATCCTTACAGCTATTGCCTTTACTAAGTCTGTGGGAAACCTAAAGGCAAGGGGAAATTGAAGAAAGGTCAAATAACTTCTCTACTGTCAGAGAACGCTTCAGCTACATCTGATAAGAAAAAGGACTTTTCTGAGTCAAATCTACTCCCTTCCACTGTCCCCAAGATCACTATCAATACCTTAAGGGTGACTTTAGACTTAAAATTTCGAGGTGCACACTCATTATTTTTTAGAACATTACACAATTATCTTTAAATGCAGCTCCTGAGTTCTAGCAAGAACACTCTTCCGAAGTGAGGAAATACTACTTTGTTTGAAAATGGGGAAACTGAGCCTAATTGAGGCTCATGGATCCCTTGAAAAATAGTGAGAGAGTGGAGAACAGAATCTTTGCTCTGTATTCAGCATCTCCTTGCCTGGTGACCCAAATAGTTATGAAATGCTTATCTCCCATTAAGGACATTCTGAAAGTGATCAGTGATTATGCAGTGGAAAATGTTGTAGTGTTGCCAAAGATACCTTCCTGGCAGTGTAATTCTTGTAAAGCAAAGGGATCTCTGGTAGGAGTCACCAGTACTTTCTTCTGTTTTAAATTTATAATTATTTTAGGAAATCATCCTAGAAAAACTGAGTGATTACTTTATAGTCTGTTCAAAAAATTAATACATGATAGAGTACACTTGCACTCTTTCTTACTCACCTGATGCTGTATAAAATGACTCCATCTGGCTGGAGCCTGATAAGTTTGTTTTCCACGGTCACATCATGGAACCAGGCAGACTTGGCATTTACTATGAAAGTATCTGGCAACCAGAGCTTGTCCACAAACCGGCTGTCTAAGCCCAAAGTTTCATTGGTGTGGTTGTAAGACAGACGGTCATCTCGCCAGCTCTGGTGCAAAAATACCGTCATGGTATATTCCTATGGCAAGAGAAATCCTGATTAAAAAGTGATGCTAAACAAACACAATGATAATGTCTTGGATCTTTTTAAAGATTTTTAAAATCATTTTATTGGCCTAGAAATGTATTAACTGCTTCCAGTGCAAATAAGTATTTTTTTACTTGGTCAACCATAGAGCTGCCTAAGCATTTTAATTTCTGTCATATGCTTCTACCATGGATAAACCCAAGATATCAAAAAGTGATTCAGTGTCAGTGCTTTATATAACATGTTGCAGGAGTTGCATATGTCTTAATGAAGAAAATCAGTTTATGTATCTCCACAAGTACAACTTTGCTTTTTTTAAAGGAAAACTTAAAAATCAGGTAAAGTTATTGAAAGGATGAAGGGAAAGTAAAAGTTTGGGGCTTAAAATTAAATCTACTGTGTTTCAGAAATGCTGTTCATCCATGCCTATGCTTGTTTATGTGACTTGCAAGTTGTTATACTCCACTGCTTTATTGGAAGATCTTTACACAGAACAGAAGAGCATCTCACAACCAATCGTTTCCTTAGCTTCTTTTTGGAATTAGCTGTGGTGAAAAGGAATGTGAGCAGAAGTTGGCATTAATGCTTAAAATTAGGCTTTGTTAGTAAGTGCTGCACAGATCCAACCTTACTACCTGTAGTAAGACATCTCAGCGACTTATACATGGCTAGGTTCTTGTAATTGCCCATGTCTGCCAGAAGAGACTCTGCCTGTGTCTTAAAATACAACGTATGATCTTTGCAGTATTTTCTTGTGGTAATTTCTCCACTCCAAACACGTTGGGGATCAGCTCTCTCTATCTAGTTAGTTTTCTACACTTTCTGTCATTGCAGTACATACATTCACAACTTGGTGGGTTTAACTTACAACATACCATGTTCACTTCTGAGATGTGGTCAATGCTGGCTACTTCAATTGCAAGAGCAACATTAACAGGAGGACCTGAGAAAAAAATGTTTGAATGGGGTCATTTACATCACCATAGTACCTATAAAAATATAGACGACCCAAGACTGTTAATTCTTTCATACAGAGTGAATTCATAAAAGTGTTTTACATGCTAAAGGGCACTTTCCAAATAAAATCTTAAAGCAAGAGATTTAAATCTTTTACAGATTGCATCCCCGATTTCCAACAGAACACCTCACTTTAGTGATAAAGGACATGATATATAATCACAACTACTAAAAATTATGGAATCCTTTCTGGAAACCACATCATCTTGTTTAAGACAGCACAACTTCAAGCAAATGCAGAAATTATCCCACTTAAAGGAATTCAAAATTCCTTCAATTTAGATACCAGGGATTTAAGAACTTTATCAGCAACAACACTGTGTTGCTAAATTCTGTTGTAGTGTCTTTTTTCAAAATCAAGCAAATCATTGATTGTTTTTATTTCCAGTGTCCAAGTAGTAGATAATCACAACCTTTTAATCATATAGAGGATGATGTTCACATAAACATCAGAGTGTAGAAGAATTGTAAGAAACAAAAGAGACGTTATTCTCAAAGTCTCACCTCCAATCCCAGGCCTGAAATTACGTGCATACCCTTTCATTAAATCATCCAGGTTGGGTAACCAGGATATTTCGATGTTGGAACCTATGTAATCCCCGATGTCATTCATAGCTCTAGGTAAAGAGAATAAGTATCTTTTAAAACTTGGCCATGTTTACAAACAGAAAAATAGAAGAAAATGGAAGACATTGACTTCTTTTTCACCAGAGACCACCTACAGTATAATCAGCTATATCGGTAATTTAGTGGAAAAATACTGTGTCTATAGATAGGAAAACCATTTCAGATGTTTCTATTTGAATCAAAACATATTTCAGGCAAGACTGCGGCCTCTTTCTGAAATATAAGCACATACTTTTTTAAGGTTTTTTCTTTTTAAAAAATAAGTAAGGAAAAAAATATTTAGGAATGTAAAGAAAACATGAGGGAAGCCAAGATACTTTGTATACTGCATAAAATGCATCTGTGGATGCTGAAATGCAGCTATCTGGGGAGCAGGACACGGCAGCTGTGACAGCTCCTCGTACCACTATGGAACAGCTGAGATTAAGAAGGCTGGTATATTGTCAAATGTGATGAGAAAACAGTAAAAGTTACACAGCTGGAATTTGGATTTAACATCTTCAATGCCATGAAAAGGGCCGCAGAAATATGAAAAACAATGCTAACAGAAGGTGTACAAACACCCGAGAACTGCAAAGATACGATCAAAACGGAGATCTCTCTTAGAAAGTGAACAGCTGAAGGCATGGGAGCACCAAAGGGGACATCCCCCACGGCCCCGACCCAGCACGGAGCTGCCCATGGGCCGGCCCCACACCTCGGCTGTGGTGCTGGAACTTGGAGGTGCTGTCCATGCTACCTGAAGCCCCAGTGGTTCTCCCTCTTTCTGAGCCAAAGAGGTGGCTGCCTGGGTCCAGGCAACTCAAGGGCCTCCACAAACCAACCTCGAGAGGGGCCCCTGGTTCTGCAGTGCGAGGAGCTGCCCACAGCGCTGAGCCCAAAGGATTTGGGCATTGTCCTGGAACCTGCGGTGTGCTCCAGGATCTTAGAGATGCAGAGGCACAAGTCCTGGCTGTGGGCCTGGATTTGGGGCCATTCTCATCCATGGTCTGAGTGGTGAGGTATCCATAGCACTGCAATGGATACCTCACTACCTTCCACAGGTAGTCCCTCTCTACCTTCTCAGAGGTACCCCAGAGTTTTGGTCATATAGGGGTGGTTCCATCATGCTGGGAGAGCCCCAGCTCACCTGCTTGTGCTGTTTTGCACTTGCCAGCATCAGGCAGTGTGGGTGTTTGGCTGTCTGTCCTCAGGTCAGGAGTGTGGGATGCTATAATGCACACATCCTTTTGTAGTAACTCTTGGGACCCGCGTGAGCCACCGAACAGACAGTAGGTTTTGTTTGGGAGGTAATGTGTTGCTGTCAGATTTGTGCGGCATGCCACAGTCCCCCTCCCAGAAATAAGGCTCCATCTCTCAGGTGCTAGGCATATGCTTCTTTCTGATCCAGTGATGCTCCTTGAAGATACCAGCACAGTTTCTTGTTGCCATTTTCTACCACGCGGCAGATGCTAGCCCTTCAACCCTCCCAGTACAAGCAGTTATGTGGATATCCCACAATCTCTTATAAACAAAGGCAAGCTTATATTGTCTTTGTCACTGTTTAAACTGAGCTGACAGACTTCATTTCAAGAAGATTTGTGCCTGCTCACACAATTCCTCTTGCCAGCACTGTGATTGACATGACAGGAATAGATAAATGAAGGACTGTGACAACGTCTACCACAACTATTTGCAAGGAGAAAAATTGCCAGTGGTTTGAGAGGGCCTATATCTGAATGCATGTACTATATCAAAACGGTCTGAGCACTGTTTTAGCATCTTCCACTGCGTCCAGCAATAAATACAGCATTTGAGAGAGATGTATCACTAGCAACAGAGAAGAAACTCATTAAACATCAATGAAAAGCTGGAGAATAATATACCATAAACATATTCTGCCTTGGCACTTATGTAACTTTCTTAGAGTATTCATGTGACATTGACCCACATAAAGCACATGGTTTTTCTCTCAAAATATGCCAGTCTGGGCATTCAGCTCAGCACATGCAGTTACTGCTAGCACAGTAGCCGAGTATCCTACAATAACCAACTCTCCTTCTCACAGAGGACTGAAAGAACAATCTTTGATTGCCTTGGTCATAAAATTCTTGCCCCCTCATGTATGGAGCCAATTATATAAGGAAGGAGTTGTGGGGTTACAGTGTATGAATGTACATTCTGAGCAGCAGAGACACTGAAAACTTCCATTAATGGAGATGCTAAAGCTTAAGTGACCTTAAAGCACAGGGACACTGCTCCAAAGTGAAACTTCATTAGTTCACAGCAAAAAGTTAAAATTTGGAATACATATTAAATTGTATTTATAATGTTTCCTTGCCATGAGCACACTGCTGTACATTCATCTCACATGTCTATCTTGGGTATTTCTCAGGTTCCTGCATCTCTTCTGAGTAAGGATCTTGGAAGACTCAGAGCCATATTTTCAGCTACGTAAATTGGAATAACTTAATTGTTTTAGACAGGGGTTTGAAGATTTATAACAGATGTTGACAGAGTTTTTTCCTTCTTTATTGGGTCTTATCAACTATATAAACACTTCTTTCTATCAGACTGCTGTTTCATATGAGCTCGTCTTTCAGTCATCCAACTGTCAGTTTTTACTAAAATTAAATTTTAGTTTCATGATACTTGGTAAGATCCAGATGCTAAGGTCTAACTTTCTTCTGCAATACCATCAAACATTGCAGTTCAGAAATGAATTTCTTTTCTTTTACATTCACTACTGTATTTCTGGAAATTCTAAGGCTATCACTTAATACAGAAAACATTTTTTTAAATTAAGGCCTTGGCAGATCAGAGAATATGTTGAAAGTATTTTGTTTAAAAACGTACTTACTTGTAACTTGTAAGTCTCAGCCACAGGTATGTAATGGTATTCCTAATCAGTAAAATATCTGAGCTCCTTTTATAGGTAAAGAATGATACTTTGAAGTCTTTCTGTAATTAGAGTAGATAACTAGAATATGCTTGAATAAATATAGCTGCCTAAAATCTCTTTGCCTTTTCAGTAGAAGATGGTGCTTTTCAACTCCTGTTGCTAAAACTGCAGCCAAGTCGTGTAAAGTGTGTTGGAGAATGGCTCAGAGACAAGGGTCCTGAGCCCACCGAGCAATTGTATGATCAGAGCCTGCTCTGGCTGCTGATGCTGGGCCCCACTAGGGTTTGCCTGCAGCTGCTCGCAGCTGCTGATACAGGAGGAATGTCAAGGACGCTTCAGCCCTGTGTACCTTGGTGTGTCGAAAACAGGTTAAGGGGAATTAGGAATAGTGGTCTGAGAAACCTAGTGTTATGGTAACGGTGGTCTGAGAAACATTGTGTTATGGTACTGTTGTGTATCGAAAACAAGTCAATAGGAATGAGAAATAGTAGCATGAGAAACTTAGTGTTATGAGAAGCTTGTGCTGTAAGCTAACTGCAAGTAGGTGGACCATGCGAATACGACATTTAGAGCTTAAGCCAATCAGCTAGTGACTAGTAGGCATAATAATTATCATTGTCTGTATAAATATATGTACCCTGGACCAATAAAGACACACGTTGATTGATGCTCTGTCCTCCACACTGAACCCGTCTTGGCGTGTCGTTCGTCCGCGGCTCCGCAAAAGTGTTCTGAAAACAATACTCGAGTCAAAAGGTGACTTCACCATAGGGACCTATCTGGCATGCCTGATCTGTGAGGATGGGAAAATGTAGCTTATGCTTCCTACATACACAATAGTACAAAAGTGCTAGGTAAAAGTCGTTGCAAAATTAGAGTACCATCTATATTTATGAGTACTCCACCTGAGAAAAATAATAAAACCAAACTCTGCTGCTCCCCGTTCACAACAGGTATTGCTACTTGTGTGCATCAAGAACTCATCCCCAGATAACTGACTTACCATCAGTCACTTGCTATAAAAGAAGTAATGTCACTATAAGAACTTCCAGGAGCCTCATCTTTTTTCAAAAAGCATTTAGAGTATTTAGCAGTTATCCTGTGTCGCTGTTCTATTTTAATGGCATTAAGGAGAGACACAGAGCTAGAAGGAAGTTCAAATGACAAGAGCTGGGTTAAAAACTGTAGGCTGTAGCTTTCCACGTGTTTTAAGCAGATTACAATCTAGAGGGAGTTTTACTTAAATATCCATGACACAATTAAAAAGAATCTTGTTTCTATTATTAATAAAGCCTTAGAGTCAGATCATCAGTGTAACAAATATGTTGAATTTAGTGGAGCTATATGCACTTAATACCATTGGGGTTATTAAAGTATTACAGCTAAAATAATTTTATGGCTAGATTTACTTTGTTGATATTTACACTACTGGTTCTTTTTAAAATTTCTTTGAAATGGGCAACAAAACTACTCTTACTCAGTTACTGCCATTCTCACACACTAGCATGGTGCTCACAGAACGGCTCCGGGATACTCAAAGAGAATATGTGAATCACAATAACCTACAGTTTCATTTACAAATACTTATCACTGAGTTACCAAATGCTTTTGCTAATATTAGGCTTTTTTTCATGCAGGTGATTAAGAGACTAGAGCATGTGTTATACGAGGAAAAGCTGAGAGCTGGGACTGTTTAGTCTGGAGCAGAGAATGTTCAGGGGCGATCTTATCAATGTATATCAACACACGAAGGGAGGGTGTGAAGAAGGCAGAGCCAGGCTCTTGCAGTGGTGCCCAGTGACAGGACCAAAGGCAATGGGCACAGACTGAAACTCAGGAGGTTCTGCTTGAACATCAGAAAACACTTCTTCACTGTGAGGGTGACTGAGGCCTGGGACAGGTTGCTGGGGGAGGTTGTGGTCTCCCTCCCTGGCAATATTTCAGTGCTAGGTGGACACAGTCCCGGGCAGTGGGCTCTGGTGGCCCTGCTTGAGCAGGGGGTGGAACAGATGATCTCCAGAGGTCCTTTCCAACCTCAACTGTTCTGTGATTCTGTGAACCTATATTGTACCTTTAAACTACCCAGGGATCACTTTAAACAGTTATATTCTTCAAATTACATTTTGTCAGACTGATATGGAGGCTGATGGAGCAAGGGAGTTAATACAGACATAGGAACTAGTGTAGCAGAGCGTGTATGCTTGGCTGTATGATTCAGCATTGTGTAAATGAGTCCAAGTTCTTGTGTCAGTCTGATATGCGTTCCTTAAGTCTGGGGTCATCCTAGGTCCTCCAGCATAGCAGAAATATTCCATTCTCCTCTTTTTTGTCCCTCAAGAATATTGAGGGAGAGGAGAAATAAAAAACTCAATAATATTATTCTACCTCTAATATTTCTGTTTCTTTTTTATCTGATGAAACCGAAAGTGTGAATATTAGCAGATAGTATAGCAGTCCTCAGTCAAAAATTATGACTTTGGAAAGCAGACCTTTATTTTCATGGCACTTTACAGGCCAGTTTGTGGTAACTCTTTTGAGCCATTACTCTAGACTTCTGTACATCAGATCCAGTGCTTTAAGGTTACATGAAGGGTGGTGGTAGAATTTCATTCATCCTTGATAAGCAGTTGGGATTATATATGGCCTAAAATATTATTCATTTATTGTATCTGAAAAAGGAAGACCAGCATAGGAAAGATGCATTGGAGGGATTAACTTTTCATAGTGTAAGCAGTAAAGATGAAAAGAAACTAAACTACTATTAGTTGATTCAGCAACTTCACTTCCTGACATAAGCTGCTGTAAAGCTTGTTCTAGTAAGAAAAGGACTGTGTAAAATTAAGCTATTGATTTGTAAAACTCAAGGGGCATAACAGCGCATCAAAAAGCTTATCTTTGCTTTGTACCAGGCCAAAGTGGGGTGCCTAGCTGACTGAATGGCAACATGGTCATGTATACTGACACTGCTCTGGAAGTCATTCCCAAGTCTAAAGCTGCAGAAGACAGATTTTTATTCACACTCTGATTCTGTACACATCTCATTTCAGGTAGATATATGGAGAATATATTTGCATCTGTCAATATCTGGAGTTTAAACATTGTGAGAACTTCAATAGAGCTTGTTAGCAGTAGAAGGCAGATTACTGCTGTTTAAACTACGAATAGTTATTTCTCTTGCACGCTAGATGAGAGGAAATCACCACTGATAAACCTGAAAAGTATGAGGTTCTTCCTTGTCTAACAAAACTGTCCTTGACACAGGTTAGGGAAAGCAACTCCAAGCAATGAATCTCAAATGACAATGAAATGCATCTCTTTTAGAGCTGAGTACTATCAGTTCTAGAATAAAAAGTACACATATCCCCAAATCCTTTTGTTCTGAGCTGACATCTTTCTCCCATCTGCTGCAGGACCATTGCATTCTACGAATGTGAAGTGATCTGGGGGAGAAGCATCAATCAACTTGGACAGCACATCTTTAAAGGGCTTGTCAGGAAAGTGAGGTATTAGCCTGTCTTCACTATCTTCCAGAACACTGCTTGAAAATGCTTGCTAGAAATTTATCAATATTACTTGAAAAAATCTGGTACATATTTAAATTACACCAAGGAAAGAGGCAATCTGTATGTTGTGTGTGAATGAGCACACTACAGCAGCTGAACAAGAGATAACATTAGCAATATTATTTTTGCATAGCAGTGACAAAAGCTCAGAAGCATCTTTAAGTCAGTGGCCAATGAGATGCTGATTTTAGGTCACACCTGTAGGGAGAATGCACCAACTGGTTTCTGACAAACATATGTATCAGTAAGATGTGGAAAATCACTTTTTGCATCTCATGTATCTTATTTAAATTTGTTACCCTGATTCTTTTTGGGCCTGTGACGTAGTCGTTAAACAAATCTTTTAACCTGGTAGATGGAAATAACAGTTTGACTGATACTGAGGATTGGGATGGAGTACATTTCATTTTCTTTAAGATAATCTTTTGTGGGCAAATGTTCCAGATGCAATTGCCACTCAAGAAAACATCTTCTTGGGAAAAAGAATAGGAATATCCTGCAAGGTCAGTGAACAGTCTGGTCTCTGTCAAACTCCAGAATTATCCAGAGCAGTATGTATAGCCTTCCCATCTGCCATTCCAGACTCCAAGTGAAGCTCGCTGTAAATAGGTTTTGTATTTTGAAATGTAACTGAAAAAGCATTAGGCTTAATTCACGGCAACCTTTGGAACATAAAAGCCCTTATTTCTTCTCTGTGAGTTTTAAGCTACAGAAAATGGACCACTCTTTGCATATATTCACGTGTTAAAGCTGCTCTGTTTCCATGATTAGACAGAAAAGGCTGGGGGAGACACAACAGCAGAAGAACAATTCTATGCAAGCGTATAGAAGTCATTTAACACAGCAGAATCTTAAATATAAGAGATACACATATTTTTAATTAGAGAATTAAAATTCGTCCAGTAAAGAATGACAAAGTACAGACATATGCCCCAAAACTCCTATCAATAGTACACTTTCTTCAAATGAAGAAATACTTCACTAAGTATTTCAGCAGATGATCTCATTCACTATGACACATTTATTATTGCAGCATCCACAGCATATCAAACTCTGACAAAATAATGGAAACTACAGTCTTTGCCCCAAAGAGCTGTCAGTCATATAAAAGCCAAATTTCTTGCCACTAATCACTGCCTCAGGCAGACCAAAAAATACTTTTTAAAAATGTTTACCTGAAAACAGCACTGGCATAAGTAAGATGTGCTGACTTAAGCTGAATTCGGCTCATTTGCTTCAGTCAAATAGCACACATGACAGAGATACTGCTTCAAATACAGCTCTCTAACACACCCTGAAAGGATATTCAAAAATGCCATGAGGAAGCAGGCTATATGTATTCCCCACTTCCCTCCTCTGCCAAACCTTAACATTACTTTAATGGGTAGTCTTGCCTTTGGGAAGTCTTACGTCATACCACTGAGTTCAGAACTCGCTGAAATGTTCTTCCTTCTCTGAGTATGTTTTTGCTTCCACCTGCCAATATTCAGTCCACACAATTCACAAGCAGAGAACTTGGTGGTGTTGGATGGCCTCTGTCATTGTAACCACAGATCACATGACATTCAGAAAACAAAATCAGAGCAATAAAATGTAGCTATTGGAAGTTTTGCCCATTATTATAAAACCACAATATTAATAAAATACTACTCTTCATAAAGGCATCTGTTACCAAAAATAACTGTATGTCATATCATCTTACAGCACTCCAAGGAAGAAAAATAAGGGAGGTAATGTGTTTCTTGGGCCCTTACAAGAGGAATTATTTCATAGGTCATCTATATTTGAGTAATTTTCCTGATGCAGGGATAAAATTTTGTTTTAATTCTGTTTAACTCATCAACAGTACACATGTAAGCAAGGTTACTCACTTTTTACAAGATTAAACAATGTCCTGCCACAGCCATGCTAAATCCTGCATCTTCAGAGAACTGTTGTACTAACCAGAGCAGCTTTCTCTGACCACTGAATGTCTTACACTTTGGCATATTTAGAGAACTACTACAAACTGAACAGCTGGCATTTCACAAGCCAGAATTTGCCTTGCCTTACTCTTTGCCATGAGTATCTATATTTCTAACAAACAAGTCATCACTATTGTGTAACTGGAAGAAGAAAGTCAAATAACTAGGTAATTAATCCAAATATAAAATAATTTATCCAGCAAATTATAGGTTGCACATATCCTGGCAGTTGCTGTGCCTAGATACAGACCTTGAAGATAGAGGCTTGAGAAGGCTGATTCTTCCTTAAAATTCTGTTTTTTCTTCTTTTATACTCAAACACCACTTTTCAAACAAAATATTTAATGCTAGCCCAAGTGCAGATAAATAGGATCATTACAATTATAGGCAAGATCTTGATGCCCTTAGGCCATAAGCAGTATTTTTTCTGCCTTTACTGTACTACGGGATTGCTTGAGAGGATGAGGGATCTGATCCTGGAAAACAGATTCAAGGTCACAGGATAAATCATTATGTCAGTCCTGAATAGCAGCAGTTGACTTGACACTTCCTCTAATGCAAGATCCTTTTCCTTCCCAGTGAAAAAATCCGATCCCACTAATTAATTCCAAAAACTGTAACAGCAATGTTATGTCTTACTACAATTATCACTTTGCTTCTTATACTCCTCTCAAGCTATTAATAATGTCTACAAAGTAGAAGTAGGAAGACCCCTTTAATACCACAGCCATCTCTGCGCCGGATGATGTAGGCATGTTTTTACATGCAGCAAGTTCTTTTTTACTCCCCCTTCTATTTTCATTGCATAATCATGGCAAGCTTTTTCCACATACAGCCTCCAGATCTGTAGAGAATATATAGAGAACATAGCTGGTTGCCTAGCTAACACCTTCAGAATAAATGTGACTGAGAATTGCAAACATAGATCTTTACAATTCATGATTTTAAGAAATGGTTGGTGTTCCTCAAATGTTTTTTTCTAAGCTCTCTGCCAGTCTCTTCCTCTTAAGTTCAGAAGACTTAATGAACCCGACAGAAAGGAATGACTGTACTTTGGGGTTTTTAATTGTGCCTGTGGAGGCCCTAAGTGAGGATGTTCAGTTAGTACCCCACTGGTTGTACTGGGTTTTATGGAAGAGTTTCATGTTCAAGCAGGCCCCCTACAGAGCTGTTTAGGGGGATGAGGCTGTGCTGGGATGTGCAGTGCCATTGCAAAAAGTGATTGCCCCCAATTTAGAGTAAGTACCCTCGAGAAAAGTCTTCCACAGGCATCCTGTTAAAAACACACCCTTGATTAACCAAAGAAACTACTGCTTAGTTGGCAGAAGTGCCTCCTCTGCTAGAAAAAAAAGAAGAAAGAAAGAAAAAAAAAAAAAAAAAAAAGGCACATTGAGGAAACTCTTCAGTCAAGCAGTCAAGACCCCTTTTCCTACTGAACACTCACTCGAGCAGTGGTAGCCCTTACACGGAGAGCAACCCTGGGCAAAAGGGGGACCGATGGGCAGGGGAGAGAGTACCAGCTACAGCCAGAGCTGGCATTTGGCACCCCAGCCACCCGGAGAGAACGGCTGCCTAAGGCCACTCTAAGAAGGAAAGATAAGGCGTTGTCTTACCTGATACACCTGTGCTGCTGGGTGCACAGTAGAACCAAGGCAGGCAAAACCCAGGTAAGAAATTCCATTTTCCTCCCATTTATTAGAGAGTGGCAAACAAAACCCGGGCTCCCTGGCTCCCTTGGCAGCTCCAGAGCTCCAGTAGTGTTGCCATCCTCGCTCGCCGGGCGAAGTTGCGGCTGAGTTGAAGGCAGCGCGGCGCGGCTCAGCAGCCGCCCCCCCGAGCCGCAGCCCGCCCGGGGGCCATGGCGGCAGCCCCCGGCCGCCCCTCCGCCTCACGCCCTCCCGGCTCCGCTGCCCGCCGCTTCCATCCCTCCTCCGCCGCTTTCAGAAACGCCGAGCTCTTCCTCCGAGCGCTCTGCCCGGCTGCAAAGCTCCTTGCTGCAAATAACCACCCGAACGAGAGACTAAGCCCACCGAGGGCGGGAGGGAGCAAACTAAAAGTGCTCCGGAGGTGCTAGACATGTCCTGCGCAAATAATCACAGCGGGGAGGAGGAGGGAGATGCAGCCCGAGCTAAGGGCAAAGGCGATTTCGCCATGGAGCGCAGGGAGCCCGGGGCGAGCAGGGAGAAGGGCGGCGGAGCCGCCGGCGGGGTGCGGGAACAGGCTGCCCCCGCCCCCTGCCATATGCCCGGGGCGACCGCAGCTGGCGAGCCCGCCTGCCAGCAGCTCGCCAAGGAATCTAAACGGGGAGGCGAGGCGGGGGTGGGTGGTCTGGTGAGGGGCGACCGCCACCTCTTCGCTTTCTGAAAAGCTGTCCCGGACTGTCGGTACGAAACCGAAAGAGGCAGAGCCAAGGTTTGACAAACTTCTGCCTCGTCGCTCTCGGATTCCTAAGGGGCTTCGCTAAAGTGAAACGCTTTCAGGTTACTTCAGCAAGCACGGAGCTGTGAAACTGCATTTGCAATCCTCCATCCCCCGGCTGCTCGGGGGCTGACATCGTTAGCACTCAATAACGCCGTGCACGTTTCCAGCTTTTGTGCCTTGCAAACTCTCGGGGACCTCTGCGCAGGAGGCTCAGCAGGGAAGCCCGGCCAGAAGGCTTTTCGGAGTTTGGGTTCATCTTTACTTGCAGGTCAAACTCGATTTTCTCCTCCATATTCGCTCTTTTCTTCTCTCCTCCTCCGCCTCCTCTGCTTTTTTGGTGCTGTTCAATCTAGAATGACAATTTTAAAACCAACCCACAAAGGAAACACTGAAGGAGACATGTTAAAGAAATTAGATGGTAAAGCAAAAGTGAATGTGCAGTAACCTTAACTGAAAGGATGCACTTGGGGTAAAGTGTTCCATTTATCTTTTCATATACTTAATTTTGTAGTATTATTTAATACCAGTATCTCAAATGGCAACAAAGAAGTGGTGGGTGCGGGGAATAACATCCCGGTGGGATCCAGGAGGAGAATAGATGTACAGATGTACACAACACATACACATGTAAGATCATATGTCATAAACGTGTAAGAATGATGTGGGGGGTTATTTTCTTTCTGATTTTCTTCCTCTGCACATTTCAGTGGTCATGCCTGCAGCTAATGCATGCTAAGGACGAAAACACCTAAATTTAAACTCAAGTAGTTGGATTGTTTTTTTTGGAGGAGGGAAACCAAAAGATTTTTAATGGAATTTACAGGATGACATACAGAACAGAATGGTTTTGTCTCTATAACAGAACAAATTTATACCTTTCAGGGTGTTCCCAGTTGACATTTTTTCATATTTTTCCTACTCTTAAGGACGGTGTTCCAATGAGCTTTGTACCTACTCTGAGAATTCCTTGGTATTGTTTTTCTCTGGCTAGACAGCTGTCATCCAATTTACTAGTAAAAAAGAACAGTGTGCTATGTCTTTGGCATACATCTGTAAAACCAGCAAAAATCAGCTGAGGCAATTTGTACATTAGAATGTGTGCGTATTTGTGTATCTTATACATGTATAACACACATCAGTGTGTGTGTGTATTTGTGTGTTGGTATAAATACATCATGGCAACACATGCTCGAAAGGGACAGACACCACTACAAATTGGACCATTAAAACAAGTAAATACACAATTGCAATCCTCTAAGAGTCATTACTGAAATAACTGTATTTCTACAACAACTACACTTAGTCACTTTGATCCCAATGAAAAGTTCTTTGCTGTCAATGGTTCTGATATTGAAAAAAAGAGGACAAGTTTCACCTACATATTTTCTCTAAATCCATTAAGCTAGTTCTCTTTCATCCTTCACCTTCTACCACTATGCTCCTTTTTCAGCAGCTCTACAGCCAAAACCAGTAAGATGACTGCCCACAAAATCTTCAATGCAATTGTGATGGGAATATGGATTTTAATAACCTTTTGGAAAAAAATCTGGTAATCGAAGTATATTATCAAGGTTCTGATTATCCCTGGAAAAAATTAACTGCCCCATTCATTTCACTGGGCATTGCATAGGGATATTTATCCAATTGCTGAAATAATCTTGAGTGATCAAGGTTTTATACCATTGATTTGGATTAATAGCATCGTCATGAATGAAAGAAATATATATGGGGACTTTTCTGTCACCACCATAACAGTGCCTGAGTTTAACAAAATCTCATGTTATTTTCACAGGACTGATGTAGCTACCACTTTGTGTCTGTACTTCAGAAAAAGAGATGTTTAGAGATCCCTTCCCACAAAATCCTGAAATAAATGTGCAACTTCTCTCAGATAAATAAATTACATTTGATGTATATGGGCCTTAATTATATCCTCTCTATCATACAGAAGAAGGACAAATGCTAGGTCATTCAGCCTTGGTTTTAGCTGATTCTGCACACAAATGCATATTTAAGCAAAATAGGCTGTTATATGTATATACAGACACATATGTGCACCCACACTCAAAATTAGTATTTCCCATTAGCCCAAGGGAAGAGAGGGGATAAAATAACAATGATCAACAATATGTTTATTTTCTTACAAATCTAGCAGAATATCCCAAACTCTTTATAGTCAATGACAGATTAAAATTGCTCAAGAGATAGATGAAAAAAACCAATTAAAATAGCTATGAAAACATCAAAACAAAACAGAATAAATAAACTCCCCAAATCTTTCTCATTTAATCCTCTGGAAAATAATTAAAGCTTTCCTTTAGCTACTGGCTTGGAACTGTCAGATATTCTTAAAAAGATGGCCTGTGATACTAGATGTTTCTTAAGCCTTTTTCTCACTCTACGAAATGACTGCTGCTCCTCAGTCCATCTGGCTGCAGGCACTAGCTTTTATGAAAATACCCATCCTGTGATCTGACCTTGCATCTGGAGCTCAGATGGATCCTCAGAGACTGCACGGGACCAAACCGTGCCCCACCATGACCAGGTTGTCAGGTCCCACTTACACAGCTTGGATCAAACTTTCATCTTTGCTGTCGTACACACAAAGCTAGAGTAGATCTGGCAAAGCAATGGAGTAACAACCAACATGGTACCTAGGTCAGTATTCCTGTATTATCTGACCATGTCAGTCTATCTAAAGTTGATGGGCTCCACCCACATCTTGACAATTTTACAAGTAAATATAATTTAAACATTATTAAATAATCGGTTATAATTATTACTGTATTAATAATTACTAATTTTTGAAGTATTTACTCTTTCTCAAGCAGTAAGCAAAGGTCATGACTTTGAAGTCATAGTTTACTGTCATTAAAACCAGAAACCCACATTTCAAAACCTGTAAAGTATTTTTCTTCTGGAGCATGTAACAGATGTGACACTTTCCTGATCCCAGTCATCCATACTTTTCTAACTGCTACCATAAAATAATTTATTGGAGGGCATAATTTGATGGGATTGAGGAGAAATATGCTCAGTGATTTGGGCCAAGTAACACGTTTTCATAGTCCTTATTTACCTCAGTATTTTGAGAGCATATCAAAAGGACACTATTTAAATCTATGTTACAGTTGCACTGCATTACCTGATATTCTTAATAGATTATTGTCTAAACAGGACAGGTGGTTTTACTGCCAGCAAAGTAAAGATGTCATATTGTCACATATAATTTTTAGAGGCAAAAAATGTACCACATGGATAATTGGTTTCACTCTCCCACGATTCCACATAAACAGCTCATGAAAGACTGTTGTGGCAACGTCACCAAATGTCTCTAGATATATAAATTACACACATAAGCCTATTTTTATAAATGAGATTTGGGAATATCAGTAGCAATTGCATGGTGGGAATATTTAGCTCATTTCAGAAGTTGTACTGTACTTGCACTGTATGAATGTCCCATGGCCCCAACACAAATTTGTCTGTATTTAATAAATATCAGTATAACCACAACATTAATTTTCCTTTCACCTAAAGCACTGGCTGACAAATCTAGTTTTAATCTGTTTCCAAATGTTCTGTAGAACATCCAGTTCCTCCCTCAGTCTGCATAGATTTTTTGGATAATCATGAAGCATGGCACGGCCAGACACTTTGCCCTCTTTTTCTTTCCTCTGTGCAACAGATTTGGGATGAAATTCCCCACTGAGCCAGGGCTAGTTCCAGGACTGGAGATTACTGCCTTGCTCCAGATGTGTTGCTCCCAGTGGTGCACTCCCAGCTGATGACATCCCAGGTCATTCCTCTGTGGAGTGCTCTGATAGCAAATGCCCCTCTCCTTCTTACTGCCTCTGTAAGGATGACTCATTTGTAAGATAATTATAATTTGCCAGTGTCTACAGTCCAACGTCGATGTGTATCATAGAATAGGCGCAGAGAAGTTGTTTTATGTAACTGATATGAACCACACTGCAAAAATTAAGATTCCATTATTGGCATGTCTTCCTGCCTAAAAGCTAGAAAGCTCCATATATGAGCTACTGTCACCTTGGAAACGTTCAGAAAAGAAATACCAACCGCCTGTGGAAGCGCAGTATGGAGCCGTATAGCAAACTGAACTGTCCAGTTCTACCAAGTTTCAAACTGATCATGAGGTGGTACTAAAGTAACTTCACTGAAATGCTTCTAAATTTAACTTCACAGTAAGAAAACAGTAGGATTTTAATTTATACATGCTTGCTCCGTTACCCAGTTTCTCAGAGATTATCACCAGTGGTCAGTGCCTACAAAATCCAGAGGAGTAGCATCAACCAATGCCTTTTTGTACATCTCCTGGAGCTTAAAGCTGGAATAGATTCACTGACCTTAAATTGATAGATGTAAGTTGTGGATTGGGAGCTAAGAACTTGTCTGGGTAGCCATAATTTAGCATCTTCAGGGGAACTGCAGGTATCTTCTCTCTTCTCAAATCTGTATGGGAGATAAATATCTAGATTACATTTCCCTAGTGAAAAATTATTCACCTGACACAAAATCACAATCAGTGGCCAGGAAATCATGTGGTCAGATGTACGTGGTAGCATGCACTCTGAAATGGCTGGTGCTGACTGGAAGGGGGCTGTTGTAAAACTTTAATATCAAAACATTTGGTATTTCTGTATTAAATTGGATTAGCAATTTGAATTTTGACCCAATTTAGAGTGAATTCTATGTCCACATTTCCTATGGAACGACAATTCAATTTCTAATCACCTCCAAATGCTACATCTCTGGCTGCAGCAGTGGTTATAATGCATTATAGTTTACAGCAAAGTCACATATCAGCTCTTCGTTTTTGACTCAAGTGCTGGTTAGGTTTTCAGGAACCTTAGAGGTTAAACTCATTTATTGCTGAAACTACAGTTAGCATTTTTTGGTGTTGTTACAGAAATAGTCCAAGCAGTTGTAAACTGGGACTGAATAAATACCTTAAATAAAAATATCCCAAGAAACTGAAAATCAGTGATATTACCAGGTGTTCTTACAAGTGCTTTCTTGAAGGGAGAAAAATGTGCTGGGATCTTTTACATCCTGACTATAGGAGTGTGAGAACTGGCAGGTTCAGAGTTAACAACAGTTATATCTATTCTAGATCTGCAGAGAGAGCTATACAGTTAATCACTGCATATTTTTAGCCTACATCTTGTAGCTTTAATCCTGCAAATGTCTGTATGTAATTTGTTTTATGTAATATGAATAGATGCCATAAAATCAAGATTCCACCATCTATATGGAGCTAAGAATGTCCATATATTTCTAAAGAATGATGACCTATAGCATAAGTAGGAAAATTAATTGGTCACTGTAAGTAATATATACTCTATACTGTGGGTGCCAGTGGAAATAAACACTTAGATTAGCAGCATGTGCTTATATGCATGGTATAAAAAACCCAGACCTTAATTCTCCTAGCAACTATAAAAAATTAGAAATATTGCTTACAATTGAGGAACATTTTCAATTAAGTAAATCTGAGAATGCTTTCTACCTCGATGTACAGATCAGTGTGTATTTCGGTATAGAGCTCTGATTAAGGAATGATATCCCAATATTTTAGTAACTGAATCACTTTGAATCTTTGATTAGCTGAATAGCACGTCATTTAGGCCTAGTGCCAAGAGTAAGGGGACAAGAATCTGCTTTTCTGTGAACTGTACTGTTCCTTAACTTTGTCAAGATAATACATGGAATAGAATAGAAAGGAAACCTGGTTAATCACCAAATGAAAGCTAAAATCTTGTAACTGAACACATGGTAGCAAACTTGCAGGTTCAGAAGATTCCTCCGAGGAAGAGAGTATTCCAACTGAGACACATTTTAGGAATACAGACTTCTAGCTTTACTATGTAAATTACTGAAATATCATCTAAATAATTTTTAATTTAGTGATTTTGTGCACACTTGTAATGATTATTAAAATGTTACAAGGAACCTCAAAACCTGCAGTTTCTACTGAAGCTAGAGGAGGCATTCAGAATGTGACATTAAATGGGCAGCATGACCAGTACATGATTTTTGCTGTAATTACCTTTAATTAGCAACTAATGGTGAAATCCTATTGTCAGAACAGTACAGGCTTGTTTCTCAAAATATATTTAAGACAGCTTCATTCTGGATTGAAACTCAGAAATCTTTAGTATTCTAAAATGGACATACTTCAACCTCAAATCTGTATGACTTCTGCATTGCAAAAAATTATGTGAATTCACTAGATTTTTTTTTAATCATAATGCCACCAACTTGCTTAAAATTTATAAATGTGTGTAGAATAAATATTAAGCTGAAAGTTCACTGGAAATGTGAGGTACCCCGAATCACCCAAGTAGATGGCCAGGCCAGGCTGCCGAGGCATCACCAGTGCTCTCGTCGGGGCAGCCGCCCCCGGATCTTTTAAGTGTCAGTCACCCTTATGTATATTAGAGAACGTGCCAAAAGCTCACAAAAATACATAAAAAGCTCTTGCCAATCAAAACCGGAAAGACGCTGCGTTTCATAGTAGTTCATATTTTAACCTACATCACTAAAAATAAAATAATCATCAAGCAGAAAAAAAAAACAACCACACAACAAAAAAATGATCAACTGCTCAGCTGGTTCAAATCTTTGTAATTCATTGGCTTGAATAAACCCATGAATATCCGCCCTACATCTTGTAATTCTGCGTACTTATAAGACTGCAAATTTAGAAGCGAGAATTTAGACCCAGGCACTCACTGCCGATAAACTGATTCGGTATTTGTCCCCGCAGGCCGCTGCCGGCCCTCACCGCCGCCCGCCCCGGCACGCACCACTGCGCGGGGCGGGGGGTGAGGTGGGCAGGGCACGGCGAGCCGAGCGGGCAGCGTCGCCGCCTTCCTTGTGCGGCTGCAGGGGGGCGGACAGAGGTCGGGCTCTCGGCGGCGCCCCTGCCGCGCCCTGACCGTAGTTTGCTCCGTTGCTGTGGTAACGGGTCTGAGGGGCGGCGGGCGCAGCCACGGAGGGACTGAGGGTGAGAGCGGCGGAGCCGGGTGGGACGGGACGGGGGTCCCGGGGCTCGCCCCCTTGCCCCCTTGCCCCCTCAGCGAGACGGAGCTGTCGTGATCCCCGTCCGGGCGTCTCGCCGTTCCGGTGCCGTATCGTGGAAGCGAGGTGGTTTTCAGTGCCGCGATGGAAGGCCTTCGGGCCTTCCCCCCTCCTGGGGATTTTGGGCTGACTTAATCGAAGTGTTTACCGCGTTGGAGCTGCATTACCTGAGAACAAAGTGGCTTCGCAGAAAGTAGTTGGGCCAATGGCAGCTCCTTTTATGTTTGTGTTACTTTTCAGTGCCACTATCATGCTTAAATCAACCATAGTTTAGGGCAGGAATTCTGTCTTGGTTTTAAGGTGGATCTTACTGTTTAGTTAGTCTATACCATAGTTAAGATTCAAAGGTGTATTTTATCTCTTATTTAATTAGAGAAAACGGATACTTTCTTCTAGTTTATATTTTTGAGTTTCACAGGATTTACATAAATGCACTCAAAGCTGAGCCACCACCTTCATTAAAATTAATCGTATGTACAAGTCTCCATATGAGTAAGATACTGATGAAATGCTCAGCCATGTGGCAGTAAGTCATTCTCGATGACAGAATTTACTGAATTCTAATAAATGGTGTCAACATTTCAGAACAGTTTACTTAACATTGTAGAGCTGCATAAGAATAGTGAGTGGTGTTGCTGGAGTTGTTCCTAACCATTCTGGACAAAGTGATTGCCTAGGTGGATAAAATACATTCAGAAGGGGTTTTTTGTAAGAGATTTATTAAAGTTGGTACTTAAAATGTGTGACTAGTACAAAGGTGTGTGATTGTATCTAGTTACTTCACATGCATTAAGTATTATTTTATCTCTAGATATAGTCACCACTATTGCAAGTTGTTGGGGATTATATATATAAAACATGCGCTTTTCTCTCCCTCAGCTTGCTCATTTTGAAAGAACTATCAGTATGGAAGATAATGAGATCAGTTATAGTAAGGAAGAGGAGCAAAAATCTCTTCTACCATTTCTGGAAGAGGAAGAAAAAGACAAAGCTGGTCGGTTCTCTAATGTGGAAGAACACTGGGAAGGTGAAAATGATGAATCGTTTTGATAACTCACAAAAGACTAACATGCGATTTCTAATTTAGTAGATGGGAACAGTACAATTCTAGGGTTGAATGATATTCTAAGTAAATGCAATAATTCCCATAAGTGTTCTCTTGAATTAGTCTACACAGCTGTAACTAATCCAAATCTAACCCATTATTTCTGTAGCAGTAAATTCTCTACTTCTTACTTTTTTAAGGCATTTTGAGTTAGTTATTGCTGGTAAAGATCTCATATGTGACTGTATGGACTTGATTCAGTTGCTCATACGTTGTCATCCAGTGCCACCTGAAGTGCTCTACACTGTCTCATCTGGCTGCAGAACGGCCCAGGTCTTCCACAGATTCAACTCTCTGAAGATGTTGGCTACTCTAAGATACCTACACTGGCACCAGATAACCGCTATAGGCACCAGATTTCTCTAATTGTGTCCAGAAGTATGTTTCAGTATATTATCTGAGGCAACATACCTACCATTTTACAGATGATTGTGTATGGTGTAGTGCTGAATACTGATCTTTATGGTGAAAGGAGTTCTTAGGTAATTCTCTCACTGTCATTTTCTTGATTGAATAAATACTTAAGTTTCTGTCTTCAGGATAAGGTAATACAAGATAAACATACCAGATTTTTGGCCAAAACCTATCAATACAAAAGCTTTCGCCCTGCCCCCCTCCCCAGTTTTGTTTGGTTTTTGCCCGCATCCATGGGCTTGTTGGTGACACTTCCATAGTGAAAGCAGAGAGCATTTTCCTGTTATGGTTTGCAGGTGTACAATAGTAGTCCTGTGTGTTTTGCCAGGTAAAATTTTTTATAGATGCTGCAGTAATGCTATAAAATATATCCGATTCTCCGTGTTTTGATTCGGCAGCAGGGATACTGGAGTTTTGCATTTTAAAGTTAAAAGTCTGTTTATTAAACTGTTGTTTTAACATCTATTAGAATACAAGCTTGAAGAAGAGCTGGCTGCTGGTGGCAAGGTGGCAAACAAGGATGTTTCTGAAGGAGTTGGAGACAAATCTGATTTTAGCATGTAAATATTTTTTTACAAGTTCTAACAGTAATTTTCTTCCTAGTGTTAATTTACATTTTCAGCAAAAGGTTTGCTGAATTCAGTTATGCATTTTTTTGTCAAATTAGTGGTAGGCAATATAGACCTTTCCACAAAAAAGAAATTAAATTTGTTACTCTTGTTAAAATAATGAGTTGAATAAGATAAAGATAGACTCTGGACACTTCTTAATCTGAAACCATTATAGGTATGTGCACATAACACAATGATTGCACCACATTAATGTGGGCTAATTGGCTCTTCTCAAAGGAGCATTGCACTAACCCATTTACACTTCTAAAACCCAGCCAGCTCTTTGTGGTAATAGTAGTATTATGTTCATATCCCTCTGTGCTTGTAGAACATCAGGAGCTGCTGGAAAAAGAGAAGTTTGTCTACTGAAGAGTATCAGTGTTGGACTGTAAGTTTTTTTAATACATACAGAGGTTTGTACCACTGTGTAAAGTCAGCACAGAATTGGATTGATGATAGATTATTACTATGTTGATTTTACAAGTAGGTGGTACAGCAGATTTATTCCTGAAGAAATAAATTTACATGTAACAGGTCATGAAAAGGAATTAAGTAATTTGAGTGTGGTCTTAAGCAGGTGCTACTGTCTTCACAAAGATCAATGCACAGTTTGGTTTGCTTTGACAAGACTGTTAATCTCTGCCCTAGAATGACCTGGCATAGGGTTATAAAGCATGATGAAAAGCTCAAATAATGTTTATTAAAGTATGTATGTGGGAAGTCGCATAGCACATATGCCTACTGCCAGTAAATGTTGACAGTGTTACTGTTATCAACAGAGAAACTCAAAATACACCAAAATTATTTAAAAGAAGAAAACACTGAAGAAACCCAAACCTTCAGACCTCTTGCTATATGTTTAAGTAGACTGGAATTCTATAGAGATTTGCTCACCCTGCAGACAGATCAGCTCTATATCATCTGTTGTAAACTACTTTAGAATGTTCTCTTTAAAGTTTTAAACTATTGCTCAGGAAAACTAGAATTTGCAAACCCTGGGCATAATGAAGAGGAGCCACTGGCATTTCAAAACAAAGACACGTAATTAATGCATTAAATGCAGGTATAAATGTTCACCATTAGATATCCGAGTCTAAAAATCTTGGTTTAAGTGTTTATATGTAAACTTCTTGTACAGATTATGCTCATTTTTTTCCTTACTTAAACTGGTCATGTTTGTAACAGTTCTGCTAGAATAAAACAAAGAACAATTAACCCACAAATGCGTAAGTGGGTGACGTACAAACCTCACCTAAATTTCCAGTTTCTCATTATGTTTTCATTGTTAATTGTGTGTTTCGATTCAAAGGAAAAACTTGGAACACTGTTTGGGCGATGTTAATAATATTCAGGCTATGAAGTATACAGATAGAATTTGCATATTAACCTTACAGAGGAACCTAAAAGAGCTCAGTGACCTAGCCAAAGAAAAGGAACTTGCAGTCCAAAAGGCCAGGTTAGTGTTTAAGCAAACATAAGCCATTAGCATAAATCACCATCAAATACTGGGATACTCTATCTGTTATAAATATTAGAGTTCATAGATTTTTTTTTTCATTGAAGTTAAGTCATGCAAACATTTGTTTGATATAATATATTCAATATATCCCCAAACCATTGTAAAGAATTAAGGATCAAGGATAAAAATTGTATTTCATTTTTTCAAATATGTAATTAATAATGAATGTTGAAGAAGAGCTGTTTGGTCTGGAAGAATTAGATGCTAATTCATTTCAGTGATGTCTGCACAGTCCTACTGGTTCAGCAATCAGTTGGAAACATCAAGTGCAAAAATCATTGGAAACACTTTATTAACTGTGGTGGGAATGATACATTAGAGTCAGTGAAGTTACATACTTTAAGAGAAGCACCTGCTGTGAGTGTATTGTGATGTTAAGGTCACAAAGATGCTCTTTAGCAGCAGATCTAGCTGAAGAAAGCTAATGTCAAGAGATGCCATTTATGCTGTTGCCCTTTTGGATAGTATCTGAACTATGGATGAAGTCAGAGTAAGCTCCTGTTACTTTGTTTTGGAGAAAATATTTGAAATGAACAAGGGCTTCTGAAGAATCCCATAGTAAGATCTTAAAAAGTGAGGTGATGGTGGGAAATTGGGTGAGTTGAAGGAATCCTAGCTGTGAAACTTGTCCCCAGAAGGAAGAGTTTCATTGGAAAGAGTAAAGAACTTCCAAAATATAAATAATGTGTTTGTTTCTTGCAGAGACAAGCTGAGTACCTGTCAGCTGCGGATCAAGATGCTAGCAAAGCAGCTGGATTATGTAGACATTGAAATGGAGAAAGAGGAGGAGGCTGGCAATGTGTAGGTAGAGGGTATTTCTGAGTACCAAAGGTTACTAGTGTCCACTATGTTATTCTTTTTGCAATTAATGAGATAATCATTGCTGCTTTCACCTCTTCATGTTGTTGAACAGTTGATATAATTTTTAAGCACATATATTAAAAATGTTAATAGATCAGTGATGAAACCCATTAGCATTCTTAGGTTAAGAAGTAACTGCATTAGCTTGGAAGGCTCTTCTGATACGGGATAGTGCACTTTCAGCTGGTGAGCAGAGCAGTGCGTTCACTCCCATGTAGGTGAACACTAATACTGCAGTCACGTTGCAGCTGATGTATTTTCAGCAGTAATTCCTCCTTTTGAAATAAAGAATAATGGTGTATTGGCTTGGGAATCATTGATCTCTATGCTTTCTGGTCTAGAGGTAATATTCTGTTAGGTAAATCAGTGCAGAAAGAGGTGGAAACAGGAGTGGATAGGCAAGAGGCCTATATTTTAAAATAAAAAAATAGGTTATTATAGCAGCCTAGCCAACTACTGTCAGGATTCTCAGGGTCTCAAATCACTTCTATTCAGTATGATGAACCAACTCCAATGTGCTATGGCAGTTTGAGAGGTCATTGGTTTGCTTCTGGTAACTATTCCAATCAGGATTTTTACGTGTATATATATATATATGCCATTTCTTTTTTGTTTGTTTTATGTTTTGAAATGCATGAATGCCTTTCAGGAGTAGTTCTGCATACAGGAGCTGTTCTGAAACACTTTTGCTATAAAGTGGGAGGCAATTTACTGTACTCTTCACATTCGGTTTAAATAGAAAGAAGTGGGTGGCTTGTGTACCAGGAACCAGTGTATTGTGAACAAACTTCACAGCTGCATTTTATGACTTGTGTTAATCTTCAAGTTAGTGTATTGATGAATGATAGAATGATAAAGGTAGGGTAGCTGCCAAACTAGAATAACTGCTTAAAAAAAACAGATGAGTTGAATGCTAATGAGACTCCTGTGATGGGTGCTAGTACTCCCTGTTCAGGATCTCAGAGAGGCAGTCTTGGTAACAAAACCCAACAGACAGAAAAGCACTTAGAAGATGACAAATCAAACTGTGGGGACTAAATATGCAGAAAAACAGCAATTCTCACTTTCTATTATATTTAGCAAGTGAATAGTGAAGTAAGACTTGATAAAGTTCTGTCCCATGAAGCTCACAGGCATTATGTTTTATCAATAATGAAAATATTAGCTACCAATAGCATTACTGATGCCCAATGCAAACATTTTGGAAGTTAGAATAGTAACTGCAGGTAGAAGAACTACTTCCAATTTTCATTTAGAGGAAGGGAGTTTATGTTGAATATAGCCAGTTCACTGGCTGACCCAGTAGTATACTGCCTGCTATTTTTCCTGGGTAGAGAAGACCAAGGAAAATAAGCAGTTGTGTAGCAACAATGCCGTTGTAGGCAGAGTACATGGAATATTGTAATGCCATTGTAAAAGTAAAATTGGTCTAGGTTCTCTAGGCTCACCTAAAGTTACTTTTGTTAATAATACTACTTTTACAAGCTTGAGAAATTAATAGTTGCATTAAGCTACTGGTCAGTGCTTTTGAAATAAATACTCTCTGAATTTCAAGCAATGTGTAATAGTTTAAAGAAAGCTATGCCTTTGAATGAAGAGTGGACACTTGGAAGGCTAGGTAAGAGGCTGCATAAATTAGTGGAATTCTAATACATAAATCTCAGCCTCAAAGCTATTTTTTATTGTTGCTGATCGTGGCGGGGGGCTGGGGCAGGGTGTGTGTGTTGTTTCGTTGGTTTTAACCTTTTTTAGTTCCAATATCTTCCTGAATGTTTCTTTCTAATGTTAACAGTGCAGCTTTGTCCCGCCTTCAGGCAGTGCACAGACGACTGTGCACTGAACTGGAGAAGGAGAAGGATTTTGAGTTGACAATTGCTTTGGCACTAGAAGACAACATGTAAGTGAGGGAATGAGAAAACAGTGTGATGGGAGTCAGTCTTTATGATGTTCCTCATGTTCTGTTTAATGCATTCAAAATTTAATCACTACATAAGTTGCTTGTAAATACTGAACTACATCATTTGAGGTCATGTGAGGTTGACTGCAAGGCAAAGGATCTTGAGAGCAACTTCTAGCCTGACCAGTGCATTGTTTAGGAATTTGGTTGCTGTGGCTCAGCCCCTGAGTTAGTTTTACACACATAAATGAAGTATTGATTTTATTTGGAGTTGTGCATAAATTGTGGACCTAAACAGGTCTCATTTTAAATGGAAAATAAGATGGACTAAAGTAAACCTGTCTGTGATGGTGATCTCTGAATGAACATCAATACTTCTAATTTATGCCTCTTTCTTTGCCTTTTTTAAAGGGCATAAGGGGAAAAATTGAAACTGAGAATGATGGAGACATTGTAGTGGTACCGTGTATTTTTAAGCTAAGCTAGTATTGCTGCTTGTAACTGATTGTTCACAAATCCTATACTACTTATTTATATAAGACAGAATAAAACTGTCTTTTGCAGAAGGCAACAGGCAAGTGTGTTTTTATTTTGGCACCAACGGTACTACTAATGCCACTACATCACAGGTGGAGCACCAGCACAACCTTATAGATGTGATTAACCAAGTGGTTAACAGAATACAGTATGTTCTGCTACAGTGTTGTATAATAGCTGTAAAATGCTTGACTCGTTTATTGTGTGATTATCAATAACTGTATTAATTTCTTTATATGTATCCCTATCATATTGATGTTATTTCAGCAAAGTATAGAAGAATAAAAGCTGTGGCCTGTCCCTTAAGTTTTTTACTGTTGAAGAAAAAGCTATTTTTTTTATTTTTTCGTATTTTCTTCCGAGTAGATGTGTATTTGAGAAATAGAACCTTGAGCTTTATTTTTTTACCTTTTTTTTTTTTTTTGACTGATATTCTTGATGTCTTTAAAATGAGATATGCTATTAGATATGAGCCTTAGTCTGAAAGGTACAGTACCTGTGTCACTATCAGGATATGATTTACAATATAATTTATAAAAATAAACCACGGCTAGATTTTCATTTTCACCATAGAGCCTTACCTACTCAGTAGCCTTAAGTAAGCGAAAGACTGTCAGTATTTCAGTGAAAACAGCTCATGCTTTGTTCTAAAGGCTTGAGATGTGGCATATAGAAACTGAGCAGGGAAAATATGAAATCCTCCATGAACAACTTGAAAAGGCTGAGGAGGAGCTAGAGATGCAATACCAAGAACGAGCAGAAGTGCGGATTTGGAAGGAAAAAATAGCAGCACTGCAAGCAGAAGAAAATCGTCGGGCTAGAGAAAAGTAAGCGCCTATAAGTCAGACTGCTTCCTTTCTCTCTATTATTTTTAGCCAATTCACTATTTCAGGTGTTGAGAAGATGAGCTAATTTAAATACTAGTGGTATTGTGTTCCTTAGTTGGATGTTGCTTCAGGAATATTTTATGAGGAAATGGAATTAAAATAAGAATTGCTCCCAGTCTTGCAGTTATGCAGGTAGAGACTTCTGATCTAGGAAATAAACTTGCCAGAGACAAAAACTCTGAATGCTTTTGGTCAAAGGAACTGAAGTTTGTTAGATCAGACTAACTGCATGTGTCTGCATTGTTGGCTGCCAGGACATTCTGAACTTATGATCAAATTCATCGAGATTTCTTGGAGAGAAAGTGAACACCAGTGTATCAGTTTGTCTATAGGTTTTGTGAAAACAACAGACGATAGGGGGGTGGGAGGGAGGGCATGTGGAGACTAATGTCCTCGTTTCAGCACATTTTAATTAACTCCCCAACCCCACCCTCAGATGTCATTGTGGTGGAATCAAGTCCTTAGTCCTGCTACAGCTGTTGATTTGCCTGTGTTTTGCAGAAAAGAGGAGGAAGCCCATAAAGAATATGAAGAAATGCATAAAAAAATACTTGAAGATGCCAAAAGGAACCATGAAAAAGCAGTCTCGTTCCTGAGAAAAAGCATAGCAAGGTTGTTGTTCACTCTTCTGTCATTGTAGAGTCTCTGGTTTACAATACTTTATCCTTTAGTCTTTGAAAAATAAGAAATTTTTTGCTAGGTGTATCTGTTAAACTTGGAAATCTTCTGCCACAGTACAAGTGGTGTGAAGCATTCAAATCTTACATGGCACAAAAGGGCTTAGAAAGAAGAAAATCCACTTACTGTCCTAGTATGGTCTTCAGGCTCTGTAGCTGAAGGGACGGACTACTTGTAGCCATTACTAATGATTTGAAACATTTCCTATATATGTGTGTGCCATTAACTGAAGTAGTATAACTAAATTCCAGGTTTGAAAGTTGCACTCTACCATTCTGTATTCCATCTGAAATGTGGTAAAAAAGCTTCCTTGCTGTCTGGTAAAATTGGTTGATAGGGCGTTTCCTTGTGCTCTTTTTGTGGTTGGTGGTAAATTAAAAGTTCTCTTCGTAGGTTTATGTTTACATAATTACTGTGGTGTTGAATTATTTTGCTACTAAAGGAACTGTGAACATTTGTTACTTACTTTTACTTGTATATTAGGACATAATTGAAAAAATGATTGAAATAATTGTTCTGTTTCAGTGTTGGTTTATTTTTCATTAGACGGCGTGTGCAAACTTTTAATAATTAAGAAAAACAGATTTTTTTTCCCTGTGCAATATATCAAATGTATCAAGATTTCTAACATTTTTTCTAGTTTACCATTATATTAGCTGGAATACTCTCCAGCTTGATTCATGCCTGCATATTTCTAGCTTTTAGAGTTTCTAGTGTTTATTTTTAGTGTGGGTACAAATGGTTGGCTTGTGTAAAGTTCACTGTATAATTGTTTAGGTATTGGTTATATGAGCAACACCTGAATTCTTGTTTTATTTTAGCAACTAAACATATGTCATAATGTGGAACACATTCTTCATATTCAAAAAAAAAAAAAAAAAGTTGTTGAGCAAACTAGTTGAAAGCCTGTTGGCACTTGTAACTTGAGCAGTACCATATATAGAAGAGTCTTCCAACTGTTCCACTTTACCCACACCCAGTATCATAGTAAACACAGAGGCTTACAGGAAGAATGTTTGGTGACATTGACAATTACTACTTGTCAGGTTAAACATTCTAATACTAAAAGCTTTCCAGGATACGAGCCTGAAAGATTTTACTTTGCTTACAGAATTCATGAAAAAAATGCAAAGGAAGAAGTGAAAACTCAGGAGCATATGGAGAGAAGGATACAAGCTGTGCTTTCCCTGAAAAACAGCATAACTTCCAATAGGGTACTGCTGTTGTGGCTTAGATGGGGAATGAAGAAATTAATTTCTTAGGCTGCTAGGTTTTAGTGCAAGTAATTTCAGTTTTCATTGCAGAATTGTTGTGTGATATTGTCAGATCACCGACCAAATCACTTGAATCTGGGGAGAATTTAACTACGGGAGTAATGGTGTTAGATTTGTATGGGCAGGTTTTGACACTTCTACTTACGCAGTTTATTCTGTCCACAGTCCAGTTGTTCTGGTAGGGTAACTCTCTTGAAAATAATGAATAACAAATTCTCTGGAAGGTCAGCCAGAAGCATTTCTAGTTATTTAGATCCCAATGCAGAAATACTTCATATGGAGAAAATAGACAGAAGAAAAACAGTTACTTAAGAAATAATGTCAATTAAGAATTTCTGAGCTATGTTACTTTGCTCTTCTACTTAAGTCCTGTAGAATCTGAGGGAATGGTCTTAATACTGATTTGATTAGAACTGTATCTTTTCACATTGCTTTACTGAGTAGCATTTCAGGGGCAGGCTAGAAGGGTGAAGAAGTAGCCCTGACCTAGTCAGAGCTTTCTGCATTTCGGCACACCATGACTACTGTGTGTATGAAACCCAATAAGTTCTACTTTGGAGAAATCTACCACGAATTTATACTTAGATAGGGGGACCAACACTAGATTCTCTGTTATATATTCTTTAATATGTGGATCAAATATGTAATTGGTTTGTGTGGCTTCGTAGGAAAAACTCCAAGCTCTCCAGGCTTGGAAAAAAGCAATGGCCTTTGAGGCAAAGAAGCAGGAGATGAAAATCAGGGAAGCTATCCTAGCAGAAGGAGGCAATGTTGCCAAGGAAATTTTTCTCCATAAGCGACTGCTAGAGCATGAAAAAGAGAAACAGTAAGTATTCATATCTCTGTCAAACTCTCAGCTACTTACTGATGCTCACGCAAGAATGTATTGGAGCTCTTAATCAGATTCTGAAAACAAAACAGCTATGGTACTGTCTCAAGGGAGTGAACTCATCCTTATACTCTATTTGTATAGTCTGTTTTAAGCAACTTGAACTTCTAGCTTAGGTGTATTATTCAGAAAACCAAAGTTAGGAGCCCAGGTTCTACAACTTGTGCAAAGATGAACCACTTCAGGAGGGAAATTAAGTGAACCTAAACTGGATGCCTGAAGTAACCGTACTTTTTCATTTCCTGATCGCTGTCCCTATAAAAAGCGAAAAGCTTTCTTAGGCCTGTAGAGACACTCGGGAAGATTGCACTGCAGTAAGGTCAGAAGCAAGGTACTCTCCTTTGTGCTTTTTTTTAATTGAAACTAAAGCAATGTAGCAAAGTTGATAGGAATGTGCCCCTATCTCATTTGCTCCAGTGCAAAGCTTATTTTTTTTTTTTAACCACTTATGAATTTGAGCTAAGATACCAAACAGAGTGTGGCTGAGGTACGCGTTTCTGCATGCTGGCTCTGCTACAAGAGCAGTAACCTGTAGCAAATGTTAGAGATTTAATAAGGAAAGGTTCAGTAAGTCTTAAGTTTTGATGAAATAAAGCTGCATTCTTGATGGCTGCGTAACACCACTTCTGCTATCCCTAAATACGTTCTAAAAATCATGTTAATAAGATAATCATATAAATTTGTAGAGATCTGCTGGAAATATCCAACTCTATTTCAGTTTAATCCTTTTCACCTTGCTTGCTTTCTCCCTTTCACTGTTTCCCTTTGCAGGCCACGGGAGAGCAGTTTGTTAGTCTCAATGTTAGCTGTGTCATGTTTCTCACAGCAGTTCTTTTCTAATTTCAGCTACCATTTTGCTAATCTGCTGAAGAACTGCTTAGTTATTTCTCCCAGGGCTCTGCCTGTCTCCTTTTCTCTGAGTATATTTCAGCCTGCATATATATTTCTGAATTATCTGGAAAAGAAAATAACTCTTTAGTCATTAAAACCATTGTGTCATTAATTTGTATATCACCTGTAGAAAGATTCATAAAAACAAGAACTGATCCTAGGAACAGAGGATGGCTTTATACTTAAGGCAGATAGCACTGGGAGTCATTCTTATGTCTTTGTAACCATGATTAATTTCTTTGTACCATGATTTTCCAAAAATATAGTATAAATACCGTGCCATTTATCTGCTGCAATGGGGCATCACGAGGCTAAATTCAAACATTGAAGTGCTTCAGTAGGCAGTACCCTGTATTTAAATGAGAGGTGATATTTTCTTTGCTGCAATTTAGAATCAGTAATTATCTATATGGGTTATTTGAAAAGGTGAAAGTCTATATAAAAAGCCATCATTAGTGTGCATAATATTTGTTGCAGAAAACTGTGTATTAAACTGCTGGTATTAAGACTGTAATTAAATTATCTACTGTCACTTTGTCACGCTACCCGGTGTGTCATGGAATTTGTAGTTGTACATAGCTTTGAATTCATATCTTCCAAGTTCAGTACTTTTGTCTTTAACCATTCTTCCTCCCTTTATTAAATCCACTGCATTTTAGATAGGCAGTTTTCTTTAAATAGCTAACTAGGTTAGGAAAATTATTTTAACATTTTGTTTTCAGTAGCAATGATTGGTATGCTTTGTCGACTCCTCAACTTCTAAAACACTGTAATTGAGTATATTTAGTCTGCAAAAATGTATAAATAGCCTCTGAATCTCCTGGTATCTTGACATAAATTAGCACTGCACCCAATTTAAAGACTTTCCATTTAGCTTAAAGGCTCAAAAGAAACTGGACTGTAGTTAATATTATTAGCAAACAGCCATGGTTGGTTTAATATTTCTTACAACATTGGATTACAGAGCTGCTAGAGAACAGCAAAAATCAAGAAAAATTGAGATTGTATCGCGAATTTTGAAAGAAAAAGCTGCTATTCACAAGCAGAAAAAAAGTCAGCCCTGTACTAAGTCAATTAAGGGTGGTGGTAAACTTGAGGGGTCTTTCCGGTGGAGAATGAAAACATGGCAGTATATTGAGAAGACCTGCAAACATTCAGCTGGAGCAATATCACAGGTAAACAGAGGCCAAAGAATTAACTGTCTTCACATGTATTTTTTGTCCCAGACATGGGCCAGTGAATTCTTTTGCCTGTGTATAGCACAGGTTATAACCAAATACCAGACAGTGCAGAACAAGTGGGGAGTAATTTCTCCATTAGACTGTTAGTCTCCCTTTTCTTGATTGTTGGTACCTGTATGAATCAAGACACTGTCCTGTTTGGTGTGGGAGGGTTTTTAAGGGCATTTGTAAGAAGAGGTGAATTTTCAAAGACATGAATTGCAACAGGCATCAAAACCCATGCAAAGTACCCTCACTTCCTGTTTAATTACCTTCATCCCTGAGTAAGTTTCAGATTCAGATCAGTTTGACAGCCCAAGAGCAATGTTTCCACTGTATTAGAAAGGAGAGAGTGGTTCTCTCTAGAGATGAGCCTCCTGGATTTTTTTTTTTTTTTTTCACCTGCTCAGTATTCCAGGGAGTCTGTATTCAGTATCTTAAGAAGGGTTCGACCTAAGTTGTCATCTTTGGTCTCTGAGCTTTATAGACTTGTCATTTTTGTATGAAAAGATTTCCTCAGAAACTGTTAACTGTTGAAATAAGTGTCCTTTAATAATTTTTAACTGTATCTTCAAAACTTCTTTCACAAAAGTCATGGTGCTCTTCATCAGCTGGTTCTTCAGCTAGTGAGACAACTGCTTCTGTAGGAGAGATTTCTGAAAAAATACCCCACGATGTGCTCTGTGAAAGTGATGAAGATGGGAAAGAGGGATATGAGACCCTAATAGAACCAGAGTTCCCAGGACTTTGGAGTCAGGAATGTGACTTGCACAAGGTAGGTGTTGTGATATCTGTTATTAGAAATAGAAAAGAAAAAAAAAAAAGGATGAGATCCTTTTGTAATTGACTCATTGTAAAGTTAGTCTTTACAAAGTTTTGACAGTATCCATAAAAGTATCTTAGTGGATTAGAAAAGTTTCATTTGCCTCTCTAGTAGTTGTAGATATCGGAAGTAGTGACACTGGTAAGGGCTGTTCTGGGAACCTTACTTAATAATTACCTATTTTGCAGTTAAAATGCAGACTGTATTACATAGATTTAGAGATTCAGATGTGAGCGTATGACCAGAGTAATTGCTGTTTGACGCTATTCTTGTGGTGTTTGTTGTCTTACAGAAAAAACAGTACTTAGTTTTAATTCAGATATGTGAAGACATACATCATATCGTTTTCACTTGTTCCAGTTTTAAAAAAAAATAAACATGACTTTCTGTTGAGTTGGCAACACAAATGGCTTTATGTGTAAACAACTGTTTTCGTACCATACTAGGCAAAGAAAAGCATATCTTCTAGCAAAATAATAGTATTCTATACTCTAAATAGAAGTAAATCATGCGCTCTTACAGAGTGGCGTTGTGTAGTTAAGATCTTAATTGTTATTCCAAGGTATACTTGCATCTACTGCTTTTTTGAGATGTTGAAGACCTTTAAGAGCAGACTTTCTAATCAGTCAAAAAGAAATAATGTCAGTACATATTCATATACTGACATGAAAGAAGCACTGGACCGTAACCGAAATGTTCCAGTGAAGTTAGATGATTTTTTTTTTCTGAACGTTTAAGAAGTTGAGCGGAAAAAACTCAGTGCAGAACTGCCATTAGAAATACTATATCATAGTGTGGGATGATTAGCTACAGAACAGACAGCTGAGAATAACTTAAATACTTCATATAGAAGTTGTGAGGCAGAGTTTCATCTGGAGAGAAAGACAAAGGTTGGCCAGATACTAAGAGGTTCCATTTGCAGACTTTTCTACTTTGGGCTATGGATTCTGTGATCACGCATACTTACAGTCATGGTGTTTTTTACTGATGGTCCTTATTAGGTATCCAGAGAAGAAATGGATCCAAAAGTGAAAAAAGACATTTTTGAGAAAAAAATGGAAGAGTACCGAACTGGAATTTTTCACAAACAAATAGTGTCTGGTCATGAACGTAAGGGATGTACTTTCTATAGTAAACCAAGGTGCATTCATTTCAAGGTTAGTGGCCATTCTGCACAGGATCTATAAAGGTAATGTATGTATCTGCTGTATACATATACTGATGTCTTGATGAAAATTCTGTTGCACTGGGAAGAAAAAAAAATGATTGTCTTTAGTAGGTCTCTAGTCAAACCTGAAACAGTACTTGCCTTTTCTCTAGCAATTTCTTCGGTGAGTTATACCCAGATTAAATAAACTACTTAGTTTTACTCCGTAGTTCTAAATTAGAAACTGCTTCCTTTACTTAGGTGTATTTAATTACTGTAAGAAAGGTGAGCAAAATGATAAAACATCTTGTTAGACTGAGTTCTATGTTTTTTAAAAGGCAGCATAACTCTGACTTTGATATTGTTTGTATGTACATTATAACTATAACATAATGTCCTTCAATCCAGTTAGGATTTCAGTTTGCAAGGGATCGTCATATTCTACTGGTCATGAGGAAACTGAGCTGCAGTTTATCTCTGTCTTATAATTAACAAGTGTACTGTGAGAAAGTGTAACATTGTGCCTTGTTCTTCTCTGCACTTGATGCTGGTGTGGTGCATCCGGCAAGTGTCTGTGTCAGAGAAATGCTGCCAGGCTGCCTGCAGGACTCTCTTTGTCTGTGTGCTAACAAAGTGCCTGGCTGTACAGCTTGCAGGGCGTTCTGGTTTTATCAGGAGCTGGGAGCCTGTGCCTTGCACAGAAAAGGCAGATCTGCTTTGAAAGCCAGTGGCACCCAGCTCTGTGTTCAATAAAATCTGTATTGTCTTTGTCACGCACAGTCTAAATTGTTAATAATTCTGTTAGACCATGAATGTGACATCATGTCTTTGGCATTTACTGGAGGAAAATTTACAGAGCAGCTTGGTGCATTAGCTGTGCACAGACCCAGGTGATGTTGCCCTGCCCATGAAGTGTGAGTTCCTGGCTTTCTAGGCAGTGTGTTTTAAAACCCGGGAGCAAGGCGATGCTTTATGGGTTTATGCAATACTCTGCACACAGGCCTCGGATCCCGGTAGGGACTGTGAGCACAACTGTGGTAAAAGGAGCTGGTTTTGTCATTATATGCGAAAATGCTACTACTTGTAATTCACACCACCTGATATGTTTGGTATTCCAAGGATTTTGATGTTGGCCAAATCTACAAAAAGAAGATAGTTTTGATAAATGCATCCTCCAGTGTTAATTTCTGCAGACTAGTGGGAATCAGTGAATGGCTCAAGGACTTCATCAGTGTTCAGTAAGTAAAATTCACTGTAGACTAGTTGCTTATTTTACCTTTATACCACAACAGAAGATGTAACCAAATGCAATAGCAAATTAAATTGATTTCAGTAAATACATCTAAATTATTTTATTCCATTCTTGTGTGATGAGAAAAGGAGCTGTGTCTGAGCTGAGGAGTAAGAGGCTTACTGAGCTTGTGCTGCATGTTGTTGGTTTCTGTAGTGGTGATAGTCAGGGCCCAGTCCCGAATCTGTGGAAAGCAATATAGACCTGTGGTAACTGCCAGCCCTGAACACGTAGCAATTCAAAAATGTCAGACCCTTTTAAAAAAGGGAAAAGGTTCTCTTTGTAGGTACAAAGAAGTAAAGGAGGACCCAAGCATTTTCCTAGGCCACCACAAGGGCCTTTAAGCCTAGGCAAACCTCTTTTACCAGCTGCCATCCTTCATAGCATGATTCAGACTAATTTCCAGATTACTGCTGAAGTTTAAATGTGAAGAATCTGATGAAATAATCAATCTCAGAGCAAAGAGCATGTAAATTGAAATCCTGTGGTCTTTTCCATCAGTTTGTTCATATAATCCTGATGACAGGTTACATAATGAAGTATTCTGTCCAGTTGGAGAGATTGCAAATTAATCTCGGTTTAACTATATTGATAGTTTTATTTGACTGTTTATAAATATGCAAATGGAAGTCTCCCCAGTTTGTTTATTTGTAAGAATAATTCAGAGACTACCTTTCGCTGGAGATAATCCAAGCCTTTAAAAATATAAAATACTACTTTTCACAACCTGCCTGTATCTAAAAAATCTGGTCAAGAAAGTAATATATTTACTTGAAACTGTCAAACAAAAAAAAATATTGATTGTAGTTTAGCCTAAAAGTGAAAAAATGCTAAAGCTCTTGTTTGTGTGTAAGTGAAGCTTATTGACGAATAGGAGACATCGGAGCAAATTGATCTGACTTACATAAAAAGTTCAGGTTTCAACTCTTACAGCTGACTGACCTGAAGAAACCATTGCGGTGGCTGTTGAATCACACCCCGGTGAAATGAACCTGTTGTATCGCCACAGGAACTGATTTTGAACTCCTGACATGGTTTTAAAGCTCCCTACCCACAGCCGCTTTGTAGGGATAGATGCACTTGGAATTTTTAGCTAGCTTGATAAGAGAAGTTGTGGGGCATAGTTAAGCCTTTCCTTGCCCACTTAGTCCCCGTATGAGCACACTGGAATGGGAACGTCCTACGGTTCTTGAGTGCGTGTAATCACCTGAGAGCTGTGAAGTCAGAATTCAGCTGCTGTAGATCTTGGTAAAGATGTTTAGCGCTTTAGTCACAGGCTAAGGGCGATGCATGACTGACCACCACAGAGCAGAGCACTTAAGCTTTTAAACTTGCTCTGGTGCTCGGCTGAATATAAATGTAGTTCTTTGCTTGTTTTGAAATCATGTCTGTAGATTTAATTTTGACCTGCTTGTAATATGTGTTTAATTTCTATTACAAAGTCTGAAGCTACTAATCTTCTGGCAAAATGGGGGATTTTTCCTCCTCTGAGTGATCTTTAATTTTCTCATTGGACAGTTACATGAGCGATTACAGATTTTAAATCATCACCTCTGCTTTGTGACCAAAAATGAAACAAACCTTTCTGAAAGGCCTGTGTCTTTCATTGATACAATTGCCTCTTAAGGTATTCTCCAAATGCACATTAAACATCAGGTATTGTGAGTAGAACGAGTCAGTGATTTTTTGATGTCTGATGATTTAATTCAATTTTTTTTTTCAAATAGGTTGGTTAGCCATACATACATTTGCCAGATAGATAGCTAGCAAAAATAATCTATAGATTTTATTATCCATTGTCATATTATTACTAATTTGAACAGTACAGATGAGATTTGTAGAGATTGATTTTACACTGCATAATGCTAATCTCTTCTGGAGTAGTACCATGCATAAACTGTTACGAAATAATTTTACCAAGTATTTGAAAATACTCAGTACCTCTAAGTGTTGTCATGGTATCAGCTATCCTCTAAATCACAAGCACAGACATAATGCTTGAGAACTGTTACGAGTGACAGATGCCAATAAAAAGCTGTATTCCAGTGGTTAAAATGAACATTATTACATCTCCATGCAATATGAGTTTGTTCTTAGCATAGTGGTTCTCTGTGTGTTTGGCAGCCTATGCTCTAAATAATAAATATTTTTGCAAGGTGATATTTGAAATAGAAGGAGCTATTCCTTAAAGTCTTTCTCAGGAGAAACTGCTAGTGATCTGTTCTGGCGGTCAGTATACAGATGCTTATTTTCCCATTCCCATTTTAAGCTCCTGAATTCTCAACAGGGTTTCCCTTTTCTGGTTGAAAAATGTTTCATCTTGCTTTTGTTTGGTTTTCATTTTGTTTTGATAAAATTGTGATTAGCATGGATGTTCTGTGTTCTGGTATGGCCCAGTTCGCTTAGGTATTGCTGTGACTAACAACGTTTAGTTGTCTATTTTATCTAGCTTCCTTTCTGTTTCTGTCAGGCAGAATAGGTCTCCAGTAGTGCCTTAATTTCATCTAGAGTGCAGCTGTGAGATTTCTTGTCTTCTGATGGGCACTTTGCTTGCATCACAGAGACCATGAAATGAGGCATTGAAATGAGTGGCAGTTTCTATTCAAGATAATTTTGATACAGTTTGCAGCAAGCAGCACATTCTCTAATCGTTTGCAGCTACCTTCTTTATTTTTCCTCTTCATTTTGTGTTTGGACAGGACAGATGTTAGAGCAACACTCAAAATGGGTAATGGGAGAAGACTGCTTCCTAGTTGTTAGAACAGGCAATTGATCCACCCTGTTCACGATGATACTATTGTGCCTCCGCTTCACCTGTTTGGCTACAGTCTCTTTGCCTGTAGTGCCAAGGCAATAATTACCGCCTTTTAAAAGCACTTTAATACTTTCTGAATAAAACCTCAATAAAGAATCATCTTTTGTAGTTTTACAATTACAGCAGGGTTCTGTAGCTTTTCATTAACCTGTCAATCATTCTGACTTTTCCAAGTAATTAATCTAAGTGAGGGAAGAAAAATAAATCTTGCCATTGTTACTACAGTAGGAGCTGGATGTTTCAAACATAGCTTTAATTTGGAATTTTATGTTAACTATCTCCATAGTTTTGACCCACCTGGCAAAATGCCTGCTGGAATGTCCTGTGAAATGGTGGTAACCTTTAAACCAATGGTAAGTGCACCTGAGTGCTAAATTACACAATGATGAGAATCCTAGTATAATCCACTAGGCTGGTTAAAAACATAATTAATTTAGTTTCTTAACTGTTAACAAGAAAACAAACTACATTTCTAGGAAAGGTACTGTGGTACTTGGACAACTATGTGCACGTTCAAGCTCTGTTAAGGTGTAGTAAGGCATATTCTAAGGGCACATTTCAGAAAAATGCCTGTTGCTAAATATTCTTGCAGTATAACTTGAAACTTACTGCAAAAAAAAAAGATTTATGATATTTCCTAGCTAAAGCTAACCAGGCAGTTACCAAACACTGGTTTAGAGCATAGGTGTAGAATCGGTACAGATACATTTTAATATGTTACTCAGAATGAGTGAAAATATTTTTCATCAGACTACAGAGGCTAAATCTTTGCAGATTACTTGGTTGAGGTGTTTTGCTTTTGTTTTCTAGATAAATGAACCTCTGGAAGGAGAAGTCATGTTTATGGCACAGACAGGTTCTTTTTCTGTTCCATTGAAATGTACAGCCAAGAGATGCATTGTAAGTGACTTTTTTAACGTAGATTCAGTCAGTATTAACAACAGCAAGACAAAATGTGAGATGGCATATTGAAAATGTGAGAAGGCATATTGAAAATATTCAGCAATGTGTATTTATATTTCATTCTTTTTTTTTTTTTTTTCCTTTTCAATGGAGAGTCTTTTTCCAGAAAATTATTAATTGTTTAGCTTCCCAGATTACACCAAGATTTCTACAAAATTATCTCAATGGATTTACTTAACCATGAATTGTAACTTTAGCTTCAGAGTGGAATTAACTGAAGTAGCAGTTGATGACACAATGTTATGTTGTAAAGGAAGGGGAGAGAAATGGTGGCTGGAAATAATCTGTCTTTTCTCCTTGTAATTTTTTGAAGTTCCATCTCAGACCTGCAGTAGCTCATTCTTAACTTCAATTTTCTATGTAGACAAAAATCAAAATATGGCAATATCTTTGTATCTTTTCTGGCATTTATAAAAACCGTATAATCTCTCTTTCAGCATCTCAAAATCTTTTTGAGCATTCTATGCTGATTTTTAAGCGAAGAACATACTTTTCTTACCATTAAGAGATGAAACTACAGGCAGCACTAACTTCTTTTAGATAATTTAACTTCCTGTGGGCTAACCTGAAGAAAGTATTTGGTAAAAGCAACAACTTGTTTTTTAAATTACTTCCTTCATAATTAAGAGCAATTTTGGCTTTACAGGACAAAATAAATTATAGATGAGAATGTAAAATGCGAGAGGAAAAAGACTATGCAAGGAGACACCCAGTATCAGAACAAGACTGGCAAATGCAAAATTTGGGATATACTGAGAATATACTTCATAATAAAAGTATTTAAAATAATTTTCAAAATGCTTTAGACATACGAATGTCTTCCTAGAGTCTGTAGTACTATGTTTCAGTAAACTGCATGAATAAGATTGCATGTAAAGTTTCTTTACTGGACTGCACATTGAAACTTTTGTGCACAGGGAAATGAATCAAGAATAATCTGTTACACGGAAAACAGAAGGGGGAAGTAACTGAACGGTAGTGTGCTACAGAAAAAGTATTTAAGGATGTGCTTAATTTTAAGTGCTTGTAGGAAGCTAGAATGATACCGCATCAAAATGACATACTTAAATCTGACTGTGGATAGGACTCTCTGATGGTTTTCAGTGAAAAGGCCTTGAAGATGAGAACACACAGTACAGTAGAAAGCTAGCACATTCATCTTTGATCAGAGGAGCAGTTTCCTTCACTGAGAGAACTCATACCATCGTGTGCTAATTACACGCAGGAACTCCTGTTCTTTATGCCCTGAAAGTGGGAAGAGTTCAGTTATAAGCAGGATACTAGCAAGCAACCAAGTTGTCTTTGCCTTTTTGATGCTTGAGCTTGAATTACAAGCCTTTTGTTATCATATACCCAGTTACAAAGTCATTAAAAATTCTCTATGAAGCACTGTATTACTTCTTAAACTGGTTGGAAACCATGGTAGCTCAAAGAAACAAGACAGGATGTGTTGTAAACTGGTATGCAGTCACTATATGATGTTAAATGCTACTTGCTTCTCAGCTTGGTGCTAGTGAAACTATTTTACTGTAACACTAGAGCAACAATATTGAATTGGTAAGTAAATATTACTTACTTGCAGCATAACTTCCTGAAGAGTTACACAGGCTGCTACTACTAACAGGTTTTAACCTGTTTTTTCCACTGTCATATAGTGAACTGAAATGCAAGTGGCTCAGTTTAACAAGACATTGTTTTAGTGAGTTGGCTTCTACAAAAAGGCAAGATACCCATAGTTCATGTCATTAGTTGGTACGCCTTTGAAATTATAAGAACTTTAAAGTCCTATTCTTGAAAAGGTGGATGCTCATTCAATTGACGTTACTGACTATCTAGGACAGTAGTAATTAATGGTTTATCTTCTCACAGCTGGCACTAGATAAAGAGCTCATTGACTTCGGCAGCCATGTGGTGGGAGAGACAATTTCACGCACCATCAACTTGACAAACAGTGGAGCTTTGGGAACAAGATTCAAAGTTCAGATGTCAGCAGGTGACAATAGAACACGCAGAGCAACAGCAAAATCTTCTCCTGGAAGAGTGGTAGGTTCAGAAGCATCTCCATAAATTGATAGAAACATTCCGCTTTGCACAGTGTGGTAGAATCATACAGAAACCTGGAACAGCTCAGGTAGGAAGGGACTTCGGAAGATCATCTGGTTCAACCTTTAGCAGTTTGTGTATGTTTGTGTTCACATATCTTAATGTGATCTGTTAAAGACCAAAATATGACAAGACAAATTTAAAAACAATTATTTTTGGGGGTAGGGAGGAAAACAACAATGCTAATTTTTTTGAACATTTTTGTCATTTATATCATGATACCTATTTTCTCCATGCCCATGAAAATCAGGAAAAAATACTTGAGTTAGGAAATTCAAACTCACTTAAAATCCCAGCTCCTGGACTTCTGAAAAATGCCAACTGTTGCAAAACTAGCAATAAAGTAATCAGAATTGGGAGCACTAGCCTGGGATCTTCCTTTAAAAATTCAGAGCTGTTTGTTTAAATTTCATATCAAAGGACAGTAACAGTTACTGACAAGCTGTTGTTGCAAGGGAAGAAGTGGTCTTAGATGGACTAAGTATTACATGGGGGGCTGTTGCCTGAAAACTATAATAATAAATAGTATTAAAGGAATTGAAGGAAGATCTCTGGAATCAGTAGTGGAATGAATGCAAATGATTGTAATGCTGGGCTTGTGGAATGTCCTGGGTGGAAATGAAACAGAGACTGTTGAAGAAACGTACCAAAACTCAGACGCTTGGTGCAGAGCTGACAGAACGTGTGGTGTTAGACCTGATAGTGATTGCTCCTACAGCTGCCAGTTTCAAAGTTGACAGAACACTGAGGAATCCTAACAGCTGTACTCCTCCATGTAGCAGATAATTTTAAGTGAAAAACACTTCCAAAGAAAGCATGCATACAACCATCTTTGCATGTGTCAGCACTGTGGGGCAGATTTTTGAGAAGACTGAACAGCTTAAGTCTGAAGATGAACTTGTTCCTTTTCTAAAGAAGTTGTGGATTTTACTCTTAAGGTGAAGAGATCTTCAGATTAAAAACCAGAATTTAAAAAAAGAAAACCAAAAGCAACCAACCACCCATTGTAGTAGGAACTTCTGCTTTGTAGTTCCTGTGTTGAAGAATATCATTATTGTAAATGTTCCTTTTCCCTCAGGTGTTGTATTGGTACTACCCACAAATGGGTAGATTTCACAGGTCCTTCACCAGAGACATCACTACCAGGTTGCGTATCTTTGTGCCTGCGTGTTCTTGTAAACGCAGTGCAGATACTTCATCTTTTTTCAGTCAGTGCGGTCTTGAATTTCTTTGACTGTTGAAAAGCAATTGACTCAGATGGTTTTCAAAATTCTCTACTTGATGATCTAACCCATTCTTAAATTCTAAGAGAAGGGCTGACCTCTCTTTTGAAACACTACATTCAGTAGTATGTACAGTGAAACTGCTGAGCTGTTCATCAGGGTTTTCAACTCTCATATTATCCTTACAATAAAAGCATGGTTCAGATAAACAATTTGTGAACTAACACAATCTGTATCCCTGGTTTTCCTTCTGAATTCTGTCTTTTGTAGGTGTGTAATAAACAGAAAACTAGTTTTAGCAGACTTAGTTTTGACATAGAACTGTCTGTGTTTCCTCTAAAAATATTTTAGTTCTGTTAATGGTAAAATAACTGACACTATATTGCGTTGTTCCCATTATATTATTTACCTGGTTTGGGCAGCCAGCAAAAATAAAATCTGCTCACTGATAAAGGTCTAGTAGAGTGTGCAGTTTTTAGAAAGTGCAACACATTTATCCACATTAAACAGTTGCAAGAAAACACAAGTCCGATTTGTAACTGCTTGATAAAATTGGAGCTGGTGCAAGCTAGATGAACAGGCACAGTAGGAAATACTTTTTCTGTGTTTTCTAATAGGTTACTCAACATTTCAGCGACTGTGCCCCTGAAAAGAAAGTCAGCAATAATCCTGTGGCATCTGTGGTAGAAAAGAAGGAACAAGTTTGTCCTGACCATAGTGAAGAAGTGACCTGCTGTGTGGCTCAGGTGGAGCAGCAGAGGACTGAGACAAGCCTGAGCAGTAGATCCACAGGTAAGATGACTTGAGAAAACTGACAGTGCCATTTCCCAGGCTGTGTTTTTCGTTTATAGAGTTCCTTGTAATGAACTCTGCAATTCAGTTTGCAAAGTTACGCAGTAAATTAAGTAGTTCATCATTCTAGTAGTAATGTTCTAATTCTTTATATGCTGCCTCACAAAAAGTTACTAAAAATAATGTACTGACACTATTATATCAAGCAGCAGAGAATCTCACTTCTCATTAGCGATCAACAATTCAGTCTCAGAAGAATACAGAAACCAACTAGCTTACAGAAACTGCAAAATTGTTATCATCATTCTTGTCTCAGCAACTGAATAGCAACTTCTCAGAATAGAAATCCACATGACAGGTTTATTTTTATAGTCTGTAATTCTAGGAACAAGGAAGCAGAAAGATGAACCTCCTCAGACATTTTCCATCTCATTCCTAATGTTTACTATGTGCTTAATAAAATCCAATCATGTAGAAGAAAGACTTTCCTAATTTCTTTATTATCTGTGTTCTTTAACATTTCTTCTGGATATTGATAATTTTGTGTGCAGGAAACTAAAAGTTCCATGAGAAGGTTGAGGGTGGTTTTTCTTTTTAAATCTGGGGTCTGTATTGTGAGATGGAGTGTCTCCATAAATCATGGTAGCTGTCTCCACAGAACACATACCTGTCAAGGATGTTTTCAGAACTTAAAAAAAAAAAAAAAAAAAAAAAAATTTTTTTTTCTTTGGCACATCAGCACATCTCATGACACCTTGATTTTTTTTTTCCTGGTTATTGTGGAGCATATGGTTGCCACTTGATTACTGCCATACAGTCCAGAGTCAGCTTTGTCTCTCTCGTGATGCATTAGTTTAAGACACTTTGAAGTCCTAGTGGGAGACTCTTTAACTAAAAGGCACTTTTTATTGCAGTTGTTTTCAAAAGAAAGTGAAGCAGCACTTGCACTTGCTTTACAGGCCCTCCTGACTGCATTACTCTGTCCCACTGAAATTGTTCCTAAAGCCCAGTTCATGCTTTCAGCTGAATTTGCATTCCTTGATGTAACAATCCCCAATGTATTATCCTACTGAAACAGTAATATTGTTACTCTGTAGTGGAAAGATCAGGTGTGCAAGGTAGACTTCTGGACTAGGGCAAAGTTGTATGGCCAAAGAGAAGTTTCCTTCTAGACATTTTTATTTCCTCATCATTGGTATACATGATTGTATTTGCAATATTAACCAAAATCAATGTACTTCTGCTTTGTTTGATATTTTTGTTGAGTGAATAGATGTACACATCCAGCATTTTGTGGGGTTCTTATCTGTGTTTGTGTTTTGGTTTTTTTTTCCCAGAACAACTTGGTCAAGACGTATTAAATTCCAGATCAGATCTAGACACAGACAATGCACATAATTTAGTGGAACTTTCTCCTGAAGAAACACCAGTTGAAATTATGCTTGGAAAGGTAATGAATATCCTGAGATACAGACAAGACTTTCACTAGTCTAAGCCTACATCAAATAAGTTGCTTTGTTTCTGATAGGAAAACGCGTAAGAATTTCAAGCCCACTGGACTTCACTGTATCACAGTTAATTCTTAAAATGAAATTATGTCACACATTTGCCCTTTCTTTTGATCTATAAAGTCTTAATTGAGCTGAAAGATTTTTGTATACGTTTTCCACAATTTAACTCTTTTTTTTCTTTCTTTTCTTGTCATACTTTTTTTCTGCTGTGTCGTTCTGTGGTTATACAAAATCTAGTGACAACACAAAAGATGGGGTAATAAAAATGTCTAGGAAATGTCAGATTTGAAAAAATCTGGGTATGAAAGCCCAGATACTAGTTCATAATAGCACTTAAAGCTTCTACCTATGCGTACAAAAGGCAGGTAGACTTAATGCTGCCATCAGTAGAGCAGATCTTTGAATGGTAGCCCAAGACAGCTTCCCCATGTTTTAATTATGTATTCACCAATATATGATGGAAGCACTTGGGTAAATGACGTTATCTAGCTGTCATACGCAGTCTTGCAGTAAAAGGAGACTCGCAGTAAGAGTCTGACTATGCCTGGTTGTGAAACCACGTGTCATGCCAAGTCTTTTCCCCACAGTAAACCTCCTAGGGAGCTGCTGATACTGATTTTTCCCTTGCATAGTGCATTTAATCTAGTCACAAAGTAGGTGTAGAAGAGTGTATAGTGGGAATATATAGTGCTTCTTTATTTCAATACAATGTATAGCTAACTACAATGATACAGTAATTTTCATTAAAAACATATTACTTCTTGTTTAGGTTACTGAAGGTGAAATTGGACCCTTCAGCTCAGTCAAGCTTCAGGTTATATTTGTCCCAGCTATCCCTGGGGATGTGCGGGCAGAGTTTGTGATCATGTTTGACCATTCAGACTGCGAACCAGTGAGTGATTTTGTGCAAGACTTGCTTCAAAACATTGTAGAAAAAGAGCTTAAAATCCTCCTACTTCTGCTTTCACAAAAATTAAGAGAGCTCGGAATCCTGTATTCGAGGAGGTAGAGGACAGTTGTGTTTATGAACATTGTAAGAAATAATAGTGAGGTACCATGTGATTGTGTATTACATGGTTTGATGGTAAATGATTTAATAAATCATGGCCCTTCTTTCTAATGCAGTAGGCTTATTAAACCTGTTGATTCTCCTAAAGTTCTATGCAAATAATTGTGATGTTCCCATTTTATCAGACTTCCTATTGGAAAACATCTGATGTCCTGGAAACAAATACGGAAGTATCCTTCTCTATTTGCTACCCACGTAGTTTATTTTCTTTCTGATATATCAGAATTGGAATTATTTAGGACGCGGTAGTGAAACTGATGCGTGAAAGCTGGAAGAGATGACAACTTTAGTTACCACTTCATCATATTTTGATTCTACACTTCACTAGAAGCCAAATTCTGCCTGGGAACAGTTCAGAGAAGCTTGCCAAAAAAATAAGGAAAAACTTCCAAGAAGCTCAGTAGGCCAGTCTTGGCTCTCCCCGTGGTCTACAGATGGAGTAGTCTGCAAAAGGAACTGCAGATGCTGACTGAGGGCTCCTGTGGGTACCCTCACTTTCAGGGACATTTCATCCAAGTCTCAGCTGTGTGGTTACTGGTGTCGGAACTAAGGTCATTATAGGGAGCAAAGCACTTGCTGCCATTACTGTATTTCCTTGCTGGCTAAGCAAGCTGCAGGCTCTTGAGCTTCTGAATTATGACACATTCATTTAAGCTAGGTGCACTTCAATATTTTATTTCAATATCATGGGCAGCATGCTATTCTTTCGTGTTCTCTGTCAAAGAATCAAAACCAAAGTATAATTCTTTTTTCTGCTGGGACACCATATCATCTAGGTTTTATTTTACAAATTACTTTCATATCTTTGCCTAATTAAAGAACCTGGTGCAATATGAATAATAAAATATTTTACTCAGTAGTTTATGGCAGAATTTTTTTCTCTGTCTAGATCAATAAGAATTTGAGACTAACAATAATTACACTCTTGATTTATGTGTTAACAGTTGTGCTTTAGTGCCATTGGAGTTTCGATTGATGTGCCGGTTTGGGTGCCCAATCCCAATGTTGATTTAAAGATCTGTATGTATGACCGACTTTATCAGGATTGTGTTGTTGTTCGAAGCAGGTGAGCTACCTTTTCATTATCAGCTTCCTTCTATAGCTAAATAATGAGATCTTAGTTCACTAGGTGATGTCTTGAGGTTCCACTGTGCCAGGCCCCTCTTGTCTTCATAGGAAGCTGAAGAACAGTTTGGTTTTTGACTTGGCATTTCAGGAGGACATCCTGATTACAAGCCCTCTGAGTTCCACACTGCTGAGGAGATTGGACTTGGGTGTCCTTCTGTCCCAGATTCCCAAGAACAGCTGTAGCAATGAAGTATCTGGGTTAATACATGCCTTTCCACTCTAAAAAGATTCCCCGTGCTGTGCCTGTTGTGTGGTGTAACAGAAAAGTCCACAGAGAATAGCAACCCCCCAGTTTCATCATGTTGAATTTGCACACTAAACATTAGGGAGTTAAATGTGCCTGAGTGCACATTGGGTATAATGATTCAGCCAGGAAATTTTATGAAAGAATATTTTGTTGTTTATCCACTGGTTTACCTTTAATTAAAGTCCATGGGAGACTTATGGTCTAGAAGCCAGCCTCATCCCAGCTGTTTTACTGAGGTTGATCACAAGGCTTGCCAGACTTGAGACATGATGCTGGATAAATCATGTCAGTCCTTTTGCATTTACTATAAAATTGAAGGGTACAACTTTTTCCTAACCCATATAGGCCTTAAGCACTGCACTGGGGTGACCAAATAGCAATTTACAGAGGGCAAAAAATATCTGGGTGTTTCTGTAGTCCAAGTCAGTAATGTCTGAAGACTGGTTCTGTTTGCACTGTAATATAAAGAGAGTGGTTACATAAACTTTTACTCTCTTAATTGTCTTCAGGTGCTGGGTGTCTTCCCTCTACCTAATACAGTCACTATTGAATGCTTATTTTAATTATTTGCATTTCTTAGATTCTATTTAAATAGGATTGGGGTGGGTTTGTGGGAGGGTGGGGGAGAGTTGGTTCTGTAGAAGGCATCCATTCTAAACCTCTTACCAGAATTATAGACTGCAGAGATTCTTCACAGTTGGAAAGAAATGAGTAAAGCTGTTATCTCAGAAATTCAGCTTGCAGATATGACAAGCACAAGTTGTTATGTAAGTGATTTTACTTGGTCTAGATAACCCAGGGATAAAACTTACAAGTATAGAAGGAGAATAACTCTTCTAATGAAAAGTTAAGATTTCAAGGGGATCCCAAAGACAGAAGCTGTCAGACTGCTTAGGGCAAAACTTCTTAACTGAGGGAAAAATCCTGTTGACCCTTTGCCAAGTTTTACTAAATTAAGAGCACCTAATATGTATTATACTGTCCTTAGTACCTTCACAAATGAAATCTTTGATTTATTACTCAATTCTCCATAGTTGGGAAAAATTTTCTTTGTTTTACAGTCATTTGGGCTGAAATTCAAAGTACTTTGTATGCGGGAGTATCATGTCTCAGCTTTTTATGCTGCAAAAGGAGATAGATTTCATCAATTAGATGTGGTGCCTGAGAAGGTTCTTTAGCAGTTACTGAAATTTTTCTGTAGCCTGTATCAGAATGAGGATTCCTTATTGTTACATGGTACGTGTCAAACCACTTCTCAAACAGAGAATTCATTTCAACTGCTGAAAATAACTATAAATTACTCTCAGTCAAGAACAGTTTCTTACGTTAGACTAGTAAGTAGCTGTATTTTAATTGCAGTAGTGAAAAACTGGGGAAGGGTAATCTTGCTAAGGTCTGTGGTCTGGAACCACACACAGACAAAGGATCCAGAGCCAAGGACAATTATCAGATGAGCAAAGAAGCCTCCAAACTGCTGTCAACATACAACCAAAGATAATAGTTTGTTACAACAGCTTTACGTGTCAACTGCGTATAAGCTAGAGAGTTACCTCAGTGCTGTCTGAACTAATGCTCACTGCAACCTTTCACTGCAGGAGACCCAGTGTAAGATCACCCCAGCCCAGCCGAAATGGCTGCTTGTGTAACCGCTGGGGAAATGCCTTAACCAGCAAAAACTAAAGCTGGTAGATGTGAAATCTTACTAGCATAACTTCTAGAACACAGATTTTTTTAATTAAATGGTAATTAGTTACTTAAATAATCCTGCTATTCAGGAATATTCTTACAAATTTCTGCTTCAATCCGTAACTAGTTATAGGAGGGGAAAAAAAATTACCTAAAACTTGTAGCGAGAGAATTTGCTAGATTTTGGGGGCAAAATCTGACCCAGACTGGAGGGAGCTGGCATGTTAGAATAGCTTTTCGTTCACCACCAGTACACACAAATGTCTGACAGAAGCAGAGCAGAAAGAACTTGCCTGTGTCTTATTGCTGCTGCAGTCTATGACGTTATAGTCTATAGCATAAGGAGAAGATCCAGTCTTCAATTTAGACAGCTCTGACACTTAAGTGCCCCAGCAGGTGCTGTAGAATTGCAAAATGTTACTTAATGATGGTTTTGTTTTGTTTTTGTTCTGGTCACATAGAATCCGGTAATCAGAAAACATAAATAAGCAGCATAAAGGGTGAAAGCGTCTTACCAGAATCTTGTCCAATATAAATCACTTTGAAAAGTAATTTCTTTGGCAGGTTATAATCTGCACTGATTTAATGAAGTAGTATATAGTTCCCTTAGACTGTCAACAGTCAGAAATCATTCCAGGCTCCCAGTACCACATGCTGTAGCTGTTGATTTAGAGCAGACCATCTGGACTGACAGCTTGTAAACCAGTCCAAGAGAAGGAAAATGACAAGCTGAAATATTTGTAATTTGCTTGGCAATTTTGTACTTTGACATCAAATTCCAAAGCAGGGTATGGTCTGTGGCTATCACTGTATTATAATATGGCCAGAATTCGGTAAACAGGGAGATGCTTCTTAGCTTACAGTACACTGTTCATAGGGCAAATTGATCACGGGTTTTAGCAGAGGAACTGGCAACACCAGCTTAGCCCTGCTATGCCTTTTAGCCCTGGAGAATCTCTGCTGGTACAGGAGAAGTTACAAGAGATCAGTGAATTCACATCTATGTAAAAGAGGTCACCACAGTTTTGGAGGAAAACCCAAAAGCAGCAGCACTCTCATGGCATTGCTGGCATAAGACATTCCCCAGCAGCACCAAGTCTGAGGGGTTTTTCCTGCCTGTACAGGCTTAATTTTTGATATTGAATATTTTGAGATAATTATGATGATAATGAGGATGAATGGAATTCAGAAACTAGGTACGCGTTGATGTTTTAGGTGTATTCTGCTCTTTCAGGTTCATTCTCTTGATTCTCCTGACTATAAGCTGGGACATTAAGTGTTTGCTAGCGACTTAAGCAGCATCCAGGTATCCTTGGCCCCACTTAGGGGTCGCTGGTCTTCATTTTTCTGTTTCTCAAACAGAATAACAGGTTTTTCTGTGCTGCATCCCACCCACCACCAATTGTTACATAACCTAGATCCAGCAGTACAAGACAAATACTCCTTTTCCATCTTGAGTGGGTTCTGAGCTGCAGCTAGGACCAATTAGGTGTCTTAAACATTATGTGTCATTCTTATTGATTCACATAGAGGGAATGTATGTTAGGAGCAAATAATTAGCTGATATTTCACAATAGTTTAACTGTGACTTTCCTGTGACCTGACTTAGCACTGTACTGTGCTCTGATAATTATGTTCTGATCAGCTGTGTATATTGCTTGAAATACCTAGGTTTACTTACAGCACTTCCAAAATCTTGTTTTCTATACTTAAAAGAGAATACAACTGTGTGATTTTGTTGTATCAGTTTTACATGCCCATCATTTTCAAAGGAAGCTTGGAATTGTTAGAATTATAATGTAGAGACGCAAGGGTGGGGGTGGGGGGGAGCAAACTGCAAGAGCAAATGTTGCTGAGGTGGCAGCACGGGTGCCCTGAAAGCCACCTAAGCATGTCTGATCTGTTTGCAGAGCAAAAGTCGCATTGCGTTTGAAGTTTGAAGTATGCAAAGAATTGAGTAAGCACGTGGAGCTACTTCCAAAAACAAGTTACATTCAAGCTCAGTCATCCTTCAGTGTGCAACTGAAGTTTCTGCCCAGGTAACCTAACAACATGAATCTTTTCAGTATTTAAGACAATGTCTGTAGGAGGCTGTCAGTGGAAAACCTGAGCAGGCCAAAGTTTTTTCTCCTTTCACACTGTAGCAGGCTGGACTTAACGCTGCTAGTGTCAGTGCAGTCCTAGTCTCCCCCCCCTCTCCATTTTAAAAGCTGCCAGATGCTCAAGGAGGAAATGAACTTGGATCACATACCTGTGAGGAAATGCTTTTCCTGTGGTGACAGCAGCAGTGTGAAAATCTTAGCAGTTGCATTCCTGGTAGGCTGCTCCCATTTCTGTGGGGAAGCTATTCTTAGACAAGAGAGAGGTTATCTGGGCAGGTGGCTACTTCATGGATCACTGATTAAATAATTTCTGGACAAGAACTCCTGTGCTTGCTAATTAAGGTAAGAATGGTTGGGCTTCCTGTTCATATCCCTCCTACCCATGTACCTTTTTCTCCAAAACATGAATGTCTTGATCTTTAATTTCATGTGGCATTTTATATAACATCTTCTAAGATGCTAAAAACCTTACCCCAGCAAGTTTCTCTTCTCTGTTTCATGATACACTGACATGCGCAAACATAACTCAGTTACAGGAAACAAACAATTCCAGTTTTCAGAAATGTAAATTCAAGGGCTCTTGTTGACTACTGTTAATTTTATTTACCTTGTCATTGCCATCCTAAATAATTTAGCAGGACATTTCTTTTCAGATATGAATTATGTAGATCTTGGTTCTGGTGTTCGGCCAAATACTTCAGCGGCTTCTGCACCAATTGGTGCTGCAAACCTGCTGCTTTTTTCAGACAGGTTATCTAGTCCCACTGTTGTAAGTTTATTTGGATTTTCACTGATGTGCTCAGCACTTCTGGATTCGAAATTGAGGGTCTAATCACAGATTTTGAAATTTTCACGAGGTTAATATTCAAAGAACTGAAAGTATTTACAGTTCTTCCAACATCTCAAATCCTATCAGATTACAACAGTAACCATTATTATGACATTTTTCAGTTCCTTAACTTTAGATGCTGTAAAGCACTGTTACACTTACTGAGTGGATAGAAGCATAGCTTGGATTTAGGACACTAATCTTCCTTTGAAAAATGGGGAAGCTTCAGGAAGGAGATTTGATGAGATTAAGGCATTTCTGACACACAAGTATCTGGCTGTTTCACCATACAGATCAGGTTTAAAAGACCTAACGCACAAGGGAGTGTGTGTAGGACAGAGAAAGACGAGCCTGCTACAAGCTGATGTGAAGTACTGAGCTAGTGACACATCTCATGGATTTAGTATTATAAGCGTGGTTTTCTCAGGGAAAGGATTATCTATATTAAAAGAAACAGAAAAGTAAAAAAAAAAAACCACTCATTCAGCAATTCTAAGTGAACAGATAGATGACTGAGTGCTCGGGAAGCTCTCCTGAGAATTCTGGGCACACTGAAATGCTGGGTCAGATGTTACAATACTCATAACTTTCTGGGTGTTTGAAACAGACATTTTCTGTTTATTTGAAGGCAAGTTCTCTAATCTGCTGACTTTCAGAATTCCCAAATACCACATATTTTAGTTTTTCTGTATTTGGAACTAGTCCTGCAGATGCTGGCAGTCTAAACTGATTTGTCTTTTATGCTTCTCTTTAATTGCTTTTAAGCATGAAGATGCCATTTTCAGAGACCTATCTGAAGGATTTCAGGATCTTTTCCCCAAGGCATAACAGCTAATTTAGAATCCATCACTGTCTATGTACAGTTACAATTATCTTTTTTTCCCCTCTGGATTATTTTGTAATACATGAATTTCTCCTGCTGTTCTAATGTCTTGTGACAAAGTGAAGGCTGATACTTTATTCCTGCCTTGCATTTAACTCCAGTTCCTGTCTTTAAAGTCAGCAATACCTTTGAAGATCACCTTGTAAAGTCACAGTTCAGACTTGCAAAATAACAGCCAGCAAGATTTCAGATCACCATGGTGACTGAGTGGGTGCTATTTATTCATTAACTATTTTTTAAATATGTTAAAAACTTGCATGTAATTCCAGTAGTAGTAGTAGGAACGTTATCGCTGTGGAGACCTAAGAACAGGAAGCAATTCACTCTGATGCTGTAAGACACTATAAATAGACCAGCAGAGCTAAAAATGCTAAAGCTTTTGTATTGTCTTGGCTTGAAGCTTTAAATTGAGCTTATGATAGCAAGATGCTTCAGCTACAGAAAACCTGCATATTTCTCATAAATTACCAGTCTGGTATATAATCAGACACTATTGGTGTTCAAGTTTTTTTCACTTTATTTATGTCTCTGTGCTTTGTGATAAAACTGGTTCTGCCTCAAACTGGCTGGTAATTAATGAACATCAGTGTCAAAGGGAAACAATTGCTTAGGTTGGATAGGTTACAGGCTGTGGTTGCAGCAAAGATGCAGGAGTCTTGTATTCTAAAGTAAGCTTTAAATTTATCAGAATTTTAAATGACTGGATAGCATTTTAAAAAAGGATAAATGGATGCAGACTTCTGTAAATAACTCCCTTAAACTCCTGTCTGTCCAAAATCCTGTCTTTAATGCTGGATTTTTACTTTTATTTAACATACAAGGTCGGTTATTCTAACTTCTTTGCTAGATAGCCTTGTAATCTGCGCATACCTGCTTGGAGCAGATGGCCTGGAGGTATGCCATTCTGTAGGAAATCTGGCAAGTCCATAATATTTCTGATCTGACTGCATCTTCTTTTTCTTGGTCAGAAGGTGGAACTTCGTAGGTCACTACTTTTTGATTGGCATTTCCTTCCACCATTTTCCTAATACTCGCATATATCTCGCATATAAGATTTTAGTTAGACTTCACTTTAGTGAAGCATTGGAGCTGATGCTTAACCAGCTGTATATGTGAATACTCCTGTTTGAGCATGAATACTGTGTTAAGATATTAAAAGCTGTGAATAATAAAAATTTTAGACCTTAGGTGACACACTGTTTGCTTTTTGTGTTTTGTTCTGTTTTTGCTCAGAAATACATCCATCAAAAGTTTATTATTCCCTTTACCTAAAAAGCAGTCAGAATATTTTTATGAAACTGAATGTATTTTGATTTTTAGGCACTCTCTTCCTGAAGATGCAGGGAGATATTTTAATGAAGAGACAGAAGTTCTGGAAGTTCCAATGACAATACTAATTGTGGAAAAGGTTAGTGATTTTTATTATGCTGGTTATCAGACTGACAATAGGTGTAAGTTATTTTAGTGAACGTTCACTTAATTACACCTAATTTTAGACTAGTTCTTTACTAGTTGAAGTCCTGTGATAATAGTAAAAGGTGCTTAAAGTGGTAACACAGATTTGATAGTTTCTTCTGGTCAGCATGTTTACACAACAGAAAGTTAAATCCTTTCTAGTTAGTGCTCATCTACTCCTTCGTAGTTTATTTTGTAACAGAGAGTTATCAGATCCCACAGCACAATCTTTATATTCTGATTTGTACTGCAGATGTAGTATTTTCTTAGGGTTTACCTTTCCTGGAGATGCAGGTGTGATTCCATTCTAGCACATTTTGAGATACAGATATTTTAAAAAGTTGCTTATCAGAGACATTTTCTGTTGCTTATTTTTGGAGAACAATGAGGCTGAAGTTCAAGATAGATATGTTACATTTACATGGAATTGACAAGGAGTGGAGTAGAACAACTTTTTTGCAGTTATCTGTTTGGATGATGTTTCACTTAAATCTTGTCCTTACAATGCTACAGGTGGAGGTTCTTACCCTGTGCTCTTGCATTTGTTTCAGGCTAAAAAAGTTAATTTTACTGTCCATGCAATTGTTACTACTTCAGATCTGGAAATCAGTCCAGCACAAATCAATTTTGGATACTGCACAATCTATGAAGCTGTACAGGCCAATGTTGTGCTAACAAACAAATCCATCTTGCCACAAGAGTTTGGATTTGTGGGGCTTCCAGAGGTATGTATTTATCCCGCACTCACCTCTTCTTGTATCAAAATATATTTCATTATTATTCAAACATGTTTCAATGTGAGTATAAATATATCATAACTGTTTCTTGCAAACGCATGGAAATATTTCTGCCTGCGGCACTGCGGAAACACACAGATTAGTTCTGGTACTGGCTGGTGCAATTTCAGTTTATTGTACCCTCTGCATTTTCCAAGCAGTATGAACATCTTTGAGATTTTACTGCTGTCACCTACATAACATTATTAGGCTAACTTTATCCTTTTAGAATACCTATTTTTTACTCCAAGAACAAGTCTTGTACTTATACTTAGCTTATACTACTAAACAAAACAGGCTTAGGGTTGTTGCTTTGGCCTCGAGGCTGAGGAATATCGCACAGTTTGCATCCAAATGCCTAAACACTGTGTCTCTAAAGCAGGATGGCCATGTCCAAACTGCTTAGTGGGAACCATCCCCCGAGGCATGCCTAGGTATTTTCTGACTGTAAGTTGATGTAGAAGCTAAATTAATCACAGGAGCTGCCAGTTTCATGTGGGCTAGGTCTGCTGAATTATTTTCTTTTGCAAAAAGTTAGCTGTTCAAGCTTCATAATAGCATGATCACAGTGTGAAATGGTTTGGCATATTGGAGTCGGAGCTGGAGGAACCTGACATTTAATTAAGCATTCTCCCTTTCTCTGCTGTTTTAGGGATTATATTCAAGGAGTTAGCTAAAAGAAGTTGGACTCTTCAGCTTTGTTAAAGCTTTACTTCACAGAATGTGTTTCATGACTAGTTTATGTGATGGGGAGACATTCTTGAATCATCATCAACTCATAAACACAAACAAATATACATTTGTAGATACTAAACTAGTACTTGTCACTATGGTATCTGCGCCTCATACAGGAATAAGCTCTTCAAAGGTACAAGGGGAACTCTTGAGATTGTTATCATACTTCAGTAGTTGTCTATGAAGAGTAAATAAACATCATTAGAGAAAGGTGATTACCATAGATGGCAAGAAGCTGGGGAGGAGATTCTACTGTAGTCTGAGTTAATGGATTTAATGCCTTTCAGGTTACTTTGCGATTAGAAATCTGCGTATAAATCAGACACTACTCAGTAACTCAGATGAAGGCTTCTCACTGGAAGGTTTCTGTTTTACTGACATTTGTACATTTAATAACATTTCTTTTCTTGCCAGTAGTGTCTTACTTCAATATTTTGACAATTTAACTAATAATTTCTTACTTTAATAACAATAATTTCTTATCCTGCCATTTTGAAGTTTGTTGAAATTCAACCTAATGATGGACTTGGAATTCTTCTTCCCCTTGAAAGCCTGACACTGGACATAATCTTTAAAGCTAATAAGGCAAAAGAATACAGCTTTGAACTAACCTGCAAGTCAGAGATTAACAGGTATGTTAAGAAACTGACTGAGTAGTGGGGAATCTAGGATTCTAAATCACACTGGATTTCCACCGTTAAGCTGGTTCAGAAATTAAATCTTTGCCTACTCTGAAGAGGTAAGGCTGGGCTAGAAATGTGAGGCAGGTGAGAATTCTCCAGTTGATAAGGGTTGCTCAATGCCTGTTAGTGTCACTCATCATTTACGCATCTGTCTTCACTGAGGTGACTTTTCCTATCCCACCTGAAATTTATCCTTGTCACATATCCAAGCTGCAGACTTGCCCCAGGTCATCTTAACTTGCAATGTTCTGCTTGCTTTTTCAGAAGAATTACTGAAGGGTTTTTTTTGTAAAAGTGCTTTGTACATTAAGCTAATGCTACTAAAATAATGATGGCATAAACTTTGATTTGACTCGATGTGTTTTCATAAGTTCACAGAGGAAGAATTCAAGTAGGGACTCTAGCCAATTGTGCATTAAAAATAGATAGTATTATTGTTCATCTTCAGGCAAAATTCCCATTGCAAGCTTGAAATTCTGCTTAAATAGGGACTACAGGATTAGTTCCCTATTTTCCGGGCTGATTAAGAGACTATTTTATGCTGAGACAATTTATCATGTGTTTATTTTTAGACAATTCAAGCTGTCATGCAAAGCAGTTGGAGTCCACCCACCTCTTGAATTGTCTCATTCCTTAGTTCAGTTTGCTGCAACAGCTTTAAATGGTGTGTCTACAGCAACACTGTATGTGATGAATACCCACGTGAGTGTCAACCACTTGACTCACACTGTCCCAAGAATTGGCAATGGGGAAGCTGCCCCCGTTGGACCCACTTCGTTTGAATTCCATGTGCCAGAGGACTGTCCAGTGACAATTACCCCTTCTGTTGGAACTGTGTTGCCTGGGAAGGTAAATTCACTTTAAACATCTAAGTATTCTGCCAAATCTTTTGATCATCTACATCCCTACAAACGCTGCCACTTATAAATAAATCTCAAATGTAAATTATTATTAGAATAGCTCGAATAGTTCTATATTGTTTGAAATAATGTTTTAAATCCGACATGAGGGGTTACCCATCTAATCTGGTTAATGCTCTGTGGGAGCTTTTACCCCGAATGTTATTTCCCCAGTGTTGTCATTAGGATTTATTTGAAGAATGTTTAAATTTCAAAAATACTGGTCATGTAAAATGAGCCCATTGTAACACAGTGGACTTCAAAAAACCTGCAGGTGACCTTATCCTTAGGATTATCTTACTCACTTGGAAAAAAATGTATTTTATTTGTTAATTTTTTGCTGTCATATACATGCTGCTATTGAGCTTGGTAGGTGTAACACATGTTTGAGGGCTGAATTCTGCCTATCGTTCTCGTGTATGCTCTCACTCCCAGAAAAGCTTGATTCAAGTGTCCTTCAGACCAGCACTGTCGGATCAGCTAATCAGAGAAGAGGCAGATCGGAGGCTTTGGAGAGCAGCTGCGACAGGGGCAGAAATACAAGTAAGGAATGCTAAGAACTAGCACATGCTGTTGGTCTGATATTCCAGATACTTGTTTCTCTGGATGGTATTTTTATCATAAAATTATTTGCATATTAATGAAGCCCAAACCCATGATCCATGTAAGACCTGCCTATGAAGGACAAGAGTGTGACATGACGCTACTGTTGCACTTCCTGTGTAGACTGTTCACTGAGCAGTAATTTAGTTCCATGCTAACAATTTCAAAAGAATTCCTAGAGGATTTTCTTGCAAATGCTAACTGCAAGTACTCTTTAAAAAACTGAAGTTTCTACACTTGCAGATTTAGCACATACATGGACTTCATATGCAGTGCTGTGGGCCAAATAATTTATGTGAGCACTTATGGTTGTCTTATGAGATAAATAGGTAAAATGCCCATGAGAGATAGTCTTTTTCTCATCTGCTCCAATAGGGGAACTCTTCTTTTAAGATGGGGTAAAATATGTCCATTTCAACTTAACGTTACACTATTAGAAATGTACGAAATACCCACCCTGTCTCTGGCTTGTCACCCTAATCCTACTGCTGTTTCCTTGGCTCACGCACTCTGTCACCTCTGTGGCTCTGCACCCCTGGGCCAGGGACTGTGTCTGTACACTGATGTCTGCATTGGTTACCAGTGATCATCCTCAGTGGATAATGTCTTTGTGTGTGTATTTGCAGAAAAGGAAGAAAGATGAAAAAAAAGAGGGAAAGAAATCAAACATTTCCATTACCAGGCAGCAGTCTTCCAAACAGCTTGTAGGGGATGGAGGCAGTAAGCACCTGACCTCTCTGTGTAGTTCTGAACAACCAAACTCCAAGGAGTTAAAGCCCGAGTAAGTCAGCAAAAGGGTCTTGTACTACATAGACAGCATTCTTTTTATAAGTGGTTTAATAAATCTATTAAAACCTATAGGTAGTCAAGAAAGCAAACTGTAGAGAAGAAATAGCTTTAGCTATGTTGCAAAGGCAGTTTCCAAAATTAGTCCTGCTTTTAAGCCACACAGCTGTAGCCTCTCGTGTAAAGCAAAGAATCCCTTTATGCATCAGAGGGATTGAAGACATCAAAGAATATATCAGAAAGCAGGAGATGTGGCTGTATGGGTAAATTTGGCTGAACCAACGAGGGTGTTATTTTAAATGGCAACTAGAAAGCTGAACTTAGTTACCAAAAGAAACTACTACTAATAGACCTTTTCTGAATAGGTCTAACAGCTGAATACATTCAATATTCAATACATTTAATTTACAATATGTGTCCCTCAGTGAGAATTAACATCAACAGCATGTGCTGTCTAGAAATTTGGATACTTAGATGCAAAATCTGATAATTGAGGTCCCTTGTTTAGCATGTAATTCAACTTTATAGAACCACACTTCTGCCTAATCTGAGGAATTTAGAAGTGTTTGAAAGCAAATACACACTTAAACACCAGGCATGTGGCTGTTCTGGGCATTAGAGATTTTTGACTAAAATCCCATGTTCATTGCAATCCATTAATTATAACTTTTAAATACTTCCAGTAAAGGTCATAAAAATAACATCTGTATTTGAAAACTCCCATTATGAAGTATTGCTTGGCATGTTGCATTACAGAAATGTGATCTTGTGTGTTTACATATCATTGAAATGATGGAAATACTGGAAGACACTAGAATACTTAATGTATTCAGCATAAGGAAATTGTACTGAGGATTTTGCCATCTTCAGTGTAACATTTATTAACCGGGTTCATAATTTTTATTCTCTTTTGGCGAGAAGCAAACCTCTGACTAGGGTGGGTCCATTACTGTGCATCAAGTCAGCCACTTAGTTTCACTGTTACGTTCAATTTTGAATGTATGACTAAGAAGCAGTAAAAACATACAGTTCAGTAGATAGCGATTTGATTTTTTTTTTTTTTTTTTCCTTGCTGTCTCACTAAGATGGTTCTTATTTCTGGATTTTCTAGTTCTGATGCTTATATGGCAGCCCAGGCTTTCCTGCTGAGGAATTTCAGTGGGAGGTTTGAAAAATACATCATACCATGCTTTGTTGCAAGTGGCTGTATCGATGAAATGAACGGCTCTGAAAACCTAAGCTGCAGGTATTTGCAATTCATGGTAGTTCAGGAATTTGAGCGGGAAGTGGTGGGCATGTGAGTTTATTCATTTGGGGAGGAAATTAGTTTTCTGATGTTAATTACTTCATGGTTCAGTGGTTGAAACTCATGCTTACAACCCACTAGTTAGATAAGAATCAAACACATGGAATCAAAGCAGCGTAAAGAATAACTGTATGAAAGTTTTAAGCCAGATGTAGTTTAGCTTTCCACTTAGGCATGCACAAAAGGTCAGCCACCAAAAATTATGTATTGTTTAATAATACCAAACTAATGCTGTCCTGTGATATGAACAGAGTAAGATCAGATTTCTGACAATAGTTTTTATCTCAGTATGGTCCAAGAGCAAATATCCTTTTCCTATCTCTCTAGCCCTTACAACACTTTGTATCTGGAGTTGCACTGTCCAGCTGTAGCACCATCTGTTGTGGTGACTTCAGATAATGGAGAAAACACAGTCAATTTTGGTGATGTTGCAGTAGGTATGACATCTGAATTCAGGTTTTGAATTTTTTCTCTCTGATGTTAACTTCTTCTGAGCATAGTTTTGCACTTTTTTACATTGTTCAGTTGATTTTCAAAAGTCAGTATGGAAATTAACCCTGTAATAGGTACTTAGGTGGAAAATTAGGAGCCTGTCTGACCAACTGAGTCATGTAAAAAGCAGACTCGATCCCAAAATGGAATCAGAAGCTCTGCAAGTGACTGGCCAAAATTGGAAGTATTTTGGTGAGTTTTGACTAGTGTATTAGTCATAGAAATGGAATGAATGCTTGGCCCAGGTAGAAGTGTGAGTAAAAAGGAGGGATGGTAGTGCATGAGTGAGCATCATCACTTTTTGAAATATTTTCATTCCTGTCAGGCCACAGAACATTTAAGCGAATTACAATACAAAATATCGCCCCGGAGAAGATGGAAGTATCCTTGTTTGGAATGTGTAAATTAATCTACCGCTCAGCTTCTGTTTGATTTGACTCTTTTTCTGTAGGAGGAACTGTTTGACACTAAAGCAAGTAGGAGGTAGCAGATTTCAGACTTAATACCCATCTTTCACAGTGAGGCAGGAGGTGATGTGAAGAATATATTGGAGGAGCCTAGGTGACCTACTGGAAACCTAATTCCATTCCACCCTTTTAACTGGAAATAGTTCTGCATAGAGCCAAACTTGAGAAGCACTTAATCTCTTTCTAAAGAGTATAAGGTACCGATGACAAAGCTAGTTTCAGTACAATGTGACGTACATGTAAAGCAGAACCAACAACTCAATTTTTGCACAGTGCTTCTCTGAATTTCTGAATACCCTGTAAGAAGAGGCTACTGCACTGGCTTGGCTGGGTTAAGCTGTGTGGGATAACACAGGAGGAGGCGTGTCCCGGATCTTAGGGTGTTAAAGACCCATTCCAGGCAAAATCTGAAAATGGAGCTGTATGGAGATCTTGTTAACTGGAAAAGGACCTTGCAGCTATTTGAATTTTATCGGGAAAAAAAAAAAAAAGGATTAATTATTCTTTCCTCTGAGTTAGCTATGTCTGGAAAAGCTTACAGATGGTTACTTTATACATCTTTGATCTGAAAAATACTTAGAATCTGTTCTTAGATCTTTTTCCCCAATCTTTGTTTATAAACCTTTTTCCTTGAGTTGCACTACTTCAGCTAGGATTCTCAGTTCTGAATCCCAATGGTCCCTTCCTGTTGGTCAGACCAGTTGGAATGCTTGAGCCAGGTGAAAGTAAAACCCTCATCATCTCTTTTTCTCCAAATGAGAATAAATGGGTGAGTAAGAGATACAACAGTAATGGGGAAAAAGAGGAGAGCCTGTGTAATAATGACATGTTACTGCCTGGGATGAGGCTGTATGATAGTAAGAAAGGCTGTGCTGCCTGTGCACAGCCCCTCCCAACTTATGGATCTTCGTCTATGCACTAAATCCAGAAGTTCTGTAATAATGGCCTGTTTGTGGAGTGGGAGACATTTTCCTTCTGCAAATGGGCTAACACAGATATCCTCTTGGCAGTTTTTTGGAGCGCTGGACATCCGGACGGCAAAAACCAATCTAACCCTCAGGATCAGTGGTCACGGGGTGACACCATCAATTGTTTGCTCTGTGGAAGAAGTACTCGATATGGGATACGTCATAGCCAGAGAGAAGGTGACTTCCACGTTCAAGGTAAATCCCTATAAGCTGAACTGGAAAGCACATCGGCAATTTTTGCAAGGAGGAAGAGGAGTTCTGTGGTTTCTAGTCTGGCAGAACGTAAGGCTGAGTGGCAAAGTGTAGGCAGAAGAACATAGCTTTAAAAGCACGTCTGGCAGAGTGATTTGGTGCTGAGGCAGCTTCAGGCCAAAGGTAACAAAGCTGTGCGGGAGGATCCTGTTAGCTGCTGCCATCCTGCCTGCAGCCTACACAAAACCAGAGAGATCCAGTACCTTCTGCAGAAGAAAAAAGAGAAACGATCTGTGTGGTCTTCTCTGTAGATCCAGCCAGTCTGCAGAGGGATGTGAAGTCAGAAATGGCTTTGCTTTTCCCAGTGTTAGAAATATTTGCACTCCTCTATTCTGTCCGTTACTGCTCTCACAGTTGAGGCCGCCCTGCGCCCATACAGAGCAGTGACAGAGGTACATGGGGGCAATGCAGAACTGGTCCTACAGAGAGCACTTGAGGCTCTGCCGTGGTGCAGTCCAGGGAAGTTTAGCCCGTTCACTCATTCACGTACTGTGAAATCCCACAGACTCAGAAACAGATCAAGATCTGGGCATAAGTTTTCTCCTCTCAGACTTTATCCAGGGATGTCAGTAACCAAAATAAACTACTTGCCACAGGATGCTTAGGAGGAGCCCAGTCCCTGCTGTTGGGGTGGGGGCTGACATGGCACGTTGTGGGTAGCAGTAACGTGTTCTTGCCGTGGCACCTGGTACACAGAGGTGCCCTAAGGCAGCAAAATCAGCCAGTTCGCAAACTCTGGATCCTCCAGGCTTCAGAATCGATTTTCTTGATAACAATGCTGTTGTGTGAATTACTGTCATCAGATACAGAACACTTCCACGCTGACCCTGCGATACTCCATGCAACTAGATTCACTTTCACCAACAAGGCACAAAGATCAGCAGAGACTTCCATCCTTTATTACGTCCCCTTCGCAAAGAACAGAGTTTGTTGGTAAACTTGTTTTTTGATTTTTTTCTTTTCTTTTCTTTCCTTTGTTAGACTCACAAAAGTACAAAGCAGCATTACTTTGTCCTGTTAGATCTACATAGCTGTCAACACCTGGGGCATCACATCACTGAACCTGAAGACAGAATTCTGTTTCCCCAGTAGGAGCTGTACTAATTCTTTCAGTATGGGTAGCTGTAGATTTATGCAGCCTGAACAACTATCCACAAGTAGAGATACAAGTGTTTGAATCTAAATAGTAATTCCATATTAAAGGTTACATTTAGGGATGTCCATCTCTGTAAAATCACGTTAGAATATAGGAAGGGGTTGGTGATGATGCTTCAGTTCCACTAGAGATGAATTAATTCAACTGATGCATTTATCTGGTATTTCTAACACCCTGTTTTGCTGCAAAACCATCTATCAGGTCTTATTTATTTGTTGTTCCAACAAAAATTAAATGGGTTTAAAATATATGAAAAAGTAAAATAGAGCTGTCCTTTCTTATTTGTATCCTCATTTTTATTTACCAGGAACACAGAACTACAATGGCTTAAGTGTGTTCAGCATCTTTCCAGCAGAAGGAGAAATGGGTGCTGGAAAGAGTCAGGATTTTACTGTTACTTTCAGTCCTGATCATGAAAGTCTGTACTATTCTGACCGCCTCAAGGTTGTGCTCTTTGGCAAGGTGAGACAATCAAGATACCTGGATTATGAAATCAAAGTCTAAATACAACCTACAGTGTATTTTATCAGCATGGGTCTTGGTAGGAGTTCCAACTAATTATAGCTAGTGGACAGCATTTGTAGGCAGAAAAATTTATTAGATGAACTGATGTAGGTAGGAGGGGGCAGGTTTGGGGCCCACTGACTTCCTCTCAGGTTTTAAATATTCAGTTACTAATTCATAATAGTGATTTGGGATTCAGTCCTGCCTTCTGCCCAGCTGGGTGCACTGGGCAGGCGGGGGGCGGCGGGAGCTCGGGTGCTGCCGCGCTGCTGAGCACAGCTCCGGTTGGGTTCTCTGCCAGGAGCATTTAGTGGCAGCAGGGAGTGGAGCTACACCTGCACGGTGCAAATGCGCCGGTGCACGAGCACCAGGGAGCTGCTGCTGCAGGGGCTCAGCGAGAGGAAGGAGGTGTTTCCATCTGTAGAGCAGCAGTGGAGCCGAGACGGAGCCCAAGCAGGGCTGGCAGGTGGCTTTACTGTTCCAACAGAGAGCTACCAAAAGTTAATGAAGGGTGCCAACTAATGACGGTCAGCAGGCACTGCAAACAGCAGGAGCAGGCGGTGAGCAGCTAAGTACTGCTTCTCTCCTTGCAAGTTCTGTATCTCCAGTCTGTCTTTGGAATTGTGGTTACAAATGCAAATCAGAGTGAGCTGAAGGTGACTGGAGCCTGGTCCTAGTTCACAAGCTTTAGCCATGTTTCGTGGCAGGTATGTTTTACCTCAGTGGTGTTAGTGTAAATAGTTTGCCCGGTCCCCTCCTGAGGCACAGGGCCCAGGAATGAAAGGGGGTTTCAAACAGAAGGGCCTGAGCAGACAAGGAGAAGGTGTAGGATGTCCACATCAGAGTGCGGGGCCTCTGAGCAGGAGATACAAGAATTTATTGCCAGGCAGATGATGTAAGAGCTCCCGTGCAGCCCAGGCTGTCAGCTGGGCACCTGAGCTGCCGCGGCAGTGGAAGTGTTCCTGTCTCCCCAGCACACCGCCCGCGTGACGCGCCTGAAGGGCGCAGCCAGAGAGCACCTGATGTTTGTGGAGGGGGGGGTTCCCCTCGACGTGCCTGTGGAGTCCCTGGCTGTGACGTCACCCGTGTCCGCGCGGGAATTGCCAGCAGGAGGTGATGTGCTACCACTTTATTACAGAATAGTGAGTGATAAGACTCAGGCATGTCCCTCATCCTTTGGGAAAAAGTAAATGAAAGGTACCTTCTCCAGAATCAGAAGAAATAAGCAGTATGGTATAGCCTGTATTTGTAATGCAAAATGCAGGAAACTTTCAAGGCAAGATTTTATCTTAATTTTGACATGGTTATGTCTTAATGATGATCTTCTATCTTTGCAGCTTACCTTGCAAAAAATTATTACAGTTTAATACTACAACAAAGTATTAAGATGTATTTGCTTTCTGCCACATCTCTGGCTTGTGTTATTAAATGTTTGTAAAATTATTTCATATATAACAGCATATCCTGGACCCTCCCTATTGTGCTGTTCTGAAACAGACACACTTTCAGGGGTTTGAATTTATCCTTCCTTAAGTTCTTTGGACAGGATCTGTGTTGAGAGACAGCACCTAAGGTCCTGAGCTGTAAATAAATCCAAGCACACACCATACACAAGTAGGAATACAGTACACACAACGCCATAGGGCTAAAAACCAAGCATGGAACTTGATAGTTAATAATTACAGTTTGCAATTGCAAATTACGCAAAACCTCACTAACTGTGTAAGAGGGATCTCCTTCTCTGTGTCAACTCGTGAATTTGCTACAACATCACCTTCTTTTGAACCATCCTGGTGTTAATTTATGCTTGTTCCGAACTGATAATCGCCCAGTTTTGACTGTCTCAAAGTTTGACTAGTGTTTGTTTAGAGCTGCAAGAACCAGTGAAGTCCATTCTCCTCGTTCTGGAGTACAGCGAGGGGCAGAGTGCACCGGCGACGGCAGAACTGATTGTTGGAGCAATCCAGACAGCTCAGTTCGCATCCAAGAAGGTGAAAAAATCGCACAGTCTTATGACACATGACGTAAGAAATGCCTGCTCATTCTTTCTGTGGAGCGGGCGCGCTGTCTCCGCAGGGCGCGGAGCAGTGGGGCTGTGAGCGGTACGCGGGCGCGCTGTCTCCGCAGGGCGCGGAGCAGTTCCGCCTGGCCGAGGCGCCGCAGCTGCTGCGGGCCGGGTTCGCGCTCGACGCCACCGCGGGGACGCCGGAGCGAGGCCGCACGCGCCGCATCGCCGTCTGCTGGGCGCCCCCTGCCGGCCCGGGGGTGAGTCGCGCGGCGGGTTCGGGCCCACGGGGGACACGGGGTGGGGGTGGGGTGGCGGGTTCGCGCCCACTCGTAGGGACAACGCAAAAGCTGCTGGTGAAGACGTCAGCGGGCACAGGCTTTGGCACGCGGGGATGAGGGGACACGCGTAGTTACCCAGGGCGGGTACAAACACTGGCAGGAGGATGGAGGCCGGCAGGGTGCGCGCGCTCCTGTGCCGGGCCTGTCAGCCGCCAGATGGAAACCTGCAGTGTTTGTCACTGGCACCTCGCAGAACGTAGAACACAGGTCGCTGCGTTCCGCAGCACCGAAATGCTGCTGCTCTTAACTCAAGACACAGCCAGGAATTGAGCTTTTTCATGTCCCCTGAAACCTGCAGGCCCGCTGACACAGAACTAAGTTGATGTGGCTCATTCCACTGCAGTGTTCCCCTCTCTTTGGGCTAGGGCTGCTTTTCCCTTGGTGCCCTGGAAGTCAGTGCAGCCTTTTTGATTTTCCACATTGGGAACCCTGTTTCCCTGGCTGCTTTTGCCTTTTTGCATTGCAGAGTCTAGGCATGAGGTCCAAACATCTCTGCAGGGCTGCAACTGCCCTTCCTGATTCATCTCGGGCCTTCACAGAGACTGAAAGGATTCACTCCCCTGCTTTTTGTTGTGAGCTGTGCGTGGGATGGCAGAATAAGTAGCTTCTTCCAAAATTGAAAGAATCATGGGCAGAAAGACGGCAGCAGAGTTCCTGGCATGATGAATCAGGTTGACATGGTGCTTCTTGGTAACCACGGGTGGTTACCCAAGATGAAGCAGTAACCAATGGCCAACAGAGCCGCTCACCCCAGCGGACTCTGCCGCTGCTGTGCCTAGCTGCCATGGCTGTAATGTGGGGAGGGTCACAGTGCCCTGGGGAGGGAGTGCTTAGTCATTGCTACTTTACTTACTGCAGTCTGAGCGTTAAGTGGAAATGTAAAAGAGCCAACACAGTGGGAAGAGAGGTAACCTACAGCTAGAACTGGTACATCTTACAACTGAGATCGAAAATACATAGCATAGAACTTGATCAATTAATCTGTTTGAGGCACAAAAAGCCCAGGTTGGGTTTATGTGTGCATCTTTTTGTAGGCTGATGACCCTCTGCTTGTGACAAGCCTCCTGACCGTAAAAGGTGACATTACAGAATCCTACCGAATCCTCTTCATGGCAAGAGTTGTGTCTGAGTGAGGGAACCCAGCTGAATGGCAGACGGAGGCTCGTGTTCCCGGGGAATCAGTGGAGCTCAACTGAAACATGGAAGGAATTTGAGACTGGCAAATATGTGAGGGGAGCAAGGAAGTGGGAAGGAAGGTGACATGTAATATTTCTGCTTTTTTGTCAAAAAATTCCATGTAAACTCTGGTTCCACTAGTTTCATTTTCAAGCTGACTCTGACAGTATTCTTGGGGTAGAGGAAAGAATGAAAGAGGGGCCCAGGTAGATACATCTGCTGTTAATCCCAGTGTCTTCCAAAGGTGGGCCTTCCCTCGGGAGTGATGTCTCATATCTACATGGGTGAGATTCAAGCAACATCTCTTTTGCTAATTTCAGATGCATTTTAATGGATTTGGAAAATCCTTGACTTTTTCCCTTTTAGAACCAGAATAAAGCTTCTTATTCAAGTCTCCTCCAAATCATCTGGGCAGTCATTTTTACATTACGCTGTGAAATCTTTTTCTGAGGAGGAAACAGTGACCATGTTGTCCACTGAGTTGCTGGATGTGGTTAGACACTTGCCTTAGATCATGGATGTTCAGCAACTTTGTATTTCTACATTTGTTTTCCTCTAAATTCTGACTAAAAGTAAATTTCTGCCTGTTACTGGGCAAGTTGGAGTGCCCTGCAGGTAGAACTTCCGTCAGGAAGCAGTAGCTAGTTCAGGGAAGAGAGAAGTACAGAGGCACCACACTGTGGAGAAGGAAGGGACCAGGAAGTTACAGACATCCAGAAACACATAATCTTTACATCCTGTATCATCACATCCTTTCTTGAGTCACAGTAAGTCTGTGGCACAATTCCCTCACCACAACTCCAAAGGCTTCCTGCCACTTGGCCCCACGTAGCTGTTAAAATGGCTTCATTAGATTATGCAGTAAGAAAATAGAAACGAGCTATTTGTAAATATCCCTAAGGTAAAATGTGTCAAGCTAGTTGGACTGCAGGAAAAAGCAGTAAAGCAGTTTTCACAAGAAATATTTTAACTAGTTTTCCCCTTCTATAGAGGAAGCTTGTGTAACTGATGAAGAGGGGTTCCTTGTTTTTCCAAAGACAGCGTGTTTGATCTATTTAGCTCTGTTCTCATTTAATAATGGATCAAGTGGCTGCGAAGTCACTTAACTCTTCAGTCTGAAGCACTACAAATGCTGAGGCAATAAACAGCCGCAGCAGTAGGGGCGGGGAGTGGCCGTGCTGGCCAGAGATGGCTCAGCCTCTGTGAGAGGCACCCACTATTTCTGCTGGCACAGCTGGGGCAGCTGGGGTGAAGTTGAGGACAATGAAGTTTGTGTGATGGTCCTCTGACAGTCCCTGCAGCCCTAAACGGGAGATGAAATACCCGTACACAGAATGAAAGTGCTGCAGGCAGTTCTGTGCAGCTGACAGTTACCTCGGGGGGGGGGGGGGGGGGGGGAAGTTTTCAGCAAGCAAGGAGGAGCACAGCCGGTTGGAGTGGAGCATTTATTCCAGGCAGTTCATTTGGGGCCATCCATTATGTGAGGATGCTTTGGATCTCCCTCGTGGAAACTGAAAAGCAATGGCTGAGAATAACATAGTCCCCAGACTCTCGTAACCCTGTAATGTGCTGAAAATAAGTGTAAAATTATCTACCAGGAAACAACACAATTCTTGACTTAGGAATCTTCCACTTCATAGACGTCAGGTACTGTGAAAAAGCATCCAAAGGATTCAAAAAAGTAAAAAAATTAAAGAATACATGTAACAACTGTGATGATGTTGAGAAAATGTGGAGGTTGCTGGCAAGAATAAGGTGGTGGCTCAGGAGGCAGAAAGAAGGAGCACGTGCAAGGAGTAGCTGCTCCAACCAGCAGCAGCTGTCGGACGCTGGCTGGGGCAGCTCTGCAGAGCTCCGCCTGTGCCCCTGGCGTTGCTGTGCCCACGCCCTCAGGGACTGACGCCAGGTATCGGAGGCGGCTTGAGAGGTAAGTGAAGGGTGTAAGGCGTTTTGAACCACTTTCTTTGGACTTGATCTTGAAAACTGTGAATAATTTCACAGACTAGCGGTGAGAATAAGGTGCTGGGTTTCACTGGTGAAAGTTTCCATGCTTAAAGCTAACTGTGTATTCCTTCTCTCCAGGCAGCATGTTGAACCACGATAATAAGAATAGGTTGCTATTTTTGGAGTACTGAAAATAAAGAAAATTATGCTTGCAGTACACCAGCTGACATTCTGTAAAGCGTTTATGGAAATCTGGATGGGGTTTACTCTCTTTCATGAGAGAAAAGCCTGTTATTGTATCTCAGGCCTTGAAAGTAATCATATTTGACTTCTTGGGGGCATAACGGCTGATCCTTGTGGGACTGGGTTTTCCTGTCTGATTGGATTGGTTTTGTTCTTTTGGCACCAACAGTTCCATGGGCCCAGCTCTCGCATGAAGTGATGCTTGAGCAACAAGGGAGGCAAGCCAATGTGAAAGGAAAAAAACAAATTGTCTGATGTGGGGAAGCAGATCCATTGTAAAGCTTCACACAAGCATGCAGACTCTGCTGCTTCATCTGGAACACAACTAAAAAAGTAAAAGCGCAGTTACTTTTTCTGCAAAATGTAGCCCTTGGATATTCCACTGTCATTCAAATGAGAATCACCACATTTCACCAGGGGATAGAAAACATGAGGATCCTTTCTAGAAAGAAGCAACTAATTCTCCAATATATTTGCTGCAGTTCTTGGGCTTAATTTAGCATAACAATGAAGTTTACCAACCTAGAGTAAACAGGTTTTCCTTACGAGACATCTGACAGCTTGTTTCTTTGACTAAGCTGCCTGAAGTGAAGTCAGTGCCTAAACCCTGTGACAGCTCTGTGCTGTTTCATCACCATGACTCTCCACTTGCCTAAAACCTCTTGCTTGTGTGAGTGGATGTTGAGCAAGCAAGCCAAGGATTCAATAATAGATCTGACTTCTAAAACAGAAATAACTAAAATAATTTGATTTAGATTAACGTAGTTACTTTTGCTATATTTTTATTTGGTGCTGAGCCTCTTTAGAATCTTCACAATGCAAATTTGCAATGATCTGAGATGCACACTGTCAGGCTACTGAAAATTTAGGAATTCTGTGTGAATGTTCCTATCTAAAAAGTTCTTATCTATAATGTATATAAAAGATAGCTTCTTGATCATTCGCCAGTACAGAAGACAGAAAAATGTCTGGGATGACTGACTACTGGAAACAATTCTGCTAATTTAGATGTACCAGGCTGCACTAGAAATACTGAGTATGTAGGTAAATCCTTGAGAACATAGCTGAGAGCTGTTGCATCTACTTGCATGGCTTAATGCCAAGTTCACAACTCCCAGAAGCAGTTCTAGCCTTCGTGCAAGTTAATCTCGTGAAGAATCAAAAAAATCCTGTCCAGTGCTCTGCTTCCAAAGTAGGTTATCACCAATCGTAGCATATTTGGTATTAAAATTGCCAGGAGATTCTGAATATGTAATCTGATGTTTGTTTCCATAGTAGAGGATTCCAATAGGGACGGAGCCCTTATTGTGAGAATAATACGGAAAATGTAACCTCAGAAATAGATCTGAGTTTCCCAGAAGCTTAAGTTCTCTGCTCTTCTCACTGCACTTCTGAACATTATGCTTTCAGGCGGAGTTTTGCCACTGTGATCACTCTTGTGCTTTCAGATTTGGATCTAAATGCAAACATATATTTCTTGGCTCTGATGTGGTTCTAGTTTAAAAAAGCAATTCACATCCCTGTGTCATCTTTATAATCCCTAACAGCTCTATCCAGCTCATTTCTAAAACAGAAAGGAAGTGAATAAGTACAAGTGTCATACGCATCTTATTAATACATGTGCTGCTTAGCCAGTGACATCAAAGATTGCTTCACGCTCGGGAATGCAGCTTTTCCTAAATGAGCAATGGTCCCATGACCCTGAGCAGTCCTGTAGGGAGATTCTTTAGTCACGATGCCACATGCCATTACCGAGCCCTGAAACTTGTTTTTGAGCCTTATGGAGCAGAAGTAGTGAACGTCATCTGGAGAAGGGTCTGTGCAACCCGGTACTTCCAAGCTGTTGTGTCCATTGCTGCTCCCAATGGCATGATGGCCTCTGGTGTACTGGATCTTAGCCATCCTTCTTAGAGAAGAAACCTCTGGCAACCTAAGTCCAAATATATTCTCCTCCTGTTGCTTTAAATTCTCTCTCAAAAAAAAAAAAAAAATCCCTGTATTTTGTCCCAATCTCACTACTGGAGGAGGTTTTATACATGAACCTGCATACACATGTCTGAGGATATCAGGGACCTCACCAGATATGTCCAAATGACATTCTCAGAGTTGATCTTCCCCTTCTCCAGTTGAAATCTTTATAATTGAGGAATTAGCTCCCCTGCTTTTCAGCACAAGATGTCTGTCATTTTGTTGTATCATGATCATCCTGATTCTGATCATCCCTTATATTGAGTAACAGCTTTTTTGCCATGTATCTGACCTCTGCTGTATTAGTGCTTCAGAGGTGTCCGACCTTTAAGTCACCTTCTACGTGAAGCAGAAATAATTCCTGCTCATTCATATGGTGGATATGGTTGGCCGTGGGCATGTGTTTTGCTCTTCTCTGCTGACAGTAGGACTTCAGTAACTCGTAGCAAGTCCTAACTACTAAATGGTTTAGGGAGCTTTTTAACACTATGGGCTCATACAACCCTATTAAAGTAGATAGACCTTACCCTGGAGAGAACTGCAGGAAAGCTGATGTTTAGACATGGGCCAAATTGCTGTAATGATCAGTATAATCACAGCAATGAAACATTTCTCCATGAAATTTCTACCAAAGAGTATCAGCCCTAGGGGTTTGGGGGAATGATGTGCAAGATAACCATAAAACAACATGCAGATGTTTTAATTTAATTTCTCCATTTGAAATGTTGGATGCAGTTCAATTATTTTGGAGCAAACTGATCTTCAGAGAGCAGTCAATACCTTTTCAGTCACATTTCATCTGTTTTAACAAGGCTATTGTCAAAAAGGGGAATGATCTGCTTTTCCAAACCTTTGTTTCTTTCCAGTATTTTTCATACTTAGTTTCCCATTCCTTTTTCATTCCTCTTTCAACATCCCTCTGGTCGTGCACCGGCGCCGGGTGCGTGTTGAACCGCTCGCACACCCGCTCGGTTCTCTCCCCTCAAGAGAAGCGCCGAGTAGCCGTCCCAAACCTCTTTGGGAAAATCTCAGAAAGCTGAATCCTCCCTTCGTCCCCCGCCCCCAGCTCCGCGGCTGACGCGCGGGGCCCTCCCGGGCGGGCCGGCCCGAGCCCCGCGCAGGGCCCGGGGGTGGCGGGCAGCCCTGCCCGGTGCCCGCCTCTCCCCCCGCCGCCGGGCGCCGGCACGGCTCGCCGGGTCACGGCAGCCCGCGTGATAACCGGCGGTTATTTATTCAGGCGGCCCCGGGCACGGGATGCAGACCTCAGGCTCCCCGAAGGCTCGGGTGTCCCCTGCCAGGGGTTTGGGCTGCTTGTCCTTGAAAAATCTCCCGCCGCGGCGCTCACGGCAGGGGTCCGGCACCCACCGGCCGGCAGCGCCTCACACCGCGGGACACCAGGCACACGAGGTGCTGCTTCTCTCTCGGCCGCCCGCTTATCTGAGTCTTTTTTTCTTTTCCTCGGCATCGCTCTGTTCTTCTGAGAATAACTTCACGAACTCTGATCAGTGAGTAATCAAAAATTTTCAAATGTCTGTTATCAAAGCTGTTCCTGTCGTGATCGAGGGACATGATCCGATCAGAACGATCACTTGCTGATGGCCATCCGTTACTGCTGCTTTTTTTTTTTATCTCTAAAATCGTTACCAGCTTACAGATTTGACTTGGCTGGCCTTGCTCTGTAGACTGAAGTGAATGATCCTCTCTTTCAAAATGACTTTGAAGAATCATCTTCTGAAAAGTCAGTTTGCAGATTCTTTTCTGTGGCCGAAAGCTTTGTTCTATTACATGAAATCATTGCATGCAATTCACTATGTACAATACTGCTGTGGCAGCTGCACTCCTGAAATGTAACAGAAGCTGTTCTCCTTTTTTTGTACTGTAAGGAGATCTGAAAAAAACATTTCTGGTTTCATTGGAGCTATGAAAAAATAATTCAAAAATAACCAGGAGAAGTAGGCAGTTGTCTTAGGCTGGCGTTTTCAGACAGGACTATGGTATTAGATACCTCATCTCAGTTAACTTCAAATAACTCTTTGATTAATTTTTCACAAATCCAGCGTGTGTAGTTCTCTCTTTTAAGCAACAGTAAAGTAGCACTTTGCAAAAACATTTATTGACTCAGAAGGCAACTTTTACAGTGGGATTATTTTCATGTTCTCAGCTGGAGTAATTTTACAGCGATGAAGAACAGTCCTCTGAAACTTAATCTAAAAGGTTTTTGCTCTGTACTCTTACTGGTTGTTTTCACTTTTTCACCTCAGAAATCATGTGAAATTTATTCTATGTCACACATTCACTGTTTGACTTTAGATATTTAAATCACTGAATCATCTACCTTCCTTCACAGATGCCCTCAGAACATGTCTAATTGGACAAGTCTGTGGTATGCCTGGTAAGTTTATTATTAGTCTTACTAACCCAGAATAATTTAAAAGTTATTATGAACAGTAATTGTAGTAAGGCAATGCAACACTCATCTCTCGGACAGGATGGAGGAACGGGTTTCTCCTCGGTTTTATGGAAGCGGAATATATTACAGATGAGCCCACAGGGGAGATAAGGTGTCAGGCCGGCTGCAGCATTCATCTAGGGAGATGTCATCTTTCCTTTCTGAGCACGCTATAGTTTAACTGTAGGGCTTGTTTGTCCCTGCTGAACAGCCAATGCTGCCGGGCACAACAGCAGCGACGCAGCGTGGACTGGTGCCGCCCTGGCCTCGGCTTGCGGTGCTGGCAGCTCACAGCCCTGCGTTTTCGCTCTGAACTCAAGCTGATTACAAACCTGCTTACTGGCTGTTTGACTGACTGAAAGGGGGAAAGAATAAGAAGTAGAAGGGTAGCTCTTGTCACAAGTGGATTCATCTTTTGCCTAACACATGCATTAAAGGGATCCTAACATTATTTTTATAGTTGGCATTCTGTCAATATATTAACTTTGATGATAGCCGGCAGAGTGAGTTGGTTACTTTCAGCTGTCATTCAGTCTGCACTAATTTTAGTTGCTATTCTTTGCTTTTTTAGAACATGCTGTTACATATAAGTGTTTAAAAATACATAGTTACATAAAATATTTTAGGAAGGCCTTTGTAATTGGGTAGTGTTGAAATCATGCAAGGGAATGAGCTAGTGCTGAGATTTCTCCTGCCAAGGTGCTTTTACCTGGGTGATTTCTGCCTTGGTCGGAGGGCAGCAGCGCACGAAGGCATGATGGTTTCACAGAACATACTGTGTGCAGCTGGTGGAGTGTCAGGAAATACCAACTGCTAGCGCTGAGGTAACGCTCCTGCACCGGGGGAGCGTCTCAACGCAAAGTTCCATCAGGGCAGCGTGTTCTTCTCACACACGGTTTTAAGTTGCCTGAAAGTTTTTTTCTAAAAGAGTAATTCGGAAGAGAATGCAGGAGATTTGTGGAAGTTTGAGGCCCTCAAATCCAACCTTCATACCGAGTGTAGACTTTGTGTGTACCTGACTCTCATACTAACAGAAGTATACTCTTGTTAAAACTGTATAAAACAGTTATGAAAGAGATGATTATTTTGGAATCATGGTTCTTAGGGGCAAGTACTACCTTTGGTTTGGAAAAAAGAATAGAATGCTAATGAGACCATCTCTATACATATTTAGTGTAGAATATAATCCTAACGAGAAATTCAGGAGCATGATCTGTCACACAGTAATTCCTGTCGAGCCGCTATGAATATGCTTCAACTCTGTCCTTGGACGTGCTTCTTTACAGGACTTTCGAGCATTTCTTATTACCTGATCTTCTTGTGACATGTCTTACTGCTACTGCTCACCTACCTCATGAGTGGATTCATTTGAGAAACTGGGGGGCGGGAAGGCAGAGTTTCAAGTGAGAGAAGAACCTGAAGTACTAGCACATCGACCTAGGTACCTTACAAACTGTTAAAATGATAAACTTCATTAAACAATAGCTAGAGATAGAATTGCGTTTTCAAGACATACTGCAAAATATAATTTCTGTGCTCATTTATAAATATAGTCCTAGTTTTATGAAAGCTTGTACTTGTATTTCCCTCCAAGTACACACTCACTCTTACTGTTCAAAGTGGAGCCATTCTCACTGCACAAAAGTTGAAAATAGAACCCAAGATAATTAACATTACGGCATCTGTGAGCTAGAAGGGATTGTACCAATGGTCAGTAGTACTTCAACCTCTGAGTAAGTGTTTGTGATCCAACATTCTATTTCAGGATCCAGCACCCATTCAGAACTAAACCTAGGAGGTTTGGCCTGTCTTCCACCCATTTAGAGTGAAATTATATTCAGCTCTGGAAGAATTAAAACATAAGCAATGAAATGATGGTATTCTCCCTCCTTCTCTAAGGTTGATCTTGCTGACTCTGTTCCTGCTCCTGCTCTGTGGGATCACAGCAAGCTGCATCAAATTCTGCTGCCGGAAGAAGAGGCTTCCAGCTGAGCCCTTCCCTACTCACCCTTATGATTTGACAGTTGGTGCTGTTGACAGCGACAGCACTGCCCATAGCACAGTGACCTGTAAGTATCCTCTGGCAGTCAACTATTCAGCAGTGCTTTGCTATTGAACGTGTGCCTAGAATTCTTCATCTAGCCCTTGCAAGGACACGGACTTTCTGAGGTACTCCCAGAACAACTTTCAGCCCCAGAGGGTGGGCAAGAGCGATAAGGGAAGGTCATCAGGACAACACAGTGAGTGAGTGCAGAAGATAAGTAGGATTTAGCCCTATAGAGGTTAAAATAAAGTCCGTGGTGGGTTAACCTCTTATGTGTTGTCTCCCATATCTGTTCTTACCACCACTCTCATTTTTTTTAACTTTTCTGACCGTCTCACTGTCTAAGTTCTCAGCCAAAGTTATCTCTAATGTGAGGAATTGTTCACAGCTGTTCATGTATGAGCCCCACTGAAACTATCGCTGTTACAACACACATGTACTGTCAGCTACTTCACAATGCAGAGACATTTTCTCTTCTGTCTCCTTTCTTTTGGAGAATATGATTTCATCATAGGTAATTCTATACTGGTAGCTTTTAGTACACAGTACATATGTTCTGACACCACAAAAATGAGTCTGTCATTTCTCAGAGAAAATCAGGATTAGCCCTTTATATATCAGCATCCCATGTAGGTGCTTAACTTTTGTTTTTAATTCCTTTTCTTCACAGCATACAGCTCATTGCAGTACCCTCTACGTGTCCCTATTCCTTTGATATTTATGGATGTGGATAAGAACACTGTGTCCCCTCCAGCTTACAGTCTCTATGCAATGGAGTTGCCACCTTCTTATGATGAAGCTGTCCAAATGGGTAAACAATACACTGAAGTAGCACAGATAAGCCAGAAACAAAGTGATGTCCCTGGGCAAGTGACGCCAGGTGGGCTGAATCCCATCCAGTATTCGCCCGATACAACCAACAGAGACCCAGCAACACAGGCAAATTCAGAAAATTCAGAAGATGCTGCACAAGAACTGCCGCAGCTCTGACTCATTTCAGGAGGGGAGGAAAGGAAGGGAAGGACTGTAAGAGTTAAAGAGGACATGAAGACTTTGGTGTTATAAGTGTGTTATGATGGAAAGATGTTTCCTCTCATGCCCTTGTAATGATCTGTCAGTTAGAAAAAATGTTTTCTGTGACTGCTATAATCTGCTGGTAAAGCTTCTTCAAGGATAGGAAATGAAGCAAAAGGGCAGCAGTTTAAAAATGCCTGTAAAAGTGGGACGTGAATGCTTGTTCATCTTCTGATTAAAAAAAAAAAAAATACTCCTTGTGTCCAGCATGTGGCAATAAAAAAGGTCAGGGGAATTTTGCCATCTTGGGAACACACGAAGAGTCAGAACAGTGCAAACAGCAAGCTGTCATTCTGGAACAGAAGCTTCCCAAACTGGAGTTGAAAGGGGAATCCTAGCAAGTCTCACTGAACAGCCTCTGTAGTTTCTCCTCTTTTGAGAACATTAACTGTCCAGAAAATTGCTGGAGTGCAAACTGCTACATAATGGCACACGCTCCTTAAACTGCAGGAAGATGGCAAACAAGGACAGGAAAGTGTGTGGAGGGAAATGCATTATATTATGTTTCACAATGAGACAAGGAATGAAATGGATGAAAAAAGGGATTGTTGTTCTTCAGTTTTTTTAAATCGTTAAAATGCTTTTTTCAGGATGAGCTGGCTTATGTGTGGGATCCTTTTACTACTTATTTTTGCCAGTTAAAATACAAATTAGTCTTAAAGAGACACTTGCACACATGGGTAAGTATTACTAATGTATTTCAAATATTTATCAAATATTTCAGAGATGCCTCTACAGTTTGTTGTCTGCTCAGGTGTCAGAGTCTCAGTCAGTACAGAAAAGAAAAAATCAAAGATACCTGACAGCTTTCACCAGTTTAGTTTGTAGATGAGTTCAGTAATGATACAAAGCATGCTCTAGCTGTGCCATCTAGAAGTTATAAATACAAAATACCATAGTCCAGGGTGGGCAATAGTCAAAAGAAATTACTCTTCAGGGATGATTCTTTGTGAAGTACTGATAGCAAGGATAACTGCTATGCATCATTTTAAAACTGGGAGCTTGGAGTTGATTACACCAGTCTCAGCCCAGATAAAAATATGGACTGCGAGAGGCCTTTTTTTAAATGAGAGCTCTTTCCCTTTCTTGCCCCTCCCATATTACAAACAGTATGAATTCTGTCCACTCCTGAGTAGTGATTTTCTCTGAATCCACTTTAGCAAGGTGCTAATTTGGCAACCTTTAAGAACACGAGCAATCTACAGGATGGTTCATTGCTACAGGATTATCTATGGGATAAGAATAGGAAAGAAAGCATGAGCACTAGGTGCTATTACCGAATGTAACATGAAGTGTGGAGTGCTAGGTCAGAGCTAATGTTGACTGACCTTCTACTAACAGGAATATGACTGATGGTCTTATTTGATGAAGTTGCTTTGGTAGCTGTGAAAAGGGACTACCTTCTGTAAATATTTAGGTGTCTGTCATTAATAAGCAGTAGAAGCGGTGGGCACAAAATCTTGTACAGCTTTTAGAAGACTATTCTCTGACAACTCTTACTGCAAGAACTACCCTGGAAATGAGCACTAATGATTTAAAAATGAAAATCTCTCTGCCAGCCAGCAGGACTGAGACTAGAACCTCTGCTACGCATTCATGGTGTGTGAGCTGTTCGTGAGTCCAGCTCCATAGAGAAGTGTTGGTTCTATATTGAACTTGCATATTGCTTACTATGAAGGTTGCAAGGAAAGATTGGTTTAACAAATCTGCTTCGCTTCTGTCTCTTCTCTGTCACAATTATACTTTTCCTGTTTTATTCTCTCTTCTGCATTCTTTTTCCATGTCAAGATGGAGACAAGGCATAACCCAGTGTAACTATTTGGATGTCTCTAGCTGGAAGAACAATATATGCCCAGTCTTGGGTGTCTCCAAGTCACAGACACGGCAGATATATTTTTATTTCTTGAACTTTCCCATCCAGAGAGTACTCAGAAACAAATCGTATGCCTTTCCAAAGAAGAAGTATCTGTTGGAGGGAAATGGCTGAGTGCTCACTCTAATGGAAACAAGAATATAAAACCAAATGAAAAAACAGTGGCTGACACAAGAGGGCAGTCCTTCACTTTCCAGTGTACAGCTTTGAAAGAGACGAGCTCTTGGTGTTTAAAAGAGATGAGGGCACTTTAAGGCTCGGGTTTGCTCAGTTCTTCAGAGATTAGTCTGCAGTGCAAGGACAGAGCTTGCTTGAGGATGATGGGGAAATAATCACAACGGTTTGGCTTCCCTTTCCTTCATGCGTGTGCTAACACAACAGTTCTGTCTTGTGAGTTGTCAGCTTGACCAGGGTTACAGCTCGAGGTAACAAGGGTTACAAGCTCGATGGGGTTACAGTAAGGGAAGAGCGACTGACGTCATCTACCTGGGCTTGTGCAAAGCATCTGACACTGTTCCACACAACACCCTTGTCTGTAAATTGGAGAGTCGTGGATCTGATGGATGGACACTCGGTGGAGAAGGAATTGGCTGGATGGTCACACTCAAAGACTTGTGGTCAACGGCTCAATGGCCAAGGGCAGAGCAGTGACGAGCGCCGTTCCTCAGGGGCCGGGGCTGGGCCCGGCGCTGTTTAACACCTTTGTTGGTGACACGGACAGTGGGATCGATGCACCCTCAGCAAGTTCACCCACGACCCCGAGCTGTGTGGTGCGGGGACACGCGGGAGGGCAGGGATGCCATCCCGAGGGACCTGGGCAGGCTGGAGAGGGGGGCCCGGGCAAACCTCATGGAGTACAACAAGGCCAAGGGCAAGGCCCTGCCCAGGGGCCGGGGCAATCCCCAGCACAAACCCAGGCTGGGCGAGGAGCGGCTGGAGAGCAGCCCCAAGGAGAGGGACTGGGGGTGCTGGTGGGGGGAAAACTGCCCGTGAGCCAGCACCGTGCGCTCGCAGCCCAGAACCCACCCGTGCCCTGGGCTGCAGCCAGAGCAGGGGGGGCAGCAGGGCCAGGGAGGGGATTCTCCCCCTCTGCTCCGCTCTGGGGAGACCCCCCCCACAGTGCTGGGGCCAGCTCGGGGCCCCCAACAGCAGAAGGACACGGAGCTGCTCGAGCGAGGCCAGAGGAGGCCACGAAGATGCTGGGGGGGGCTGGAGCAGCTCCCCTGGGAGGCCAGGCTGAGAGAGTTGGGGGGGTTCAGCCTGGAGAAGAGAAGGCTCCGGGGAGACCTTCGAGCGGCCTCCCAGGGCTTAAAGGGGGGACAGGAAAGGTGGGGAGGGACTCTTGATCAGTGGGGTGGGGAAAGGATGAGTGCTGATGGGTTTAAACTGCAAGAGGAGAGATTTAGATGAGATCTAAAGCAGAAATTCTTCCTTGGGGGGGGGGGGCGGGGGGTGAGGCGCTGGCCCAGGGTGCCCAGAGCAGCTGTGGCTGCCCCCTCCCTGGAAGGGTTCAAGGCCAGGTTGGACGGGGCTGGGAGCACCCTGGGCTGGGGGAAGGGGTCCCTGCCTGGGGAAGGGGGGGTGGGACCAAGATGATCTCAAGGACACTTTCAACCCAAACCTGTCTATGATTCTATGAAAAGTCTTGCCCAAGGTCTTGTCTTATAACATGGTTCATTAATTTAAAGGTAATCTACTTGTTAACATAAACTACTGATCTAATCAGCCTGCAGGAACACAGAACTTTCTTTGCACCTCAAAGGCAGTTCACTTTGCTCCTCACAATGTTTTCAATAGTGATGTCTCAGCCCCTTATCAAAATCATCTGATTCCTCACAGAAGACTGATAATCAAAGCTGTCCCTGGCCCTCTGTCTTTGAGGAGGCAGATTGCCCCCACAAGTGTTCATTATTTACATCTCCACTTAACAGATTTTTTCAGCTCAATAGCATTGCAGAAGTTATATCCCTCCAGACAGAAAGATCATGACTAGGGGATTTATAAATTCCATTTAAATTCCTGCAGCAAAGAGCTCTCTTCCCCTCTTGAAAACAGTTGACATTTGTGTAGAAAGTCCAGTTCATTAATTAGAACCACTGTGGGAACACAGTGAGAGAAAATGACCCCTTAATGAACTAATGTCAGAAAACAGAATTCAAAGGGTGGTCTTCTGAATCCTGGCCTACACAAGCAACAGCTTGAAAATGTTGCTCCCAAGTGCATTACATAATGCTAAATAGCAGGAGGTGGCATGGAAATGAGTGTCCACTGATCACCTGGGCCCTTTCTGTTTGAGTAACTCAGAGAAAGACACTCTCTTGCTGATGTTCATAAAAGTGAGTTTAGTAGCCAGCTGTCATTCAACAAGCATTATTGCAACATGAATAGGGAGAGGACACTAAGAGCTTCCAACTTTACTGTGTGGTAAGTTAAAATGAGCTACTTTGTTTTAACTGACGTTTTAAAACTCGCTAACTAAATCTGAAAATGTGTAATGGAGATTAATGCTCTGGTTTAATTTCTAATGCTGTTTTCCATAAAAGTTTTTCTTCTGACTTTTACTTTGTGGTTTGCAAAGCTCTGTTTACCTCTCAGTGTGGGATTTGACTTTATAGTCCTAGAAAACTTTGTTTTGTTCTTGATGCTCTTAATGAGGCTCAAATAGCACTACTGAAGTCAGAGGAAACAAAGTGAGATTCTGCTGCAGAAAAAGAGCTCGGTTTACATTCAGTTTTTTTCCTCCTAGCCACATATATGTTTCCTCCTGTATTTCCAAACAGGTACAACATCTCAATTTCTGGTCAGAAACCTCACACAGCGTTGCTGTAGGGTCTTTAAGAGCCATTAAACAGCATATCAGTGAGAAATAAACAGATCTTAATGGATGTATTTATTACAGCTGGTTTTTAAAGTACTCTGAAGTTTCAAAACAAGATACTGTAACTGATACTACTGATTAGTGCTACAGTCATCTAAAGTGTGAATGTCTAAACCCGAAGCCTTTCATTAGAAATGTGCTATCCCTGGTGGTAATATAGAATAGCCTCTCAGGGAAGTCCAGGATCAGCATATTTCCAGGCATAAAGAATTAATCTATACATTTTCCCCCCTCAAAAATGCTTTCATAATTAAACAGGTTTTTAAAAAAAAAGTTTTCCAGAACAGAGAAGTGAATTTAAATTGACAGATTAAAATATTCAATTGCTTTCTAATAAGATAATTATTCAAATATGTCTAAATAATATTTAAATGAATGTCTAAACAATTTTCAATTAGGCAATTAACCAAACAGGACTTCAGTCATCCTTAGATCTGCTCAGGGTTTCTGTGAAATCATTTGTCTTTGACAGGTGTGTATCACAACAGATTTTTCATACAAATCTCATATCATGTGTGTAAAAGATGTACTATTACAAGCACATAAAGAAGCTGCAGGTGTTCCGGTATGGTACAACAAAGAAAGGCAATATATTCGCCATGTTCTCAGTATCTTTGAAGAATGTTCAGATAGAAGATTTCTAATCTACTGCTAAGTGCTGGCCCCAAATGGGAATTGAACTCTCCCTTTCATATTGCAGAGGAGGGCTAGGCAGTTAGTCATCTGGGGACAGGGTCTCTTAAACACCTTTTATGGCTTCAAGAGCTTGAGAGAAAGAGCCCTATTTTTGGAAAACTTGCTTCTCAGTATCTGCTTGAGACACAAGCTCACAGCCAAGCTCTGTGTCCAACGTGTCCAAAGGATGCACCTTCCTAAGCCACGTATTTGAAAAGATAAGTATTACAGATACACTTGCTAGGAATCTCTGAAAGTAAGATTAAGAGAAAACATGTGATGGATGTTTCCTTTCCTTTAACCTTTTGAGTAATAAGAAATAATCCACTGATGATACTGCTTGTCCCCTGGTACTCAGCTGGCCCATTGCAACAATCTACCGAAGATTAGTTTGGTCTGTGCTGAAGGAATCCGCAACCTCTACTCAGGATTGTTTACACTGAAGCAGCCCCAGTGGTCCTTGCAGTATTGGAAGCCATAACCTAGAGAGGTTGCTGATGACCACAGTTAACTAAGTGATTTTTAAAATGCATTGTCTTTCTTGCCTAGGGCTACACTGACAGCACATAGCTGTAAGTGCTCATGTTTTACTACTGGTTTTATCAGGTTGCTCTCACTTGTTGAAGGAAGGCCCTGAAAAATGTGAAGTGTCAACATTGCTACTGAAGCAATTCCCCTTTATAAAGCTGAAGGCTTCTGCTCCCTGGTGAAGGAAATCTGCCTGCAGCTGCCTGTGCATGTGCTACGGAGATGTGCTCTGTTGAGAAGTCTGCTGGGTGACCTCCAGTGAGTCACTTCCTCTCTTATGGCTCTATTGCTTTTCCCAGCCTGTTGGTCCAGTGTTTGAGACTTCTGGTGCAGGATGTTCTCCCACAATCCCTGCCATAGTAGGAATCTTCTCCGTATTCAAATAATACCAATAGTTGGGGAGAAGGGGAAAAACAAACTTGAAACAGAAAAGCAAACCCCCCCAAAAGACCCCTTTGAATTCCTTTAGCAGTGGAAGTAATGGAGCAGAGTCTTCTAAACTTCTAAATTTTAAGACAAAGTTCCCTAACATTTAAGAATATGTAACCTTTGGTAGAAGGCTTTCTTATAACTAGGACATGTGTAAGATTTTTCTTGTGTGCCTTTTTCAGTGCCCAATAAGGGTGAGCTCATGCTGGAATCTTTCTTGCAGTGGGGGTGTTAAAAAATCCTTTTTCTCTACCCAGCTCCTGTTTTCATGAAACATTTAGAAGCTTCATGTCTTTGAAACCTCCAGTTCTCTATCACCTTGCTTGAAATTGGTCAGTGGATTCAGAAATTATTACCTGAGTTAGGGATTGGAAAGAGGGGAGAGAGGATACAGATTT